TCATCATTCAATGAAGGTCTTTCAGTTTCCCTGTCTGACATTCACTTGCTCAGATGAATGAAATCATAGCTTTTATGATAATGGTAGTTGCCCTTAAATTAATGCTCATTAAATGAACAGAGTGATAAAGGTGAACAGTGAATTGGAACAGATGTTTTAGACTTGACTTTGGCAAGCGCTTATTAGTCTTGGAACATGTAACTAGGAAGCCCTGCTTTCACAGAGAGATAATTTGTTTTAGCACTAGGAGTATCCTGGAAACTAAATACAGGTCAGAAGAGTACCAATTTAGAAACCTTTATTTAAATGTTTAATTGGTCACAGGTTTTGACCTTTTCAATAAATGACTCCACAATGCATAGCAATTGCAAGTCAGGTTACAAAACTAGGAACTTGCAGCAAATAGCTGAGAAACATAGTGGTCCAAAAAAAATAATTCTAGACAAAGGATGGAAGAAGAAAGAATGTATCTGTGTACTTATATTTAGTTGTTTCTTCTGTTATTTCTTGAAAATAATCCCAATTTTAAATGTAGCTATAAAGAGATGCAGAATACCTGTGTCAATAGAGTTATAATAGATTGCAATATGATTATATGGTATAAAACTCTGTTGGGTTTTTAGGGTAATGGTATTATTTGTTTTGAAGTTTTAAATCTGATACACACACAGAGAGAATGTATTTATTACTGACATTTATATCCCATCTTCTTCAAGATCCCACCCCTCTTGGATGCCTTTCCCCTTAAGGGTGTGTTGCCATAGCACTTTGCTTATCATTTTTCTGAGTTTGTTAAAGTTGGCTTTCTTGAAGTCCAGGATGCTTGTTTGGTTCCAGTTACCCTTTGTCTCCTTTACAACTGAGAATTCAAGTATCACATGGTCACTTTCCTCCAGAGCTCCCATGGTTATTTTGTCCACCAGGCTATCCCTGTTAGTATTAAATCCAGGATAGCTGATCCTCTTGTACCTTCCTCTACTTTCTGCTGGACAAAGTTGTCGGCAACATGTGTCAGGAATCTCTTGGAAGGGCTTAGGGTTCGTTCTCAGCACTGAGCAAAGGAAAAGTGATCTTCAGACAGGTACTGACCAAAAATTTCCTGTCAAAACATCCTCCATTCTCCATGTACAGAAAAGCATTACAGATTGCTTGCTGATGTCACTGCAGCCTATTTTGGCAGCTAATGCCAATTGCACCATTTCCCTTTGCATGTGTGGTATGGAAATGCAGAAAACCCTTGCCATAAAAGGCATGGGGTGGGAGGAAGCACCAGGGAGGTCTGCCTAGTGTGATCTTACTAGTGCACTTCCCCATAGGCAGGGAGTTTGTAACAAAACAAAGAAGAAAGCCAACCTCCTAGTCAAATAGGCCGAAGTTGGAGCACAGTGGTAGAAAGGGTTCCATTGGGCCACTCAGCATTGTTCAGGGGATGGGCAAGGCAGCCACCTAATCAATGATAATGTCCATGGGACTGGCTGGGGGAAAACTTTATTTTCTTCTGGGGGGTTTTACCTTTTGCTTATTTTATGCCAAGGATTGGTAGTTTGTCTTTCATACTTCTCAAATGATTAGTTTTGAATTACGTTTTAAAAAATCAATTTCATGGGAGAGTGATAGTGTGTGGGCGCACCCTTCTGTTAATAACATTCTTTTTCCTTACATTTTTAAAACAGTTAAGAAATGCCAATCTGAACTTTATGTAAAGTTACTCCTTTTATTTGAGAGAGCAGACAAGGTGATGTATCACTGGCAGATATGGTGTTTGTGCATCTCTTTTCTGAGCAAGGGATGGAAAGCACATCCTCTTTTTTTATAAGCAAGATGACATGACTGAATTCTCTCTTTGTTTTCTGAGCAAGTTGTGGTGCTTGTGAAGCAGCAGCATTTTTTCCTGAAGCACCCTATAGCAGCAAGCTTGGGAAATATTATCAGGTTCATGGCTGCTTCCTGCAGAGGGGGTGGGGGGGGGGGGGGGGGGTGTGTGTGTGAGAGAGAGAGTGAGAGAGAGAGAGAGAGAGAGAAACAATATAGAGATAAAACAGTTAATGCCCTGTTGCTTTTGTATAATGAAATTTGATGTTATTGGCTCTTCTGCTTGCCCCTTGGTGGGATATGTGAGTAGGGTCAGCTCTGTCAATTGTAAGGTATATAGGCCTCTCATAAAATCTTGTTATTGAAGCAAGCCTTGTCTGGAAACACTCCCTGAGCCTTGATTCAAGCTCAGACCTATTTTGTGGTAGCAAAATTAGTATAAATTAACAAATGCATTAAAGTCTAATAATCACATCTTTGTTTATTCCATATTTTCCTTTAGGCTTTGTTCCCTGAACCATTTATCTAAATGAGTCAAACCATTTGTCATAACTTGAGAAAACAATTAGAACTGTCTCCTTTGAATTCATATCCTTCTGTAACATCCCTTCAGATAGGAAAAACAAAACAACCCATACTTGTTACATTTAGAATAATAGCATAAAAAACCCAAAGTCACATTACATTCACAACAAATATAAATCAAGACAAATTTCATTACTATGGGAGAAACCTGCAGTCACTTCTGGGGCCCTTAAAATGGGATCCAGGTTATATTATCTGATAGTGAAAAGTCAATGCTGAATTATCCTGCAACTAGAAAAACCTCATGTTCATAGTTAAGGTGGGGTACTTTTGGAACCCAGCCTGAATTCCAAAAGTTTAGGGAGTACAAAACTGCCCACAATCCACTTTTGATTTTTTCATCACAATGAAGTGTTTTTAGAATGCCAAAACACCAAAATCCAGAAAATACCTAAGTTGGGATGTTTATTTTGTATACATATTGGCCTCCATGTATGCATATAGAGTAGCCAACAACATTTCTGAATCTTCAAGCATAAATATTATTTTCAATTAGAAATAAAACAATGTTTTTTGAACCAACACAAAACAGTATGAACTAGGGAAAAACATATATAATTTTGAATGCTAGCGCTGTTGGGGTTTTTTGGGGAGTGTCATTTTTTACACATAAAATTGCTCCTGCTGAAGTAAATGTCCTTATGAAATATAATTGTTTAACTGAATCTTTCCCACATCAGTTTCCAATCAGCACAGCAATGGCTTTAGGCTTCAGCTAGTACAGATCACTTGAGATTGAATCTTTCCACCACCAGCTTTTAATCACATAACAACCCTTTTCCGAATCAACTTATGGTCCTCATAACAACAGGTTTCCGGTTGCAGAAGGGTTCTGTATGAAGGAGGGGTTTGCTTCTCTTCCTGACATTCAAAATAGGTTAAGATGACCTGTAGGTTATAACCTCAGTTGTGCATGGGATATTATGGCCCAATAAATTAACACTGTCTGAGATAATCAAGGCCAAACAATTGCCAAAAAAACAAAACTAGTCATGTGCTTGTTTTGAAAAACAAAAGTATAAGAAGTAGGTCGCCGAAATTTGGGAACAATGTTTACTACCATATAGGTGGCAATGTCTTATCAGGGCACCATAGACTGTACATCTTCAAAATGTGAACCAATGGAAGGAAGATCCCCCAAGATGCTATATAAAGATTTTAAACTCAGAGGCTATTTCTTTTGTAGTTCTATGTACTTGTTAATCTAATTCGTTATGATCTTCTAGCTGGTGACCAACTTGCAAGATACAAGTGGCTTTAGTGGCTAATAAAAAATAATGGTGTCAAGCATGAGGAAATTGATAATTTTTAGCTGTGGAGATTTATGTAGATCCATTAATATTCTCCATATTTTCAGGTTGATTATAGTTAGGCTAACATTGGATACAATCCAATGTTCCCAAAATCCCTGTTGAAAATTGTCTAAGAAGAAGTGGTCAAATTTGGCTGAACCATGTGAAATTCATTGCACATGCTTTACCCTGCTATTGATCCAAACCCCTGTTGTAAGATTTTATGATTCTGTGAAAACAACAAGATCATTGAAAGAGGATGAGCAATATTTCAAATATAGGAGGCCCTAGTACCTTAATCACCAGCAGGGCTGTAGACTTTATCATCCAAGGTTTATTGTCTGCAAGAGAACCACATATTTCATTTATACAAGTGGGTGAGGGGAATGGTCTTAGTCACAGAATATGATGCACAGCTCATACCTATTGTTCCTGTGGCCATGGAGTGACTATAAAAGAGGCTGGATCAGAAGACACTGCCAGTGCAGTAGAAGTTTCACTAGAGTTCTACTAGGAATAAGGGAGACTTCAACAGATCAACTCTACAATATTCCACCAGAAAGAAAATTAGTAAGTATGCTACATGATAATGCCTTTGGGGAAACTGTTTTAAGGTTTTTCTTTCATTTACTATGTTATTATCTCTTGTCAGTAAATAACAGATCAAGATATTGAACAGACAAATCAACCAGCAAATGATAATTGTACTTATCAAAGCAGAACCTTGTGTCTTTCAATATATCCTTTTTCTCTGCACATTTCTTGAAAGCTACTGGAGTTCAGATCACCATATTTACTTTGTGTCTTCCAAAAGGCTATGCTTTTTATAGATTTGTTATGCCACTGATTTTTATGTGTTATATTAATCACCTGAATATTGCACATATATATTTATAAAATGTTGACTATATTTATTTGGAATGGCTTTTCAAAATAAGACGTTCTTTTTCAGAGCTGTCTTAAAAATGCAAACATTTAGTGTAATTCTGTAGCATGTTCATATGCTGTAATCCTCCCTATTTAATTTTTGTGTATGACAGGTAATACAATGACAGGTAATGGTCAAAGATGAATATATTTTTAAAACATACTGTTCTATCTAGGTCTCAACTTTATGCATGCTTAGACAGAAACAACTCTTCCAGCTCTTTAAATGGAATCCAACTTAAATGTATAGGATTGCAATCTTAATCTAGAACCATCAATTTGCTACTGTGGTTTAATTTTACTAGCCATTTTTGATCATAGCATATTATAGTTGCATTTTAATAACTATCATTTCATCTTGTTGAATAGTTTGCAGGACAGAAGATGCTCTTGTCCCAGCAGTATCTACACATGGTGAAAATTTTGTCCATTTGTTTTCTTGCTTGCTTTGCAACATGTCAAGAAACTGAAAAGTAAGAATTATTTTTAGATAAAATGTTGATAAACAGTATGTTAATGTGATGGGTTTCTATTAATGCATCTTCATGATGCAAAATTTACTGATAAAATTTAATGATATTTTATAATTTATTTTCAAAGGGGGGATTCACTATGTAAAGCAGTAGATTAACTGGTTTGTTTCCATTATTTTTTCCTTACAAATGCTTTAATGGAAATGTTGATATTATCCTGTAGCACAGTAGTAGACAGACTTTGTGAAATCTACCTTTTAACTTTAATCATGAGATCCATCAAACAGAGCCTAGTATAAAAGACATACATTTAGAATGAAAGAACTCTGAGTCATTCTGTGTTGTTTTGCATATCACAAGAAAGTAGAACTCTTCCACACAGAAATCCACTTATGGTTATCCTAGGCTTTCTTCATTTTAGCAGCATAATTTAAAGCAAGGATCATTTGGTTGCTATTGTTAAAAAACAACAACCCCTCAGTAAGTATCAGAAATGTTAACCAATCTATTTCAAATCACCCAAAAACTAGCAGGAGAACCAAAATTATTTTCTGCTTATCCCTGTTGTATGGAAAACTACAAGCTAGCTAAAGTAATCTGTAAAATCTTAGTGGTGTTTTTCTCCTGAATCTTTGAAAGGGAGTTTAAAAAGCAATGAAGACTTGCTCACAAACAGGGATCATAGGGCTGAGAAAATGAACCTCTAATATCTCAGACCACAAATTCAGGACCTAGTTAAACACAATCAAGTCAGCTGCACCTGTTATTCACAAGTCTGCCCTGTAAGTGTATGTTAGCGCTGTTCAAATATAATGGGAAATCCACCATAGTTCCCCATGATGTGAATGAACCTGCAAGAACCTTAACCTCACCTGCTTCTCTGTGCCCTCCTTTTCCATGGCCATGAGAAGATCAGAAGCATTTCCTTCTACTTTTAAACAGCTCACAACCCCCACCCCCACCCCCCATTATATCCAAACATGATCTGAAATTCCAGTTTGAGTCTCATTTGTTCTAACAAACCATGATTCAAACAAACCAGTCACTTGAGTCTGGAAATAACAAGGAACATTTAATAAAGTAAGTTCCCAACCTCATAGTGGGCATAAACATACACCCCATGTTACTGATGCATAGACAAGACACATGGATAATAAGCGTGGCTGGCCCCAATATGTCTGCTTTGGTCCTCAGAAGGCTTTACATATTGTAATGGCTAGAAGGCTTAGTTTAGCTAATAAGTAACTATGGCATCATGATTTTACATTGTGAGAAAAGTCACTGCATAGTTTGTTAATGTTTTCCATCCATGAACTTGCACAGACATCAAATTCCCTTTTTCTCAGTTGCCCTGCACTACAATTCATATGAATGTTAGATGTACTTCTAAACAGGGTCTACATGGTGAATGTTGTTTAGATTGTGTACATTGTTTGTGAAACTAAGTTTCCATAACTGGTAAAACTGACAAATGTATTGCTGATACTGAAATAATATCTATGCAAGTTTATGGAGGGAAAAACAAATGGTAAGACCCTGTGCATGTTTACTTTACTTGGATGCATCCACTGAATTTAGTGGAACTTACTCCGCAATAAGAGTATACAGACCTGCAGCCTTACAGTGTAATCCTATACATCATCATCATCATCATCATCATCATCATCATCAGAACATTTCTATGCCGCCCCTTGCTGAAGCCTCGGGGCGGCTTACAACACAATAAAATACAATACAATACAAAAATAACAATATAAAATTAAAATTAATAATATAAAATAAATAAGATTTACATGTCTATTCAGAAGTAAACTACACTGAATTCAAGGGGCCTTACTACACAGCAGGTATGCAGATCACTGCTCCCCATCTGTGCAATCCTTTTGGCTGTAATAGAGAGCCCTGACATCACAGTCTCAAAAGAATCCAAAGCCCCACAGGACTTGTGCTGGTACAGTAGATGAGAGCGAGGAGTGGCCTTTGAATTAATTTCCTCTTCTGCTTTTGGCCTTCCTTAAACTGTTTACCTCCCACTGACATAAATGGAAGATAAATAAACCATGCCAGCTACAGTGCTAGCATAATTCTTTTTCATGTTATGCTTCAGGAACATGGGAGGGCTGTGGATCCTATGGCTCTACAGCCATTCTCAGCACATTAAGACAACACCTCAACCCTCCTCCTTTTTATATCTCAGAAGTCAAGGCTGAAGAGGCTTTCACAACAACTGGAGATGAGTAACTGAGATTGGATCACCCCCTCATAAGGGATTTTAAAAATCCTTATAAAGGTGAAGTAGTTGAGATGACAATGATAAATTCCCATTGAATTATTTTAGGATCTATTTTCTTATGTCAGTTTTCTATTGGTCAGCCCAGTTCTAATGGGGACATTTTCAGTGCAGATGTCAAACCTTCCAGGGGTTAACATTGGTCTGATGCTCCCACTGCAAATCCCAAGAATCCTGCATAATGGTTGTCAAAGAAGTAGAATGCATTTCACCATGACTGAACACTGTCAATTTCTGCGCTCAGATTCCTCATCTAAGAACATGTCAGTAATTATATTCTTCTCTACTCAGTGGGCAGTTGCAGAAAATGAGGGTATTTATGCTAACCCTGGCATTATTTTCTTGCTCATGTTTGAATTTACCTTTGCTTCTCAACAGTACTGGCTTTTCACAATTCAGTAAAAGAGCAGTGACAGAACACCAACTTCTGAATGATCGAGGGAGAGTCCTTCAAGGGCTAAAGCGACTGATGTGGCTCCACAATGCTATGGAGGGAGTGCATACAGCCAGTGGGAGAGACATCTCCCAGGCACACATTATGTGGACCCCACCAAAGAACCAAGATCTGTCTGACTTCTATGACAGCATGAGTAGGGAAGAGACACCAGTGACGATGAAACAACTGCTTCTGGGACTGTTGGAGAAGGAGTCGCCTTTTGCTGTATTAAGAAAAACAAATGTATTGCAATACCTAAAGAATGTAAAAGGTAGTAAAGACATGCAAGAGCTTTCTGACTTATCCCAAGCTGGAGAGCAAGATGGCAAAAGAAACCTCAGTGCTCAGATGTAGTTCTCTTGACTCAAACAATTGTAGTCTGTCTCTTACTTGAGATATATAGACTGGTATCTTAAGAAAAAAAAATAAAGACGAACCACAAAGAAAGCAAGTCTGTGCCATTTACAACCCCATAGCATTGCTTAGACAGCCTGATTTAAGGGCAGAATGTTTTTCTTCTACATGCTCTGATTAAAGAGGCTAAGTAAACAGGAATATACAAGGTTACAAATTTTCTCATCTAGGTTAACATAGGTACTTCAGAGTGCTAGCAATATTGCAGTAGTGTGCAGCAAAGATTATTACTGCTTTACTCTTTACACACTTTACACACACATTGGTAGACATGCATTCTGGTTTTAAGACTATAATTGCAGACTGGCTGGTGATTTAGGGAGTTGTAGTTGAACACATCTGGAAAGCATCATTATGCCTTGATTCAGAATGATATGCATGAAGCCTCCATGGTTAACAAAGGGGGTTTTGATCCAGAGATGCAAGGCCACCTCCATCTCATCATAACCCCAGAATACCCTGCTTTGCAGCCTACTTCTAGTAGGGACACCAGTGGGGATAGAGTTAGATCCATAGAATTTCCACATGTGCAGCTGGGGCTGACAGAGGCACCACCACCCCATCTTTACCCCTCTCAGACATCTGTGGTGTGCATATTGGGATAGTCCGCCTGCAGAAACATCAGCTTTAAATAAAATTCTGGTATAACTCTGAAGAAGTGGAATTAGAAGTGATCACTGCAACTGCTTGATCCCATGTTTGACCAATGGTATATACCTATAGAAGGAGTAGGTTCCAGAGGATTACAAGCAGAAAGAATTATATAAGAGGAGTTCTTGGATTTATTTGTATGAAGCTAGACATATATTTTACTTGTTGCAGTGTTGGGAAGCATGGATCTAACCTGGAATAGCAGATGTAGATTGTACCTCTTAAAGCAGAAGCAGTTTAAGACAACTGATTGTTTTTTCCTCACAAGTTGGTAATCTTTCAAGGTTAGAGGGCATTACGGATCAACTTTATCCAATCTGGTAGATTCCAGATGTGTGTGACTGGTTGGAGTATACAGGGAGTTAGAGGCTAATACAACTGGAAGCCACCAGTTATACTTAAAAGAATAGTGCACAGTTAATGTGCTAGGCCTAAGCGTAATACAGGAAGAATGTCCACATGGCGATTTAGTCCTCACAAACATATGTGTGGGTGTAGATCATGTACTTCTGCTTTTCATTCAGCATGTTGCCTGAACTGGTTACACATTGGTGCCTGCAATCCAGATATGAAGCCACTCTCCACATCTGATGTGGAACATGGTGGAAGTTTTTGTTCTCCCTCTTTGGTATTTTAGTCTTAACCATATGCCTCTGTATGCCTTTTCTTGGGGACCCTCTGAGGGCTATTGGAGATAGATGTTGGATCCAGCATTCATTTTCACCTGTAGGCAAGCAGAGCATTTTTTTCCCATTTTTAAGACCACATTTCTGATCACATAGATTTACACTTATTCAAGAAAATAATAAGCCAATATCTGAAGTGTATTACCCTTAGCACACTTACTAAGGAGTAAGTCCTACTGAACACACTGGGACTTGCTTTCAAAGAAGCCTGTATAGGACTGAGATGTTAATAATGTCTTATTTTGAGAAGGGGAAATATACAATTCCACACTCCAAGGGAGTAATACTGGGCACAAACTTATTTTATTTGGCCAGTATCCAATATGGTCACTTGCAGCTCTGTTTATGTTGCACAAATGCAACCCACGGCTAGCGCTTCCCAAGACAACACTGGAAATGAGCTGAAACATTCATTTCTGGAACAGGTCAGGTCAGGGAAACTCCCTTCTGTGAGCTACACTGATCCTTGTGTGTCAGAAGAAAGCACTCTGGCTTCTTTAGGAAGCACTAGCAGTGGGCCCTGCTGGTACACAGGCAGCACTGAATAATGTCCTTCGCCACTCCTAATTATTATTGAATATGCCTGACCAAAGCAACATATTTAAGTGATAAAGTATATATATTTCAAGTACAAAAGTAGTACTGCTATAGCTGTTTTTCAAGCCAACAAAAATGTTCATGAACGTTTCTATATAGTAATTATAAATGTTGCACACACACAGTTAAATGATTAACTGCAGAGCTAAATATTAATTTTAAACAAGAACATATTTTAAACAAGCCCCCCACTCTCAGTATCATGAGAAACACACACACACACACACACACACACACGGAATGTATCAACATGTTGTACTTAGTGCAGTGATCTAAATAAAAATAAAGATGTTGCTAATATGTAGACATTTTCAAAGAAAGTGGAATCAAAGTTACTGTTCAATTGTTCTTGAAAGAACATTCCATGAGATCTGAACCCTGACAAAAGGAATGAGAATGGCTTCCCCAACCTATCACTGTTATCTTGTGCTAATACTACACTGCAGCAGTAGGTGAATTTACAGCTGGACTCTGCATCTAAGTGTCATGTTTAGAATGTTAGCAACCTAGGGGTAGCAACGCTGTGATACCACTGAATAAGAAACCCTACATTAAAGGACACTTTTTAATCGGATAGGCAAGCCATTTTCAATGTTTTTGGAAGCTTTTAGAAGATTAAAAAAAGACTGAATTGCGATTATATCACAAGATTAAAAGAAAAATTAACATTAGGGAGCAATCCTATCATGACAATCTTAAGCTCCCAAACTTGGCAGGAAGAGAAGGAACAGAGGCCATCTTTGCCTCCCTGTCCTCCTGTTCTGCATTTTCACCAGAGAAGCCCTTATGCCCATCTAGCAACGTTTCAAAGCAGGGGAAGCTGGAAAGGCCTCAGGATAATGCACCCTGATTTCTGCAATCTTTTCCCCTCCCAGTCCACTGGAACACTCCCCTTTTCCCTCTCCAGAGCTGCTTTCCCAACCTCAGGCAGCAACTAACACAGATTTTTTCCAAGCCAGCTGTGAGGCTCTGGGGTCAGTGTTGAGATCAAGGTGTGGCCGCCAAGCTCAGATCTGTAAATCCGGAATATCCTATGGCCCCTAGACAGTATCTGAGGGACCCAGGATCACTCCCCAGTCTAATGGCTTATATGACTGAAGAGAAAAGTCCCCTACAGAACCGATTAACAGTTCAGAGTCATGACTTCATCACATGAAAACAGGCCAGATCAAATCAAAGTCTGAATAGTTTCGTGCAGGGGCGTCAAACCTCTTTCAGCATGAATTCCATTTTGGAGAAACTCTCCAAGACCTTATTCCAGTGCTGGATAGGACTGAAGGCAGAAGTGTGAGGCCTAAACGCCAAAATAACATATTTTAGTCCAAAGGCTTAAGAAAGACACCCAAACCTTTTAAAATGAGGGGAGGGAAACAAAAACCGAATAAAAACCTAACCAGGGCGATACTCTTACAGAAGAGTTAGTCCAACTAACAGTGTAGCAATTTTGTAGGTTATAATCCTACTCACACTTCATTGGAAACAATACTACCAAAGACGCGTAGGAGCGGGCTGCATAATTCACATCGCGCAGAGCAATACTTGTTGTCACGTTCTTCGTTCGCGGGAAAAACACCGAAGCAACAATCTTCCACCTGCTCGCCAAACAGGGTGGCGGCGCATGCGCATTGCCCCAAGCTAGGCAAAATTCAGCCGCCCCGTCTGTTGAGTTACCGACAAGAAACCGGGTATTTGTCGAGCCTCACCCCCTGAGTGGGGTGGAGCTTAGGCGGGGGAAAAAAGCTGTGGCGCATGCGCAGTATGCCGGAGTTTCTTGGCGTTTGTCCCGTCGCGGGCTGCAGCTTTTCTTTGGGTGAGGCGGGGGGCATGAAGAGGAGGAGCGCGGTGAGGTCTCGGGGAGCTACTTTCTCGAGTCGGGGGCCTCAGAAGGACTTAGACTGCGAGGCTTCTCACTGCTGCTCCCCTTCTCCGGTAGAAAGGGGGAGCTGGTAAGTGTCGCCCGCCTCGACTCTGCCTCTTCCTCCTGTCTTAGCTTTTGTACCCCACCCCCGGGAAAGTTGTGCCCTGTCGGGCTGAGCCCTGCCCTTTGTTTCGGGGCACCCCGGCCTCAGCCCCACACCCTCCAGCCCCATCCCTGCCTCCCAGGTAGTCGGTCTTGCCACATCCACGCGGCGCGGTGGGTAGGTGCGCCTTCCCTCGAGCTCTCCACTCGCTTCCCCCCTCTCGCACACTCCGAGTAGGTTTTTAGTGGGGCGGGCGGCCTCTCCCGGCTCTTCCTTTTCTCCTCTTTTCCTGCTTGTAGTATCTGCGTGTCTCTTGTTCCTTCTTCTCGTTACCTTTTATGTTGGGAAGGGACCGTGCAGCACCTATCGCATTCAAGTTTGTTTGCTTAGAAGTCATTTCTACAGGCTCCAGTGGGAATTACTCCCAAGCGGGAGCGTTAGCAGTTCCTGGTTATACTCATTCAGTCCAGTTGAAGAAAACTTTTGCTTTTGATACTACTGTTGAGAACTGCTGCCTCCAGGAAGGTGCTTCAGTTGCAAGGAGAAATTACGTTGTTTGACGTAAATTCTTCGAAGGAAAGGGAGCACCATTTTAAATTGTTGCGTTCAAAGGACCTTACAAACATAAGATGCCATGTAAATAGCACTTCTTGAAGAAAGGTTTCTCGTTGAGTCTTGAGATTCATTTGTGATTAAATTGGACAGAATTTAAAAGAATGCATCTTGCATTCAATTTAGTTTTCCACATTTGTACACAGTAGGTGCTTTTAGGTTTGTTTGCAGTCCTGTGGAGGAGTAGCATGAGAATAGGCTCGGGAACTTTGTTGCATTTATATCTTGCTTTTCTTTTGTGAAGAACCCAAGGCAGCTTACACGATCCTTCTCCACTCCATTTTATCCTGACAACAACAACCCTGTAAGGTTGAAAGTAAGTGACTGGCCTGAAGTCATCTAGTGAACTTCATGATCGAGGGGGTACTAAAATGTGGATTTCTCAGGTCCTTACTCCAGCACTCTTACCACTTCACTGGCTTTATTTCTGCTATTACAGAAATATATTTGTTTCAATTATCTTGATAGTGACAAACTTCAAGGAATGTAATATAAGAGATGCATAATTGTAATACAACCTGAAAGTGTGACTTTGAGCCATTTCTTCTCTAGTTCAAAAACAGAAAGTTGGACTTAATTATTTCGTAACTTTGTAGTCCCCTGCTGTATGTGGCTTACAGTTTGGATAACTTTAACATGGTTCCCTCCTTTTTTACACTTAAATAATCTCATAGCTTAGAATTCTTTCAGAGTTTATATCATGATTGAAAGCTGTGCAAAAGTACAATATGATCACAGTTATCCTTCTTATTTCACTTTTTTAGTAATCATGGCAATGACTGGTCCGGCACCTTGCTCCTCTATGAGCAACCATACTAAGGAACGAGTGACAATGACAAAAGTGACATTAGAAAACTTCTACAGTAATCTGATAGCACAACATGAAGAACGGGAAATGAGGTAACAGTCCCTGCTGCATCAGTGGTGCTGTTTTGTTGATCTCAAGATTTAAAAAATGGGTTGCCCAGATGTACTGATCGTTTTAAACCTAGGAAACAGTTCTTAATAGCATGTTTTAGTGTATGGAATGCCCTGAAAACATCTCTTGGTAATGTCACTGTACTGTTTTTCAGCCACTGCACTCTCCTTTAGTTTTCTGTTTCAATCCAGGTTGCTTTGTTGCAGTTGCTTGATGAAATTATTTTTAAAATTTTTCTGAAATAAAAATTTGCTTTCCTTTTTACTTAGTAATTTTTTTATTTCACTGTGTCCAGTGTAAACACAGCTTGTATTATGAAACATACTTGGCTCTTGTTGAGGATGATAATAAAAAACAGGCTTCCAGACCTATTTTGTTGCCTGTTCAGAACATGATTCCCTTTTTATTCTGGTATTTTGTATATTTTTCTAAAATATATTTCACATTTATAGCAAAACCATACTAGTTGTTTTCTGATACAAATAGAGATTGTTTGGCAGCAATTTTAAAAATGTACAACATTGCATTACAGATGTGTGATTCCTACTTCATTTTTCAGTTGAGAATACCTCTAAATGGCTTACAAAAACTTTACTGAAAGAAACAATAGAAAACAGTAAAATTATGCCATAGAGAAGTACTTTGAATGCTATGATGGACATTCAAATAGGTCAAGAACATCTAAAAATTTGGACAATGAAATAATCTTTAGCTGGTGACACAAAGGTATCAGATCTGGGGTTGGGGGCCTCTTTGAGGAGACTGTTTCTAAGCTGACCATCACAAGTGAATCAAGTAGTAGCTAGGGATAAAGCTTTTTCACCAAAGAGGGGAAGGTAAGGAAGATCTTAATCTTAATACTCAGTCCCTTCATGAGAGGGGGATCATTTGTTAAGGTACCCAGGTTCCAAACTATTTAAGATGTTACAATCTCTTGGGAGAATGGGAGCAAGAATGTATGTTTTCCCACTGCTCCTTCACTTTCATACAAACACATCCCCCAGCTCTTTGGTTAGTTTTAAACATGGTGCTGCATTACCTAAGCATCAGCTGTGACCAAAGTTAATGATAACTAAACCCTCTCCTAACTTGGGTTTGCAGCTTCCCCCAACCAATTGGCTAACCATGTCAAGGTAGAATATTATTCAGTATGAGAAACAATTTGCCTTCATTGATTATGTTGTAGATTTAAGGTAAGCTAATGTGATGTGCTCTTTATTTTGGATAATGAAGAGTATCCTCTGAATTCTGTGAGAACATTCCATATTGTATTCCAGGAATATGTTATGCAAACCTGAATTGTGCATACTGTTTTAAAAAAGAAAATAGAATCCAAACCTATTTACCGCTACTTATGCCATTTCCACAGTGGTTCACAAATGCTAAGAGCTAACAAGCCATCAGTGAAATGCAAACTAAAGCAAACAGCTGAACTTGAAACAGCATGGCATTGCAATTAAAAATAGTACAATGCATTTTCTTGAAGGTTGGTCATGATTTCAATCAGCAGTTTCCAAAGCAATTTTGAAATAGTTTTTTGGTGGTTTTCAAAAGGCAGCTGGAGGAGGCTACATAGATCTCTACAGTGAAGGTCATTTAGTAGAAGCTAGTCAGTTCTCCATATAGGAGGATTGGAGCAGAACCTCAAATGCTGAACAGGATGGGAATTGTAAAGAAAAGATGGCTCTTAGTATAATTAAGATCCAGGCTTTAGGACACAAACTGGCTGGGTACAGCTGTACTGTTGCGACTTTCAGACTTCATTTTTATAGAGTAGAACTTGTTTTTATGTTCAGTTTTTTGTTTTAAGGAATTTGGGAAGAGTCGCATCTTGTTATTAGAATGTGACACAGCACTGGGGAAAAGTGAGGAGGTGTAGACTTCAGGATACAAAGTTGCTCCAGTTCTAGGATTCCCAAGATGTTTGCTTTCTCATCTTAAAGGCATAGCAAAATATTTTTTCAATTGAAATATAAGAGAAGAACAGGGCAGTTGTCAGAAATTAGGCATGGTCAGGCATCTGCCAAGGGCCCACATCCCAGCAGAGAACCACTGGCAAGCTCAACTTGGAGTTGCTCTTCATCATTGCAACCTGTTTCACCTGACTTCCTCTACCACAAGTGGTAGTAATGAGCAACAGCAGGAGCAATAGCAGATATTAGGAACAGTGGTGAAAAGACAGACCACTGGGTGTCTTGTCCAAAAGCCATCCAAAACTTGGAGCTGCTACTTGATGAGGTTCTCCAAATTTTTTTCAAGCTGCTGGACACAGTGTTATGTGACAACTGTTATTCTCCACTGTGTATTTGTGAAAATGCTCCATAGTTTTCTTACATTCTTGGTGACAGCACTTGACACATTTTAAATAGCTGAATTCTTTCCCTCTTACACAGTTCTTCTGCTAATTTAAATTAGTACTTGCCACAGGCAGACTTTCAGTTTCATATTAGAATAATTGGGGTGCTAAGTATCTTCTGAAAATGTTCCTTGCCAGATAAAATATGTGCACTTTGCTCATTTACTCACCGCTATGCACTACACTGTTATTAATAAAGTTGCTACCTTATTGTCCCCCTTAGCTGCTTAAATTATTCTTATAACCTCCCTGTGGTACAACCTCCGTTCTTTCCCAAATGAAAGTTAGCCATACGTACTCACAGTCTTGTGTCAGTATCTTTCCTTCAGGACTGGATTTAAATTGCCAAACAGACATACTTTGAGTTTGTAGGTTATTGTTGTCATATGAAACTCTTTTTCAAATTACATTTATGAGATCATTACAAATAGCCATCTATACCATCTGTTTTAGTCCTGGAGGGCTCAAATATTATCAGTCCCTAGCAATTGCAAGTTTCAGGAAGAAGGTCTTGCAAAAGAACTAGTTGCATAAGATTTTCGTCTTGCTGTATATCTTCATTGCAAGTATTTGTGTTGTGCTCTTTCTTCAAATAGCTCAGGGTGGTATCCTTGATTTTCACGTAACCAACATGTATCATTTTTCCATTAACAACTCTGGAAGAAGCTGGCAAAGGCTGGCTGCCCCAGGGTCATCTAGTGAGTTTTGTAGCTTGAGTGTTGTATTTGGGCTTCTTGAGTTTAAGGTAATTCTCCAAGCACAATATGTTATGATGGGTTGCTTTTAAGGATCACAATTGCTCAGATCTTTTTCCTGCAAGAAATAGTTCACATTTCAAGAAAAAGTTCTGAATGTCCAGTTAAAACAGAAGTTAACATTGTTACATTTTTATACAATAAAATGTTAAACTTCTGCCTGCTTGCCTCTGGTTTTTGAATATTAGTTTATACAACAAATTTTACAATTTCTTAAGTGAGTTCAGGTTTGCATTATAAAACACAGTTATGTGATGTAGTTCTAAATTCCTGTGTAAACACATAAAACTCCACATTACCTGAAGATAATCTCCTTCTGAATAGTCCCGTTAGATCACTGTACCCTCCCTCAGAATGACCTCCCCTCTTCAGTACAATTTGTTGTAAACTGATGTGGGCTTTTAAAAAAGTGGTAGGGTATCTCAATACTTTAATGTGTTTGTTCCCAGAAGGTGAAACATTAATAGTCCATAACGAAGCCTGCTCTGTATTAGGTATTTATGTAACACTTAACTTGGGAAAAATAATCAGAAGAGTTTTACTTTAACATGAGAAGCTTATTTGAAAGTACATGGAGGTCCTCTTGTCCAGCAGTAGTAAATCCTTTTTCCCAGAGGTAGAGCTCACCTTTTACTCCAACCTTCAGTAATGGATTCCTCTTTTTACCAGATGGCTAACTTTTTTCTTTCTTGTATTTCATTATTCATAATGATCAAAAGTAATTGCAGTTCTCTTCTGTTCAGTGTCCTTCATTAGGCAGAACAAAACTGTCTTGGATGTATCTAATAAATGCCTCATAAAAAGCACAAATGAGCAATCACATTTCACAGAGGTTTAAATGGAAATAGTGTTTATCTTGACCACTGTGTTCACAGAGAATGAAGCTCAGGGATTACAAATCCTGACCATTTTTCTTAGACAGCTTTACCTGATACTGAAATTGAATACAGATGCGCATGTTGTTCTGAGTTGCATATACATCATTTGGAATTTAATGCAAGGTCAATGTAAATAGATTTTCCATCCCCTTTTGACAGCTAAAAGACTAATACAACATTGGAAAGGTAAATGAGTGCCCACAATAACACAATAAGTGGATGATTTAATGAATTTTTTAACTTTTGAATGGGTGGCCTTTAGGTATAATTTACAAATGGTTAAATATATGGATATTTAGGGTACCTTTGTCAAAGTTGATGCAAAATTATTTTTAATTATTATAGCATGTTCTGCTAGTTACATTTTATATATTCCTAGATATTAGTATCTATCACAGATTTTTTATTTATTGAAAAATGCATTTTATTTAATGAAGTGTCTTGGTTTTGGTTTTGTATTGGACAATTAAAATTAAAAATGGAATGCATGCACACTAGCTAAGGTACACTTACTTATTGGAAAGCCTTTTGAAATTGTTTTTCAGACAAAAGAAGCTAGAAAAAGTGATGGAAGAAGAAGGCTTAAAAGATGAAGAGGTATTGAATGTACTAAAATATGCATCCTTAGTGGCATTCTTATTGGACATGTTCCAAAATTTGCCATGAATTGTGAGGGCTTAGTTGTTGAATATATTAAAAAACTAGTTTTTCCTTTTGAAAAACTAGAAAAGAATGAGAAGATCAGCTCATGCCCGAAAGGAGACGGAGTTTCTGCGCTTAAAAAGAACAAGACTTGGGTTGGAAGATTTTGAGTCTTTGAAAGTAATTGGCAGAGGAGCATTTGGAGAGGTAAGATCACATGAGAGTAACATTAGTTCAAACAGATGTCTCAAAGTCCAGTGAAAAATAGTTAATCAACTTTTATTCCTCCCACCAGTTAGCTGCCCATCTAGAGTGAGGGGAACATCTTATCCTGAAAACCAGTAATCTTGCCTAGTGTAGTTTATTTTGAGAATATGCATTACATCACTCCTCTGAGTTTTTGAAAAGGTTATTTAGTACAGCCTCTTAAGGAACTGGACTACTGGGCATTGTTGCTTGTTTAACATTGTGCAGTTTGCTAAATCAAGGGTAGTCCCAAGCTGAACTCCATAGTTGTAGAAAGTATTTACTGTATTCTGATAAGAACGTCTAAGCTTCAGTAGGCAGCATTCCATTGGCTTCTCCAAAAATCAGCTAATGATATAATTTGGTTTTCCTAAACGTCTAACTGTACAGATGCTGCACCTGCTCCAACTTTCCCTATGACAATATAGTGCTGTATCAATAGCCAGTGCCGCCCAGTGAATAAACAACATTACCAATCATTACATTTAAACCCTACCATTTTCCACTTGGAAGAAACACAAGGTGGCTTCTATGGTCTTCCTTCTCTTCACTTTATCCTTCCAACAACCTTGTGAGGTAGGTTAGACTGAGAGTTGGTGACTGGCCCAATTTGACAGAGTGAACATCATGGCTGAGAGAGGGCTAGAACAGAGAATTCCCTAATCATATTCCAACACCATAATGCCTGCCTTGGAGATATGTACTTCCAGTATCTTTTACTGTAACTAATTTCTATTTTTCTCTTATTTTTCATAATCTGCTAAATGCCCATTGTTAGAGAGCATTGTTGTGTGTGGTACTTTTGAGGTATTTATGGTACACTGATAGAGACAGAAAGCACTGTCATTTAGCCATACTTCAAGGAATAATGCTGCTATTTTAAGCTACTTTCCATTACATTAGTCTTAATTCAGAAAAAAACAAATGACTGAAAGGAGTGTTAATGGTCAAATTGTCTATGTTCACCTTCTAGGTGCGGCTTGTTCAGAAGAAGGACACAGGTCATGTGTATGCAATGAAAATCCTACGCAAAGCAGACATGCTTGAAAAAGAGCAGGTAAATACAGGTTCCAAATAGTAATACTAGCACACCCTTATTTGATATTGATTTATGGTAGAGTTCTTTTTCTTGCTGGAGACATTAGGTCATGGATGGGGAACCTGTGACCCTCCAGATGTTTTTCATCTCCAGCTTTCATCAAGCCTAGGCAGCATGTCCAGTGATCAAGGATGATGACAGTAGTCCCACCGTATTTGGAGGACCACAGGCTTCCCATCCCTGCTTTAGACTGATCACAGGATATGCTGAATTGCCATTTCATGGTAATAATTGAAATTCCCAAAAGAAAGCTAACTTTTTTTGATCTTATTAGCAGAAAGGTATGCTTGATGGTGAGACTTTTTGAACCTGCATTCAATTTTCAATCTAAATATTGTTTACGTCTAATATTTACTATACAAATTGCAGTCCTATGAATACTTACTTGAATTTAGTGGAACTGACACATAGATCTCATGTTAGAGCTCAAAACATCAGTCATTGAATAGATGTGTTCTTATCCATAGTTTTATTTATTTATTTATTTATAGCTTTTATAGACCGTCCCAGTACTAGCATCTTGGAATGGTTTACAGCAAGCACAGATTAAAAAATGGCACAGCATCCAGCAATTCACAATAAAATTACAATTAAAACCAATTAAACATTAAAATAATGTGAAAACCTTTTTATTCTCCCCTGGTGCTGAAAAGAAAAAAGTGTTGGTGCCAGGCAAATCTCTCTGGGGAGTGTTTTCCACAGTTGGGGTGCCACCGCAGAGAAGTCCTCCTCCGGGTAATCACCCTTCCCTATGTGCTCTCCTGCCCCGTGAGAGCTGAGGCAGAGGACTTGCTCTGGGAGCCCTCCCTGAAGGAGATGAGGAGGGTGGCTACTGGGAGGAGGGCCTTCTCTGTGGTGGTGCCCTGACTATGGAATATGCTCCCCAGAGAGGTTCTCCTGGCGCTGACATATATTCTTTTTGGCGTTGGGCAAAAACCTTTCTATTTTCCCATCACTTCAATGTTTAGACTATTTTAACAGAGGTTTTATTATCTTAGTTGGATGCTGTGCTGCTTTGTTTATCTTATTCATTTTCATTGTAAGCCATCCCAAGATGCTAGTGGTGGACAGGATAGGAAAAGTTTTAATAAATAAATATATTAAAATGTTAAAATAGGGGTGGAGGGACTAGAACATGCAAATTTAAAAGGCTAAAATCAGAGAAGAGGGGGAAGAGAAAAGAAGTTGGACAGCAGCAACAAGAAAAGTTACAGCCAACCAAAAAACCTCAATTCAAGGACCTTGTTGGCCCACTCAAATAACAAAGTGTTAGCCTTGGCACAGGAATTCTACCTTTTAACAGCACAGCAAACACAGGATACCATGGAAGGCATCAGTATGGAGAATATGTAGCATAATGGAATCTCCTCCCAAGAGAGGAACACAACACCTCCCAATGCTTGGAGCTTTATTCCCCCTAGCCTTCAACAGCTGATCATGGGGTGATCACCTAATTTCCAGTCTCCAAGGGTCACTTAATAACTCTAGGTGCTGGCCATCAATTTGTGGTCACTGGTTATCACCTGTGACCTTGTGACCAATTAAGAGTTCTCACCTCCCTAACCCAAGAGGAGGCAAAAATCTCCCTGAGGCCTCAGCTACAGGATCCCACAAGGCTGGCACCTGGTATTTCTAACATTTTATTTTTTTCTTGAGTTAACCCTTCCCCTGCCTCCTAAAGCCTGGACCTCAAATTCACGTTACAGTGCATTTAAACATATTGCTAGTGGTGCTTTTCTACAGGAAAATATTTTGGCAGCTTTGAAGATTAAATTGGTCCTCTGAATTAACTGTGCACCATAAGAGATCTGCCAGTTTTTTATTTAAGAAAAATATTGTTCATATTTGACAGGAGGAAGCGAAAGATCCCATTGCTTTCACCATGTAACCCTTGAATGTGAGTGGCAGTGACAATGTGGCTGGCCTTATAGGCCTTCCAGCTCTCACTCAACTCAAAATATAAAACCAGTGTTAAAACTTAGATCTTGTCTTTGGTCCTAGTGAGTTCTGAACAGTATATGCAAGATGTGGAATGATGCATTTAATTAAATACTTGGTTTTATTTAAAAAACAAAACACAATTGCATGTTCTTTTCCAGGTTGGCCATATTCGAGCAGAACGTGACATCCTAGTGGAGGCAGACAGTTTGTGGGTTGTAAAAATGTTCTATAGCTTTCAGGATAAGCTAAACCTCTACCTAATCATGGAGTTCCTGCCTGGAGGTAATTATAAAATGTCAGGTTGTTCCTTTTGTTTTATCACAGTCATCTAATACTATTTGTATGTGTGACTACTCCAGCCTATGGGTGCATGGGTTCACATTCTAATGTGCTAACTATTAGAAAAATGAAGCTATACAATTTGATCTGTATATATAGCAAATCTATATGAGAAGCTACTTGACCCATATGGAACCTGCTTGTGCAAGGAGCTCTGTTCCTTGGTAATGAGAGTGGTAATTTTGCTGTGTAACATTTGTCAAGGTGTGTTTGAGAGAGAAGGAAACAGAAGCACAAGTGTATTGACTCAATATCCTGCTATCATTACTGCTCAATAACTATCTTTTTGGAGCTGTAACCAGACTTCCATTTTCTCATCTTCTTTTTACCTAATAACTGCAGAAATAAGTTGATTGTAATTTGAAGCATGCTATTAACCTGGTTGAAAACATTTGAAAGGGGTTTGTGAAATTAATGGCATGTTCAGAAGGTCATTCTGTTTTAGGCTGATATGAGTATGATGAGAAAAGCATTTAATTTAGTTCTGATAAAATGATTTCATTGCCTGTATTTGGGAAAAAATGTACCAAAGACAAAAGTGAAATTACGAGGAAAGATTCTGAACAGTGCTCAGTAAATTCATCTTAAAAATTAGTCTGAATTAAATACTTAGTAAAGTTGACATGACAAATGTAGCTTTGCCTCACTTCCTGTTATCTGTACATATAGGTGATATGATGACATTATTAATGAAAAAAGATACTCTAACAGAAGAAGAAACTCAGTTTTATATAGCAGAAACTGTGTTAGCTATAGATTCAATTCATCAGCTGGGTTTTATTCATCGTGATATCAAGCCTGATAATCTTCTCTTGGACAGTAAGGTATGATTATTCTTTATTGGCTGGCATTTTCTCATGCTCTCTAGAAATACAGCAGCTTGCTACATTATGGCCTTATTAAATGGTTTGGGATCACCAAAGCAGGAGCAATTAACTATGCTTCACCTCCATGCATTTCAGATACAGTTTCCATGTTCTGTAATCATTGGCTGTGCTTGTTGGGGCTGATGGAAGTTGGACTTCAACAATATCTGGAGAGTGACAGGTTTCTAGAGGATTGAAAGAGAAGAATATTGCTACATAGTTATATGAATTTAACCTGTTACTTGGATTACTTTCTAAATATGTTTAAGAATCTGCCATTCAGAGACCTTGTTAAAAACAGTGCAGTAGAGTGAGCTGGGGGAAAGCTGTAACATCACCAACACAAATATGTTCTGTCCCTTTTCCAAGAAAGACAACTTGTGGGCTTTTATATAGAGCTGTTTTGTATTGGGATTTTTAAATATATTGAACCAGGGTTCAAGCTTAAGGCACTGAAGAGGGCACTGATTCATAACTGTTAGACATTGCTTTAGGTTCAGGTTGAAAGCTTTCTTCTGCTGTCTCCTGTACATGTTCTCAAAATAACTTAAGGCAGGGAAGGGTATCATGTAGCGTTCAGAAGTTGTTGGATTGCAACTCTCATCCTCCCTCACCATTAGCTATTTTGTTAGGACCAATAGAAGTTGTTGTCCACTAATATCTGAAGGGCTACATGTTCCCCTCCCCTGCCTTAAGTGAATAGTTGTATTTTCACACTATATGCGACATCAAATGACCCAGACATCTGCATTAAATAAAGGGTTTTTTACCGATTGGTCAGATTCAGTATTTTTTTGCCATTATAAATTTTATTTTACTGAAAATAAAATATACTTAGAATTTTTTCAGGGGAAAGACTTAAATCATAGCCAGTGGGATCTTTCCATAATTCCAGCATATACAGTTTTAGGAAACATTTCAAAAATTACTTCAAAAACTAGTCGTCACTGCCCTAAACTGATTAAATGTAAAAAGCTGGGAGGAAAGTAATACATCCATATATTCTTCTATTAACTTTTACCCAAAAGACTGAATATCTACCACAGTTACAAATAACAGTTGTTGGATGGACCATTGGTTTAATTAATATTGCACTCTCTATGCTTACCTCTAATACAGCCTCCTGTGACATTTTAAAGAATCACTAAGATGTTCTTTTTTTCTTCTTCCTTTTCTTCACTTACGTAGAGAACTCACCTTTCTCCATATTTTTAGGATCTGCTTTTTTCCTCGATGCATAGATGTCTGCATAAAGAAACACTAATGTACTCAGAGTCGTACACAGAGTGCCTCAGTGATTCCTGTGGTTTTAGAAACATAGAAACAGAGCAAGTCAGAAGGGGTCTCCTGGGCCATTTTGTCTGGCCCCCAGCTCAGCTCATGAAATACCTACCATGTGCATTTAGGGAAAGTGCAGCCACTGTCCTTCCAATGAGTGCTAATTATATCTGTGCAGTGTAGCTCGCAAATTTTTCCATGCATGTAGAGCAAAGAATGCATGCATGTGTGAATTAGCCTTAAGTTTTTGAAAACTTGTTTCCTGAAATCTGACTATAGTTTAGGGCGTAATGACTTTTTCCTCTCAGGGGCTTAATATTCTGTTCCTGTAGGAAGTCAAGTGACATCAGTTAATTGCTGAAGACATTAAGCCTCCCCTAAAATAAACCTATAAACATGCAGCTCTTTCCTTCTAGTATTAATAATAAATACTAATTAATTACTAATTAATAGTAATATTAGGAACTAATTAATATTAGTGTTAATACCAGAAAATTAACAATTTTTCTTCTGAAACTGGAACTTGGAAAGTATCAGCCAAATGAATCCATAATTATCACAATTATATGACCTAAAGGGAGGGAGGGTGACCTTACTATCCTTATTTACTGCTTTACATGTAACTTTTGAGTTGTACATAATAAGCCAGTACTGAAGTTGGGAGACACCACCCCTAAGTCAATTGCCGCCTCGCCCACCCCCCTTCTCGGCAAAGCTGACTGAACTGGTTGATCTAGTCCTCCCTATTGCTGAGTCAATGAATCGGGTGCCATCCTATGGGGAAATTTCTTCTTTTTTGTTTAGAGTTATTGTATTTTACTCTCATTATTTAGGTTATGTATAATTATTCCAGCAAAGTGAGGAGAAAAACTATACTACCAATTGATTGCATGTAATTAATTAACATTTGAGAGACAAATTTTTCTGTACAAATTTATTCAGCAATTGCAGCAAGCAAAACATCTTAAAGTAGCTTTTTAATTTTGGGTCTATAGTTTTCATTTATTTCCTTTGTGGAATCTCTTCAGACTTCTCATAGTCTTCCAGCCAGCTACAGATTCATTAATTTCTTTTCTGAATGGCATATGCATCCACACCTTATATAGTTCATATAACTCCAATTCATCTTTGGGTAGTAAATTTTTCCTTTGGTGGTTTTACTGCAACTGTCTGTTCCATTAGTATATCTGATATATTAAGAATTATAACTAAATACATTGTTAACATTCGTATACCACTTGATTTGCTGCTAAAAAAAAAAAAAAGCCATCAGGCTGGTATGCAACAATTTAAAATACTTTAAAAATTTCAAAGATAAAATATGTACTGTATTAAAAGAGAAAATCAATAAAAACAGTGGCTGGTCACCCGAGGATGGTCTCTTGAAGTAAATATATTTGGGGAATCGCTGGAAACAATGCAATGATTGTACCTGCTTGACCCCCAGAGGCAGGGAGTGCCACAGAAATGGAGCTACCACACTGAGGTCTCTTCTCTAGGTGGACTTTAAATGGGTCATAAGACCACATGGAGCCACCAGGGTTATGCCCCCCGATGACCTCATTGTCCATGCATGTTGACAACAGAAAAGATAGGCACTCAAGCATTCTGGTCCCACATTGCTGACAAAGGCTGATTCAGTCCTCAGACCAGTTCGAAACCCAGACTGGAACAGATCTAGATGATCAGTATCCTCCAAGAGTGTTTGCAGTTGCTCTGCTATGACCCTCTCCAGTGTTTTCCTTACAGGAGGGGTATTTGTGACTGCGCAATGGTTGTCAGATGCTACTGGGTCCAGGGTGAGTTTCTTCAGGAATGGTTGCATTTACTGCCTCCTGAAAGACAGAAAGGACCACCTTTCCTCACAGAGATGCATTTACAGTTCCTTGGCCTGCCTAATCATACCCCTTCAGCTGGCTTTTATTAGGCAGAAGGGGCAAGGATCAAGAAGGCAGTTGAGCACCTTGTCCCATTATCAGGTTGCCGCAGCTGACATCCTACAGAACGGAGCAGATGGCGATGTCAGACACCTTGCCTTGGAGCTGTTCTAACAACTGTAGTGCAGTTTCTTCAATGATTTTATAGTAGCACATGTTATTTTTATTGCCTTTGTTTTTGAAACTTTATTTCACATAAAATTCCATGTGGAAAATAATCAGTATGGTGTATGTCTACAATATACTGTTTTATGTTTTGAATTTTTTTCTTCTTGACCTCCAGGGCCATGTGAAACTGTCAGACTTTGGTCTGTGCACTGGACTAAAGAAAGCGCATAGAACAGAATTCTATAGAAATTTGAGCCACAATCTTCCTAGTGACTTCAGTAAGTTGTGTTATATCAGTTCTTGTTCTGATAGAAAAGATGTTTTTACTGTGTACCATCGCATGTGAGCTACAGTCAAATTTCTAGACAAAATAGTGTTTATCAGTAAGATAGGAAGTAAATTTCTATGTTGTTGACTAGTTGGAGCAATCAGTACAATTGATCCAGAATCTCAACACCTTGTAAGGGCTTGGTAGCAGACCTATCATAATAGTAAAATAAAAGAGAAGGAGATGTGTATTATTTATTTATTTAAAACATTTCTATGCCGCCCCATATGTGAGTTGGAGGCTCACAATGGGAAATTTTTGAGTGGTAACTGTAAGGATGGTTATGTGCTCAGGCAATTCTCAAGCTCCTGCTTTAGGGGCTGTACTCCACATTATTCTGGCATAAGTATTCATGACTCTCTGCTACACTTGAGTAGCATTGAAACTAACATTTACATTTAATATCCTCAGTCCAAGATATCCCAGTTGTATTTTTTTCCACTGTTGTAAATACAAATGGCAAAGTAGTATTGAGTAATGGTGAAAAGCATTTTTGTGACAATGGAAGGCATTTGATATATGCCAAATAGTATAAAGTACAGCAGTTTTTTGAAACATATCCTAATTAATGCCTAACTTTTGCTACCACCCATGTCCAACTTTTATTTACTGTTTTTTAAAATTAAATTATTCTCTCACATTCTTGGCTATTGAGGAGAAGGGGGAGATGAAAGTCACTAGAGCTCAAGGAAATATAAAAAAAGTTTGACCTCTTCTCAATAAAACAAAGCCACTCAAGGGATATTAATAATATATCTTTGATCTTTAGCATTTCAAAATATGAACTCGAAAAGGAAAGCAGAAACTTGGAAAAGAAACAGGCGACAATTGGTAGGTAATGGTCTATATAGAAATCATGTTATGTTTGTTTAGAACAGAAGTGCCACCGTGCTTATTGGTGCTTACTCCCTGGTAAATGCACATAGGCCTGAGTGTATCTTAGTTGTTTCCTGGTTGGGAAAATAGAGGGCCTAGAGGGAGCAAAGTATTCAATATTGTCATAAAGAAAAGGAATGTTCTATTTGGCGTTAAGCACTGTATTTATCTCAGCATCTAATCTACAGTAACAGTGATCATTGTTAGTGAAAAGGAGATTTACACCCTCTTTGTGGTGCAATCCTCTCTTTTTAAAATGTTGTATTGATGATTCTCAGGGTGATGTACATTTTGCACTTTTGCCCAGGACTGAAGAAAGTACAAAAGTGCACCCCACGTTCTCTAAGTGGGGGTTTTGACAAGGATATGGGTAGTTTATGACTTGGATATATATCTGTATAACTGCAGAAGGGGTTGCAATTGGAGCAGTGGAGAGTGAGCCATTGACTGTGCTTCAAAGTGCCACTTGGGCACTTGATAGAGTGGCTGTCACTGGCAGCAGCCTGGGTGAGCTTGGCAAAAGCAGAAAGAAGTTTTTGTCCCTCTTGCCAAGTGGCTCACTCACTGCTTCTGTAACTTATAATGCAGTCACTTGGTCCTGCTTGGATGACACAACAACCCCTAAAACCAAGCCATGGGCTGTCAGGATAGATTGGCAGGGGGAAAAGCAAGCCACCTTGTGGAAAGTAGTTGAGGACTGCATGACTTGAAACCCATTGTGAATAGTTACCCCTGATGGATTGTCATGTTATGAAACACCATCAAATTTGTTTGCAAGTGTGTACATACATGATAATTTTTCAACTTATTCTTACTGGATGTTTCAAAATGAAGCCTAAACAACAGTGAAGAAAAAAGATAAACAGGTGATTGTTCTTCCATATTGTAGTATCAGTCTTTTAGCTGTCAAAGGGGCACAGAAAATCCCAAGAGGTGGATTGATCAGGACATGTGTATTATGGAATATTAAAGAATTTTCCATCACAAAATTTATTACTTCCTCCCAAAAGGAAGCAACCACAAGGCACCACAAAAATATGAATAAGAAAGGGTTCAGCTGCATTGTACCTCTAATCGTTGACCAATAGTTGACTGTTGTGTCATTGAGTATACTTGAAACATCAACATTTGCTGAGTCAGACATTGTCTACGTATTACCCCTTCTGAAATAAATGACAATTGTCAACTCCTTCGTGCAAAATAGGGTGTTAGGATTTGTTATTCCATTCTTGCCTAAGGGCTTATTAATTGCATTTATTCACCAGAGTGTAGCTGTTTGCCCTCAATCCTACTTTCAGTAACAAAGGTATCTCTGAAGCTGTAAAAGCAGCAGGACCAAACCTGTTTTTTAACAAATGTTTCAACTGCATATATTGCCAATCAGCCATAACGAGCAGATTATAATTAGTGCACAAAAGGAAAAATAGCACAAAGTTATTAATCAGGAACTAACAGTTTGATCTAAAGTAAACATCAGTCTGTCTGTTCAAGTCTGTCAAGCAAATGTTTCCTTGACAATCTTTAAGTCTAGATTTCCCTGTAGAGCTAACCTTGCTTTTAAAAACAAATGAAACTTCAATTGACATGAAGATATGCACCACACCTCTCTAGCTGCTGAAAATGTAGGAAGCATCCTATCTGTTCTGCTATGGCAAGAACCCAGTGCAATCCATTTGGGAAGAGGATCCAAGCAGGAATAATCCAGAAATGACCAAGGAGTGAGTGGAAAAGACTAAAATCTAGTGCAAGCCAACAGGTGGGCCCGATGATATAAGGAAAGATCAGGGAAGTCAGATCCACCTTCATTAATCAAAAGTGGCTTGCTTTTCAATGATAGTTGTGGCAGAATGGAATCCCATGGATATTTCCTAAACAAAATATTGAGCTTCTGAAGTACTTGTCAGAAAGAAAGAAATGCATTCATTTTAAGTATGTTTCCCTTACCATAGGCTTATCTTTGAGGTTGCCCATGTATCAATGTCTCATTATAATTGATGATTATAATGAAATATATTTCTAGGAACAGATATTCCCAAGTAAGTAAAATGCTCAGTATACAGTCTGAATTGTCAGTTAATTAACATCCACGGGAGTTAATATATTCCCTAAAACATCAGTTCAAATTTTGGCCAGTTAATAGACTTAACCATAATATGATAAATATTCAAAATTAGGGATTGTGTGCATCAAAGCTGGAATGGATGCTGGAGTTACAAAATATACAGTAGAAGATCAACAGCATAAGGAGCATATTTGTATTTTAAAGCATTGTGCACAAATTCATGAATAAAAGGAATTTGCAGACAGCACATGATGAGGGTTCCAAACATATGTCTAATATGAGCAGAGTAAGAGGTCAGCCCTGTCTAGTACATCTCAAGTAAGAAGAAATCAGACAAATTTGGTTTGAACTCTGCCTCTTGGGGTTTCATATAAAATGATGACCCATTTCTGAAGTTCTGGAGAAAGAATAAAATTTTTCAATGTAGCAAAACGGAATTTCCTATATATTTCATCAAAGGGCTTTTTGTGCAAACAAAGAAATAGTGGTGGCTGGGTCTGTTCTGTCCTAATTTGCAGCAATCAGTTCTACAGCCAGTTGAAGAACATGCTAATTGCTGATTACTACATAAGCTGCTGTCCTGCATAATTGCCCTGTCTATTTCAGCCTTGCTATCGCAGAGTAAAATGTCTGAAATGGTAACAAATATTGTTTTATTACAGGCCTTCTCTACTGTGGGGACTCCAGATTATATTGCTCCAGAGGTCTTCATGCAGACCGGCTACAATAAGCTCTGTGACTGGTGGTCTCTTGGAGTCATCATGTATGAGATGCTAATTGGTAGGAGGCAACATATTGTGTTAAAAATAAAAGTGCAGAATGCTTATGGAGCTCTTCCCCTCTTGTGACTTCTAAAGTAGTGTATTCTACTGGATATACCTTTTTATCATGATCTTCATTGCAGTTCTGTTAACCCTTAAGCAGTTTTAAGGGGCTATGAGATAACTAGATATATCTTTGATTAATCACTAACAATGGCTTCTATAATTTATTCCACAGGTTACCCCCCTTTCTGTTCAGAGACTCCTCAAGAAACATACAAGAAAGTGATGAATTGGAAAGAGACCCTAATATTCCCCCCAGAAGTTCCAATCTCTGAGAGAGCCAAAGATCTTATTCTGAGGTAACTGCTGGTATTACTACATCTCAGAGCACAATTTAGCTGGCACTTGCTTGTGTATTCTTAATGCAAATGCCAAAATGTCTCCCTGTTCAGTCAGCACTGATTTGGTTCAATTCTCAGTCACAGGACCTTTGTTACTTAATGGACAAATTCATGGAAGAGAAAACTGTTCACAGCTACTAATCATGATGGTATTACCAGTAGCAGAGGCGGTGTGCCTTTGAATTCTAATTGCTGGGAGAAACAGCTGAGAGGGTTGTATGGAGTCCTGCTGGTGGGCTTCCAACTGTGTGAACAGAATGCTGGACTACACAGGCTGTCAGTCTTCTTCAGTACAGCTCTTATTATGCTTTTACAGCAGGCTTCAAGGAGTGTTGGGAGCAGCTTGAACTTTCCTTATGCTGCTTCCACCTTCACTTACCAGCTGCATGAAGTGAGACAGCCCACCCTTTAAGTTTTCTGTACTTTGCAGACAATGTGAGCAGAGAATAGCTCTTCTTCCTTACATTGAGCCTCCTGCAAAGGTCAGGATGTTTCCAATCATCCTGAAAGTCCAGTGTTACAGAGAGAATTTGCACCTGCTTCTGATTTTCTATGCAGTGGAGATGTTTGTATGTTGTACTTCTGAAAAGTGCAGCAGCTGGCACTATTTGACATAACTGGACACTCAGCACATTCTAGGTGTGCCTCATGATTTCTCTGTAAGGTACAGAGGACTTGAGAGTGAAGAAAATGATCCCTTGTGTTTCAGATGCTTAAAATAAACCTCAGAGTGAAAAAAACCTTTGAAGTATGTCATTTGGGTGGGGTTGGCTGAGATTTTGTCCCTTTTCCCACTTTGTCTGCCATTTTAATGCCTTGGCTAATGCTGAGGGATGATAGGATTGCAGTCCAACTTTTAGAAGGTCCCATGTTTCCCATCCTGCTCTGTACTGGCAGAAATACCTCTTTCTATTCATTGGGTCTATACTATTATTTTCCCACTTAAGAATTCTTCATGCTGACTCCTTTTCTCTGCAGATTCTGCTGTGAATGGGAACATCGAATTGGTGCTCCAGGGGTTGAAGAAATTAAAACAAACCCCTTTTTTGAAGGGGTTGACTGGGAGCATATCAGGTACAATATTTTACTCTAGGGCATTCAGTTTGTTTGGTTTTCTCACTAATAACATAGTAATTGGAGAATACTGTGCAGTAATTGTCTGTGAATAAGGCAAAGTTGGAGTTTCAGATGTCCTCATAACTTAGATTTGGGTTTGGATTCATGATTGTTTCTTGCACCATAAAGTCTAATTTTCTGTCAGGGAGAGACCAGCTGCGATATCCATAGAAATCAAAAGTATTGATGATACATCAAACTTCGATGAATTTCCAGAATCGGATATACTTAAACCTGCAGGTAAATGCATCTTAATTTCATTTTATATGTTTCCTCAGCAGTTCCTTCTTGCACAAGAATTAGCAATTTCATTGACAATAGTGCCTAACTGACTGCATGTCCAGTTCTGCAAATCCCATGCCCTTATTTCCATTACAGTTAAGCCTGGCTCAGTTGAAAAAGCTTGCAGGAGAGGACTGTGTCTGGGTTAGAACGACATGGAGGCCAGAATGAGTGCTGCTTTTATAGTTTGATCCAAAGGAACATATGCTTGATAGGGCTGGCAGAAGCTTAGTTGCTGAATATGAAGTTACTTTGCTTATTTTAATGACCCCTTACTCTCAGCCAATGTGCCATAACTCACCCCATTCAGCAGAGTTCCCTGTCTCTTGTAGTTGGGAGTTTTTTGGGGGCAGCTGGAAACATTGGTCAAGGGGAAGGGGTTATGGCAATTCTCACTAGCCCTGTTAACCTTGATTTTCTCTAGTAGCAACCTGGTGGGTTTAAGCACTTCTGTTGGATTGTGGCCACAGTTTGTTGTTTTTATCCTGGCTTTGAACTTTTTTTGTTTGTAATCTGCTTAAATAATTTCCCTCTTCTGCTGATTCCTTATTTTGTTACGCATTTTCTAACAAAGCAAAGCAGAAAGGGGTTTTGAAAATGACATAAAATTGTCAAGAGTTTATTTTACTCCAAAGCAGTTTAGTTAAATGCATGAAAACATGTTTGGTAAGGAAGTGAGGAAGCTACTAGGTTTAGTGTCTAATGTGCATTTTGATTTTATGTGACACTTGATGTCATTGATGGCCTTTAATGGCACAAAAACAATGTATTTGTGGCTATTTCTAATCTTTAAAAATACACCTTAGAATTATAAAATAAAGGATAGTATAGGTTTTGTTTTGTTTTTCCATTAAGCAATTCTAGAATATTCTCAACAGGAAAGTTGCTATGCTCCATGTGTTAAGTGGTTTAGTTGACTTCTAATTTATGTATGCTGCTCTTCTTCAGTGACCACAAGTAACCACCCAGAGACGGACTACAAGAATAAAGACTGGGTCTTTATCAATTATACGTACAAGCGTTTTGAAGGCCTGACAGCTCGAGGGGCAATACCATCTTACATGAAAGCAGGAAAGTAGTGACTCAGGATGAAGTATTCCCGGATTTTCGTTCTTGCTTGTCAACACACAGATTTTTTTTTTTTGTGCTTCAAAAACTGTACCTGAGGGCTGTGAACTCTTGAAGAGTGCATAATAACATCTTATATAACATGTTTACAACAGATTTATCTATGGAAAACTCCCATAAACTGCACTTCCTGTCTGCTTTTGCAGGCTTTATTGCAGATATAGGTTCCTCTGGCTTAGTTAAAATGTGTAAGACTGTTATTCTATCAACAGGAGGGAAGAGCAAGCTTTTACTTAGGAACATGGCAAAGCGTAGCATAACTGTGTTTTTCTTAGATGTTCTCTCCTGAAAATGCTATGTAAGCACTGTTTTAAGGGCTGAGGTATTCAAGAGAAAACAGAGCAATAACTAGTGTGAAGTAGACCAAATACATTGTAACTTATCCCATAGGAGGGCAAAACCTATATTGCCTTAAAGGTCACTCAAGTATTTTATACTTTCTTCAAAAGATTTTGGATAGAATTTTTTCAACCCAACAATAGCCTCAAAAGCTGCTGCACTTTACTTTTGGTACTAAAATAATGATCCTAAAAATATTAAGCTGTTTTCTAAATTTCAGATTTGTGGAACCTTATGCTTTTTATAAGCAATTTCAGGAGCGCTGGGGTGATTTGAGAAATTTATGTAATTTTTTTATCTGGTAAAAAGCAGACCACTGGCAATGGCAGTGTTAGCTTGCTAAAGCTAATACTGTAAGGAGGCCTGTGCTTAATAGATTTGGGAGTAGATCAAGAAGACAGCTCCTCTTTCTTTTGCTAATCAAAGCCAAGAAGTTGTTTCAGGCAGAGAATGGCACTGTGAAAGTTTTAACTCATAGCGTGAGATAACTTGTGTGCTTCATCCTTTGAAGCTTGAGGGCTGAGAGACCATAAGTGCCTTCAAAATACTTCCTCTAGAGATCTCATCGGGTAATGGAGACTATTTTAATTAAGCTGGATTGTTCATATTTTCTTTGTGCTGTAGTTCCACACTTTGGACTTTGCTGTGGCATTGATCCTACTTTCATGTTGTTCTGGTAATCCAAGTGTGCTCCAGCCCTCTCAATCTCTGCGTGATAAAGTGGGCTGCCAACACTTCCTATTTCAGATACAATTGCCACTTGCTGTCCTGTGCATGTCACTATCTTTAAATTAGTTCCAGATGATAGTAAGTTCCACAAAGACAGGGTAGTTGTACAGTAAGAAACCTAGTGCACCTGAGAGCTGAAGGGAAAGGAAAATCTAAGGGCTGAGGTCTAAATACACACTTTTGGAAATTACAGATTCACCTGAATATCAGGTGAATTAATTTTTAAAAAGCATGAAGCTTTTCTTTAATGAGTTCTTGGCAGTTTTATCTGGTGAACTAGTAAGCCAAAAGCAGTTCTCAGATCAGATTTAGGGACCAGGACTCGGTGGCTGCCATTCAGGAGGCTCTTCCCTCTCCCTTTAGAACAGATAAAACCTGGAAGTAGTATCTCAGGAGCCTGTAGCTTAGCCATTCTCAGTGAAGTAGTTAAACAATATTTGATTTTGTCCTTATCCTGTGGGAGTATGAGGGACTCTTTTCCCAAAGTAACAAGTAAAAAGTGTTTTAGTAGACATTGTACCATACAGAGTTACATGTTCACTAAGATAACGTGTCCCATGTTCCCCTGAGGTAAAGTGGTTTTAAGTGCTAACCTAAAATGTTCCCCTTACATTCTCTCTCTCTCTCTTTTGTCCAGTGTTATTATTACCCTACCTTGGCATTCCTATAAATCTTGCTTTATGACCAGTTTTCTTGATGTGGAACTACACAGAAGCTTCAGTAAAATGGAAGCTAAATATTATTCATTTAAATGCCATCCAAGAAATGTGTTTAGCAAGGCTACAAGAATTGACCATTGGTTCTAATTTCACATACCCACTGAGCCTGGTTTATACTTATTCCTGTATTCCAATGACATGTCCCACCCCTGGTGGGTCTAGAGTTTTGCTTATTTGCTATGTAATGATGGGTTTAAATTTAAATTTCTGGTGCTTGCTGAATATTGAAAATACGTAGCAGACATAACTGGTGCTTATAAAGCCTTAAAGAAAAAGCTGTGGAGGACCTCAGGATAACCTGATTGCCCAGAGAGCTGCCTAGCTAGCTTGCTTACACAAAAGGAAAGGAAATATTGTTGCATGCCATCTCCTTAAGGTTCTTCTGCATTACGACCAGATCACAAAGCTGCTCTGTGCCACCATATGACAGATTTTGAGCGCAAGCATTGTATAAGAGTGCATAGACTGAATTTCAATATAGGGCATTTTTATTTTACTCCTGGAAGATTTACTCTATGTTGTAATAAGAACTAGTAGAACATATTGATGCAAGCAAGAGTGTTATCCTACATCCTGTAGTCTGAGCAGCAGCCAAGATCACAGTTGACTCTCCAGGTATCACCTAGTGACACCATCAGTGGGATGAGGCCAGGCCAGTCAAGCACAGTATGCACCAACAAGCTTGTGAAAATTATGCACTTGGAAATCCATGATTTGTGTTCTGTTAAAAAGAAAACAAAAAAGTAGCCATAGAAGCATTATAGTTTGGATTCCTGTCATGTTAAAAAAAAGAAAAAGAACAACATTAAAGTGGTCTTTTCACCAAGCAGACCATATGTTTGTAAATGTAATGTTGACTCTCTCAATGGAAGTTAAGGCAATGGTTCATACGAGTTCCATTCCAGCAGTAAGCTTCCCTTTTCTAACCACAGTTAGGCATTACACAGTTAGATCCTAAGGTGAACCAAGGTTCCTATTTAACTAGGTTCTGAAACCATTAAGTTTTGGTTATGCAAGAATCCTGATAAGCCTTAACTGCCATTAGTCTCAGTGTTGATGTTAATGCATAACAATTCAGACAGAAGCAAGTGCATAATCCACTATCAGCTCCCAAATCTCCTATTGCTGGCTCTGTCACCCTGGCAACCCCATGGTAAATTCTCAAAAAAGGTCACTATCTTGGCAGGAAGCAGTTACCCAGCTTACTAGTCCTGCCAGTACATACAATTTGCTGTTCTCTGCCTCACTGAAATATGCATTCATGTTGCTCCAGCTCAGCCCTAATGATACGAGATTAGGACTTTTGGCATATGTGAGTACAGGAGAAAATAAATTTCCTGGCAAGTAAAAGTAAGTGGCAGTGCCAGTTGTGATTCCTGGCAGAGTACTACACTTAGGTACTATTCAACCAATGTGCCTGGGTTCTGCCTTATTTTGGCAGGAGACAATTGTTTTGTATCCGCATTCACCTGTTACTTATTGCAGTATATGATTTGGTATACTTTGTATGTGATTCCTGGGTTTTGTGTGAGACCAACTCTTTCATGGAACAATCTTTGTATTTGAAACTCTTTAAATTCCTCTTTAATAAATGTACTTTTTCTAATATTTTGTGGGCTCTTTGAATTGAAAAACTCATCTAAAGATTACACTCTAGGTAATGAATGTAAAAGTAAATGTTTAAGCATTTGTAAAGATGCGTTTGCTAAGTATCTTGATTAGGTGTAATGAGTAAATATTGAAAAAGTCAGGAGGAAAATGGTGTAGGGTACTGCATGATTGCAGGAAGACTGGGAAGTGCACATGAATCCTGCCTCTAATTTTGACAATGCCTTGAACATGTTGCTATATTTGGGAGGTGGATTCATAATATTTGCTTTGCAGGATGCAACTCAAAACATCCCCCAGAGGTGCTTCACATGGTGCAAAATTAATGGGTACCAGCTGTACCCTGCAAAAAGTGGTGCGAATGTACACTTTGATTCTGTGGTGTATGCACATGAGAGATGTGAAGCTTTGTTCAATGCAGTACACAATTCCTTAGAAGATTCAACTTTCTGCAGATGTTAGTCCTCTTTCATGGACAGAAGAAAAGATAATAGAAAGTAGATGAAAAGCACATGAGATTAAAATCATTTTATAAAGAATATGAAATAACATGTAAACAACATTTGTAGGATATATAACTGCAGAAATTATCTCCTGTGAACACTGAATATTGAACTAATATAAAATGAAACACATATTCATACTTCAATGGCAGATAATGAAGTACAGTTATGATGTAATCACTGCTCAGATCTCCAAATTTCAGTAAATTTTGCTAAAAAAATATAAATTTGAAAACACTCAATTTCTTTGAGAAAGCAACATCTGCAAATAACTTTCATAGCATATGAAAACTGCATAACTGCCTATAGCTAAGTTAGAAAAAAAGTATAATCCTGCAAAGTTGCATTCAATCTACCAGTCATCTCAACTTTATCTGGACTGGGTAGTCCCAATTGTATTATAGTGCCTCATGTCCAAGCACTCATATTTAAGTCTTTGTTCTTAGAATTCTATTTTAAGATGTGGTTTTTTTAGTTGGATCCAGACTAAATTTACCCATAAAAATTGATTTTAAAGTTGAATGAGTAAATCTGGATTTGACCTATTGTGCTTCCTGAGCATACATTAGGGTCTGCTGTAATATAGTATCCTGGGACATCTGAACATGTATTTCTGTTAAGTGACATACCTGACTTATATGCAGTTGCCCATGAAACACCAATGTAGCTTTGGCAAACACTGTTGCTATGCCTTTTTCCTTGCAATTCATAACTTCCTCTAGGTTCAGTTAGAGATCTTATGGATAATTCTCATTATCCCCACACAGCTAGTTTCTGCAAAGGAAAAACTAGTCAAACCAGTTTTAAAACTGACTTGACTTTGTATAGGTGATTAGTCTTTAAGTAAATGTTTAACCTCTGTATGAGAACAAGTCTTGCTAAAATGAAATTGGCACATTTTGCTAATTCAGCATACACCAACTTTGAATTCGGTCTTTCATCTGGAAGTGTTCATCTGCAATATCTTTGTTTGCTGTTTTAAATAATAATGCCTGCCTATGTAGGCATAGTCAACAGAACATTTTCTAAAAGACCAAAGGAATTGAAGAATACCTCATTTTGTTTGATGACAACTAGTCCCTCTGTATGCCTTTGAAAATCCTTTCTGTAGGCACTTCTTGTGAAAAGATCACTGCATCACAGCTAGGTCAGAATATTAGCAAACATTTGTCTCTTCCATTAAGGAACACAAGTTCTAAGTCCGGAATCTTGTGTGTACTTTCCTGAAAATAAAATAGTCTTATTTCTGAGTAAACATGTACTGGATTGTACTGCAAGTCTATTTTATCTACAGTCGTGTGTTAATACTAATGTCCATTAATTTTTCTTGGCTATAAAACAGCTTGATCAGACAGACAATGAGCTTGTGAAAGAGAATATTGGTCTTAAGCAGTTGTTTTTTCCCAGAGTGTATAATGCTGCCTTTTCTGACAGCAAAACTATATCCTATATATTGCATAATCAGATGGCTTGATTCCTGCATTGTGGTTCCCGACAGATGGCAACCAGTCCCACATTTGTCTTTGAGACTGCAAGACAGACTGCTTGCATGCACTTTTTTTTTTAAGTGTATTTGTAATTTTGAGCGCTGATTGTAAAATAGTGCTAGATTACCTGTTTTAAAATCACATGTTCCTGGAAGCCAAAACACCTTTTTTTTTTTTTGGAGGGGGATGAGAGAACACTTCCTCTCTTCCATAGTTACATTCTCCATCTGAATGTTAAATATCAAATGAATTGCAGAGAATTGGAGGTATGCTGTACATGAAGCTTTTAAAGCACCTTGCCATTACATAGGTTAGCATATTTTTTAGAATTATGAACTGACCTCTCTGCAACCATATTGGAGGTAGTTCTAATCCAGAAAGACCATGCTGTGCAATTTTCATACATTTCTCACTGGACTTGGTGCCCAACAAAAAAATTCTCCCTTCACGGAGAAAGGCATGTATTATCCCTATGTAGGAAATGCATTAGCTAGCAGAAACACAGTGACATCCTTGTTTCCTCCAGATGTTCTGGCCTATAGCTCCTACCAATGAAAATGCTGGCAGTGACTGATGGGAGCTGAGATCAAAAACCTTTGGAAGGAGACAGGTTGGAAAAGGCTGGTAACACACCAGTGGGGAGCCTTATCCATTTCAGCATTTCTTTTCATCTTTATAATAGCTATTGATGGTGGGGAACCCTTGTTGAGAATAGAGTGCAGCTCCATCACCAGTTCCTTTAAAGCTCAAAATAAAAGCACCTGCAGTCCATATTTGCATTGGTTAGTCACCAGCCTCCCATAACCATACAAGGATGTATTTAAATAGGTAATTTTCCCCACATGACGTATGCTAAGCTGGTGCCTGTGACATGCTTCCATCTCCCACCCTCTTGAACCAGCATGGTTAAAATGGTCAGGTATGGAGGGAATGGGCCAAAACATCTGAAGGCGACACCAGTTTGGGTAGGGCGAGTCCTTGTAACACATGTCCTTGCTGAGCCAATTCAAATGTTCAGTGTTACCTTAAGAGCAAGAGGAAGTAACGCAAGAATAAATCTGCTTCTTTTGGCAACATGAAAGTCCTGGAATGGTATCCTCTGCATATCAGCTAGGTAACAATACAGATGGGAGAATTGCCAAGGCTTTGTTACTGAAGCAGGAAAATTCATATGCAATCTACCTCTGCACCGCCAGCCCCTGATCCTCCTGAAAAGCTTTTCTGGGGAGCTGGGGAATGCTTTGGAGCAAAAAGAGAAGCAACAGAGGAGCCTATAGGAGGAATTAATGGTAATGTCCGAGCCCCTTTCCTCCCGCACGGAGCCTTCACTGGCACCCTTCTGTTCATCTAAGCTATGGCCATTCTGGATCCAACTCACAGTTTTGTTTTCATGAGTTCCTGTGGAAGTACAATAGTTAAGTCATTCATACTTGGCGATTTTGAATGAATGCAATGCCTGCTGAGGTTCAACATAAAGTGCATACACATTTACATTGTATTTCTTCCAGTTCAGTGAATGGGAAGAATTATCTGAGTATATGCTCAGCCTCAGTGCCAGTTCTCATGGTCCAGATCCTCTTTGGTGGCTATTTGATGGAGACCTGAGCAGATGATCTGGGCACAAAAGTCCTCTCTGCCTGAAGTGTTCACGTGTAGAAAGCACAGCAACTGCAAGACCAGAACTGCTTGAAAGAGATCCAATTGCAGGAAGACTGGTGATGGGCTGGTCTGCATATTTAGTCCTGATCCAACTGTTCAACCAAATCCATCTGAGGGAACTTTGCACTTCAGCAAAGTATTACTCTGGTAGATCATTAGGATTCATTTGTGAAAATGGTGCATTTAATCTGTCGAGTTCGTCCACCTGCGCAGGGTGATGTAGCATAACCTCCTGATCTTCTGTTGTATCTTCACTGACAACAAGGTTTGTTAGAGATTTGCTTCTAACACACTGAAAATCAACATGGCGACTCTTTCCTTCTTCCTTTTCCCAAGACATCTGGATGAATGGGCGTTGTACATAGTTATAAATAACTTCTGAGCGCCCTCCAGGTCTCCTTTTCACTTTCTCTTTACAGGTTGGGTAACCTGAAACACAATGATTTTGGTATTGTTATCCTCTCTGCTTCTGGCCTCTGCAAACAGCCCTACTCCCAATTCAATAAACCAAGCATGATCCCAAGCATGTGTAGAAACAAAGAAGTCCTGCAACTCAGCAGCATTCCCATGGCTGGCATGACTGTCATACAGCCGTTTCTGTCTCACTGTGCAAGGGATTGCACCCTAAGAGGATTTCCAGAATCTGACTTGCAGTCCTTCCTAGGCATGTGGTTTGTAAGCCCTCTTCAGTTAAAGGTACAATATAACAAATTACAGTAAAAAGAGCAAAACACAGCAGAGCAACAGTATAAAACCATTAAAAGGTCTGAGCAAATAACAAAGACAATAGGAAGAGAATCACTGTAGGGCAGCCTTCCCCAACCTTGTGCCTTCCAGACACATTTGGACTGCAACAACCAGAATTCTCAGTCAATGGCCCTGCTGGATGAGAATGCTGGGAGTTGCAGTCCAAATGCCTCTGAAGGCCTCCAGGTTGGGGGAGGCTGCCTTAGGAGCAAATTCTAGAGAGCGAAGGTCCTTTCTTCATGCACCATCCACGCCACTTCAGAAGGTACAGGAACCCACAGCAGGGCCTCAGAAATAGCCAGAGAGGTTCATGAGGTCAAAAACACTTCAGTGGAAACCCTGTTTTCAAGCTCCTTAGGTCTGGGTAGAAAAGATCCTTAAAGGAACAGAGGGTATGTTCTTGCCAACATATAAACCAGCCATTCTCAAAATACAGAAGTTTACATTTTTCTCAAGCCCTAGCTTTTGAAATGACGGCTAGCAAAGCTCAAAACTAAAGAGAATGAGCCACAAAAGGCACTTTATTTTTAGTAGTAAACCATCTATTTTCTCCTCCTCCTGCTCCCCCTCACAAGCATGAAAAACATACATAAATAGGCTACTAGCCAAGCCTGGCACCCACCTGGCATCATCTCAGAAGTGTGGAGCTAATGCGAAACAGCACCCTCACCCCAGAGGAGCACAGCTTCACTGGAGTATCAGAACTCAGCAATGCATAAAAACCATCTGTCAGGTATTAGATTGCTGTGATAAGGTAGTGCCAGGAAGCAGGATAAGTGTATAAAACAGAAGCAAAACTGGAGTATAGGTTTGACAGAGCCAACTAGCAGTAGAACCAGGAAATGGTTTCTAAAAAGGAAACTGCTGCAGGTGCCTTTTTTCCAAAGCTGCCATTATCTCGGAAACCCTACACTTACCTTCAATGCCAATACGAATATTTTTCAGGCCACGTTCTTTCAAAACTGTCTTTGCAACATCACGGTTTTCAATGTACTTGAAGAATCGGTAGAGCTTTGAACTATACAGAACTTGGAGGTAGGAGGAAGAAGCCATAATTAATAATCTGCTAAAAATACATCTTCTGACAATATTGCCACTGGCAGTGGCAGTTAATATACTTTTCTAGCCATTTTTTTTTTTAAAGGGTAATCAGGAATTAGTCAAAGTTATTCATTCAGAAGCAGAAAATAATGCTAAAAGATCTTGCATTACCTAACTGAAAGGTGAGAAATGCAGAATTATAAAATATAATGCATGGAAAGGGTTGCACTTTAAAAATAACTATAGATCACATGCCCAGGCAAGCCTGCCTTGTACAAAATGCTGCTTTATAACTAACAAGAATAGATATATTTTAAATCACAACATGCCAATAAAATCATGGCTAGTAAATCAGGGGAGGCTTGTTTAAATCAAAATATTGTTTAAGCCTGACAAAGAGTCTGAAGAGGAATTAGATACATAGTTTGCCACAGTGTGTGAAGCCACGAGTGGCAAATCATGTGTCTACTTCCTAGACTGGTTGGGAACAATGCAAATTGTCATCTGACACATCTGGAGGGCACAAGGTTGGGGAAGATTGTCATAAACAATCTCAGTGTTAAATGTGCCCAATTCCACCTCACTAAAATAAATGAAGCCGCCTGCTTAAACATGTGTGGGGCTAAGTCAGTCTAATGGGGATTACTGTATGCAGGGAGGGAGAAGAATAGTTATATTATTTGTCACTCGTGAATTCACTTGAACGATTCAAAAAATGCCTGCAACACATAGCTGCATTCCAGAGAGCACCCAGAACAGACCTGCATGACCTTGCTCCTGAAAAAACTTCATTTTCTAAATGACAAAAAGATTGCTGTTCAGAAAGATGATATCTTTCCAGGAGGGAAGATATCTGGATCTCAAGGAAAGTACAGGCAGTCCCCAGAGTTACGAACAAGTTCTGTTCCTGTCCTTAGGTTGAATTTGTATGCAAGTTGGATCACATACAGATCATATTTAGCATGAGTAAGCCAAATGTTTGTCTTAGTAGAGCATATATTTTACCTTTCCATGCATTTAAAACACTTACAAATACACTAAAACATCTGAAACACAGTACAGTACTGTAATACAAGTTATGGAAGGCAACACTAACTGCATGTGGCCCAAAACACATGGGCTTGGGTACACTTGAGCCAACAAACAGGTGACGCCATGAAACATTTTCATGAACATAATAAACTAGTTCCTGCATTCGTTACCACAAACTGTTTGTCTTTAACTTGTTTTTTTAATTTCATAGGCATTACAGTAGTTTGTAAGTATGGATGTTCGTAACTCGGAAGTTTATAACTCAGATGTTTGTGGCCCAGGGACTGCCTGTATGTGAAAAAACTGCACATGAATGAATAAATTAATGTCTTGGAAGGCTTTTGGCACCCAAGCTTATATCCAGTTTTGCATACTATCCTACAATCAATAGGAAGTCTATGTGTCTAACCAGACATTGGCCCAAGTTACACAAAATGGCATGGGTTGCTTAATGTGTGGTTTGTTAGGGCTGTGTAGGAGCAAGGGAGCACACTGCTTGCTCTGTCAGCTTTGCATCTGATTCAGGAAACAACCTGGGAACCCATGTTGGGTTAAAACTCTGTGTTATTTTTTCCTGAACAAACCAGAACTCCAGGGTCTTACACACACTGAAGAGGCTGAGAATGGAGTGTCCCTGGGATTTTCTAAATCAGATGCCATGTGGAAGTGGCAAGAATGCAGCAGGTAGCTCAGTCCTGCATGGCCCCAACCAACTATGGTTAGTCATCTGGGACTGCACAACACAGGGCTTCATGGGAATCAGCCTTAGTACCAGACAAAAATAAATACATTCTTTATGAAAGCCAAGTTTCCTTATACAATACCTATCTATTTATTAAATACAGCAGTAAAATAAGACCTTCTGAAAATGTGAAAAAAGTACTGAATAATGTTGTGTATCTGTTTGTTCTAAGCAATCCCTATCGGGCTGTTGTTGCTGCTTCTTTTGTCTTTAATAAGACAATCTGCTGTGTGTATCATGTAATATATACTTGACCTAACATCCATTTTCTATTATTTTGTTTTAGTGCAGATCACTCACTCTGAGAGTATTCCTCCCCCACTGGCGGTGGATAGTCTTCGTCCCAGTCCACAGTGTCTTCATCCGTTAAAACTACAATGTGACATTCACGCTCGCCTTTCTTGGCACTAGCCACCATTATAGGCAGGATGAGCTCTTCCAGGAAGCAATCAAATTGCTTGTGAGCCCCATCATTAGAAAGCTCATGCAATAGTGCACCTAATAGGAAACAAGTCACACATGAGTCTTGGAAACAACAGTCTTACGTAGCCATGGAAGTCTCAGAGACAACCCCAATGGCAGAATGGCCCTGATATGCTGAGCGTGGGCACACCTCTCCTTTCCCTTTCACTGCACTTACTTAAATCTTGACACTTGATGGTGTTGAAGTCGAAGTTGATGCAAAGGTAGTCACACGTGTCTCTGAGATCAGGAATAGAAATCCCCTCAGGACAGTTAATGATTCCAGTTTTGTAATAATCCTGAAAGTACAAATGGTAAATCATGTCACTTGTCTCCTGTTGTCCCTCCAAAACATTCAGAGTGGTATGTTCAGGTCTCCTCATGAAGTCTTTCATCCAGTAATCCATCCTTTCCCAACCTGGCAACCTCTACACCTATTGGACTACAATTCCCATGATCTTCAGCCAGCACACATCTAGAAGGCGACAGGTTAAGGAAGGCTCTGCCAGCTGAGCAGTCTGTTCTAAGCCTGAAGATTGCTACAGGGTTCACATGTCCTTGATTGTATTGTTAAACTGTCCCGAGACTTCGGTATGGGACGGTATAGAAAAGTTTTAAATAAATAAACAATAAATAAATAAATAAATTCCTTTCATTTTATTTTAAAAATGAAGCATTTTTAGTTAGTTTCACAATTCCCTATACACTACAAACGAGAAAGATTATGGGTTAAAAGAGAAAGGGCTATTCAGGCAATAAGGTATGATATAAATGTTATGCACCAACTCAAAAGCAGGACACAGAGAGGAAATGAGGAAAAAGCCCAAGGTCTATCAATAAAAAGATAATACTTATTGAGAGATTTGAAGCTCCTTTAAACCTGAAGGCAACATTCAGAACTCTGCAGGCAATAACTTTGTGAGCTTTCTCACCAGCACAGTCCGGAAGACAGTGGAGCTGATTCCTTCTGCAATTACATACTCCCCTTTCTCATTAGGCCGAGTAAAATTATATTCTCGTCCTGGTCCAAACATTCTGAAAGGCAACAAAGTATGCATAAATGTATTTCAGATGCCTCTGCTTCAAACCAGCTGGTGCGTTGGTATAAACTGCTGTTTCACGGGACTATCACAGTACTGAGGTCCCCTGGTCATATGAATGGGGTTCCATGAAGCTAGGAAAAGAGCCAAGTGGTGTGGTGGTCAAATGGTTGGACTGGGGACCTGGGAGATCTATGATCTAGTCCTCACTGGCCATGGAGCTCCCTGGGCGACTTTGGGCCAGTCACTCACTCTCAGCATAACCCACCTCATAGGGTTGTTGTTGTGATGATAAAATGGATTGTATAAGCCTGTTTGAGTTCCTCACAAGGGGAAAAATAAGGAGGGACATAAATGCAAGATGATGATTATGATGATGATGAGGATGAAAACTTCTGTTCAGAATTATTAATTGTGACTCAATAAAACATGGCTTATTGGCCCAAGAATGAGTTCTGTGCCTGGGCACTCCCACCGTGAATTTCCCTTCCTCTATTAAATGCCTGGTTTCAGCACTTGTATCCTTATTTCTGAACCAAGAAACCATGCTGAAGTCTGGCTCCAAGCACTGGATATCACTTTAAAACACGCTTCACCATTTTGTTTCCAAAAAGCAGCTATGGGGGGTTTCTCAATCCAGATCAGGACTTCAGCACAGAGGAAGGCCACTAACTTTCCATGGTGTTTTTCTGCTGAAAATCCCACCCCTTCCCACACTGAAGCCCCTGTTTACCCTATTAGAAAAATTAATCAGGATAAGGTTTTTTCCTCCAAAGGGAAGAACTTCTGCATTGAGCAGAGGTTGGACCAAATGGCCACTAGGCCCCTTCCAACTGCATGATTCTATGACATGAAAACAACCCGAGGGAAGAAGTTAAACCCTAAAGCTGGTTCTTGAATCTTATCAGACCCTAAAATCACTCCCACCTATACCAGTAGCACTCTCTAAACATTCTGTTGAATATACTTCTGAGGCTAACAGCCCATAAATGCCTTCATCTCAATCTGCATTGTGGTCTATCATCCTAAATGCATTTACTAAGAGTCAAATCCCATTGATTGCAATGTTCTAAGATCTGAACATCTTCTAAAATGAGCATCAGTTCAGTCTCAGCATCAATTACTGTACACTCAGGGTGGGATCCAGAATAGTGCTTTGGGGTGTTCTGCTTGTGCCAGGGGAACTAGGCAGTGAGAGAGTCTCTGTGATTCTTCCTTCCACTGCAGCAATCAGCACTTCCCAAAAAGCTTCTCTGGAAGGCTCTGGAGCAGCATGTGGGGGGCTACCCAGATTTTCCACCTCTGTTGGGACCTGGTGCTTTCAGTTCACCCAATCCTGTTTCCACACGAGAAACTGCCTGGAAGTTTTAGAAGGTAATAAAGCCACTCACCTTCCCAGCATTGTATCAGGATGAGCAGTGAAAATCTGGGGATTTACCACAAATCTAGTGCCATCGACCACAAGAGTCACTTTCTCAGGTGCTTGGACTTGCAGGCTGTTATTCAAGCAATTACAGCTGTTTCCATATTGTTCTGGGGCAGTGTGGTAGTCTTGATTTCTTTTAAGCCCTGCATGGAAGAAAATGCTTTAATCATCTTCAAGAATATTTGAACACCGAGGGTTTGCAGAGTGAGAAGCACAATTGGAAGCTCTCATGCAACCCACTGCTACTTCCAGCCATGGAGGAGTGGGGAGCAGTACCGCTACTAGCCACAGCACTGCAGTAATTGCCTAAGTGCTTAATTAGATTAAATAAGGTAAAGGTTTCCCCTTGACATTAAGTCCAGTCCTGCCTGACTCTAGGGGGCGGTGCTCATCTCCATTTCCTAGCCAAGGGAGCCAGCGTTTGTCCGCAGACAGTCTACCATGCATATAATTGTAGATAACTCATCAAATAGATAACAGCAACATTTCAAGAAAAGAGATGCTCCTGACTTAAAAGATCACAAAGGGGCTTTCTAGAAACTCTTGTACACACAGCACAGTTGGGGACACATGAATTTAACCATATATATACACAATGCTATCATGCACATGTTTCCATATTCAAGTCTGCACACTGCTAGCAAGATGGGGACACATTCTGTTTTACACCCTGAACTGACATCACATTTCTGGAAGAATCACATGCTAAGAAAATGAATATCCTCTAAAGCAAGGCTGGGGAAGTTGTAGCCCTCCATATGCTGCTGAACTTCTATTCCCATCATTCCTCACCTTTGGTCAGGCAATCTGAATTTGGTGGGAACTGGAGTCTAACAGCATCTGGAGGACCACAGCTTACAGAGCCCCATTACACAGCCCTAACTATTTATTTATTTATTTATTAGATTTATATCTCACCCTTTTTCTTACAAAGAACTCAGAGTGGCTTATATAATTCTCCTCCTCCTGCTCTCAGTCTTATCCCCCCAACAACAACCATGTGAGGTAAGGTGGACTGAGTGTCTGTGACTGGCCGAAAGTCACCCAGTTGGCTCCATGGGTGAGAAGGGAGTAGAACCCAGATCGCCTGAGTCCCAGTCCTGTGCTCTTAACCACTACACCACACTGGCTCTCTAGCACAAATAAGTACTCAAACCAGATCTTTCTTTACCCTATCATCTGAACTCAGGAACCTGGTTTGTGTTGTTCCCAATATAACCAAATAAAGGGAGCAGCAAGCCAGGACCCTGGTTTGGGTGACATGTGAAACAAAAAAAAAATTGTAGCAACTTGGACTAGTGAGAAAAACCCTTTGGATGCAAAAGAATGGTGCATCCCAGGATGCAGGCAAGCCCATTTACAGTAAGATTCTACTGAAGCTGGCCTACCATTTCATGGCAAGCTGTAGCTTGGCTCAGTAACAGGTGCAGTGGGTTAGGCTGCATCTGACATCATCCTAAGCAAACAACCTTCTTGAACTTACCATGATTTCTGCATAGAGAAGGAATGTTAACAGTTTGGCTGCCCTGATCCAGGGTGCTTTCTCCCAGATCACCAAATGTAGCAGTTATGTTTTTGATCAGCTGAGAAGATTCTTGATTGCTCAACCTTTCCATTCCAGCAGGAGAATTAATACTGATTTGGGATGCTCATAATTCAGACTGACTGCCCATCTAGGGGAAGGTCCTATAAAGGAGAGATAGTTTGGGGTTACATCTAGCAGCAACCTCTCAGCCTAATGTGCCCTAAAGTATGGTCCAAATCATAATCAAATCTGAATCTATTACACTGAAGGGCCTTTGGTCCCCAAACAGAAATGCATTCTTCCTGCTTTAACTACCCCACTGAGCATCACCCACTGTGAATCACGGTTCCCGCCTCCCTTGGAGTTGCTCCATCAAATATTTTGACTCATATAGATTAGGCAAGGTTGAGGAAGTGAATAATACTCTTGGCCTTTTTTTATCCAGCAAAAACAAAGGACTGGGTTGAGATATAATCTATGTGAAGCTCTTTAATCATTCAAAGTGTTATTTAAATGCCATGTACTATTCTTAGTTAAGAAGGAAGGAAAGAGGGATTAAAGCCACCTGCCTTTCACAGTCTTTATGTCTTGCCTTTCTTCAAAAGAGCTTAGGGAAACTTACATGGTTCTCTGCCCTCCCTGCCTGTTTTAGCTTCACAACAGCTCAGTAAAGTAGTCTATGCTGTGATCGGCCCAAGGTCCTCCAATAAACTTCATGACTGAGTACAGATTTACACTCCAGTTTCCACAGCCCTAGTCCAACACTAACCACTTCACTAGGCTGGGCCTCACTCTTGAAGTCCTGCGCTGAACAGGACTGGATTTATTGGCCCCTTCTACTGCTACTATTTCATGACTCTATGAGACTTAGGATAGCCTGTTTCCCCTGTTAGATCTAATATGCAGTTCTTGTTTACTGACTGCGTATCTTAGCCCACCTTCTTTACCAAAATTTGAGTAGGCAACAATGAGAGTTAAGCTCATGTGTGACACTTCCCTGACACAGATATGCACTGATAAAGAAAACCAAATCAGTGTAGACTCCTATGCTTCAAGATTCTGCAAGTGAGCATTTTTCCAAAAATACGATAATCAAGAAGCTGCCATCAGCAATGCACACCTTCACAGGGACAATGTCATGTGTGATGTAGCCCTGAGAAACACACCAGTATTTCTCTTGGTCATTTCTGCGACTGGAAAGGTGAAACTAAAAGACACCAGTTCTGTATACTGCCAGACAAACTCACACCTGTTTCTCTGAGGTGAATTCATTCTTCCCTGGTCATGTTTTCAGATTTGGGAAAATCTGCAACCACGCTCCCCTGTCCAGCTGTGATATGGGGACCACATTGCCAATGTATCATTCTCCTTACCTGATTATCTTACTGTGTTAGCATCCAACATGGATGGTGACATTTTAGGAACAATATTTAAGACCACTCTGTAAAGCTAATGAAATGCCCAGTGGTGTTTTGTGCTGTTGATATAATCCCATTTAAAAAGAAATCCAGTTTCTTCAAATACAGTCTTGAAACTGCAGCCTAAAACACAGAAACAAACAGAGGTTATTGTGAACGTGTCTCTAGGAGCAATATTATCTTGCCTTCTTTTTACTGTCAAGTAGAAGGGCCCCTGCCTCTCTAGCTAGGACTTGCCCTACTCTAGAAATGAAAGCAAGAGAAAGACAGAACTCTTAGACACATATTTAAAGGAATGTTTTGGCTCACAACTTCACAAACAGGGAAAGTTTGAGAGTGCAATCTGAAATTCATCCATTTTTCTTTTAACACATAGCTTATTCATGGTGTGAATATCATGAATAACGCAAATAGCATGCAGCCTGCAATGGCTTCTCTTCCAGCCTTTTATTCCTGCATCACCCACCCCTACAGCCTTTTCCTTTATCCTTAACCTGCAGGACTCTCAACAGGGCAGGTTTAAACCAGTCAGGCAAGCCGAACTATATTTGGCTACTGAGTGCTGCTGCTTTAGCATTCAGTAGCATGTGTGTCTTTAGATGGGCACTTATAGCCAATAAACAAACAAACATAACTCGTGCAACCTGTAAAGACAGTGATATTTAGTTATGTAAGTAGTTTAACAGTGTGATCCTGTGCCTATTTACTCAGAAGTAAGTTATCCTGCATTTCAGAGACTTCCAAGATAGTGTAAGGAGTCTTGCTTGTTTGCCTTCCTCCTCTCCTCTTGTTTGGGATTCCCATGGATCTCCTACACTTTCATTCTTTGTTAGGATCACTTTGCACAATAATTGGCATTTGATCATATTATAGTTTATTGCACAATGCACTGGATACACATTTTCTGTGGTTCCAATTTTGTAACTGTGCATTGTTTTCTCTTGTTACCTGTCACTCAAGATCTTGATGTGTCATGATGTTTTTCCAGTGTTTCCCTGAGGATTTCTCAGTGTTTCTGTATTTCCTTGTGTGCTTCTATATTATTCTTGCACATCACCCATTCAAAGTCTCATTTCCCTCCCTCTCATGACTGCAGCTCCATAAAACACTCTGTGTATGTTCTATTCCTCGCAGTCAGTCTTAAACTGATACTCTTCAGTGTTGATGTAATTTAGGGATCCCTGCTACTGTAAATAAACTGAGTGCTTGATTGTACTCTTCCAGTGAATCCAGGTATTCCTTCCAAGCAAGTCTGAGATCCTGACACACCCTCCCAAACTGCTGTGGTTTAGTCCCCATCACCAGTGAAGCGTCACTGGTGATGCAGACTTGGCATCTTCAGAAAGGAACTGACACTTCAGACTAAAACTCTTTCCTATCACTGAATCCCCACTTATCCTGCCAAAAAGGAAGCCCAAAGCAAATACCAACATCATACAAAAAATAATGTCTCAAGACAATAAATACATTTTTCTTGCAGTAAAAATGCTATATATAAGATTATAAATACTTCTGAAATTCAATATTTAGGAAAATATCCATTCAGTAAATAAGCAATATAAAATTATTTAACAATATACTAATAACAGAGGGGTAATAAAATACTGCTCATATTTTAGCCAAAAATATACACTTACATATATGTACACACACACACACACACAAAATAGCAGCAACTATAAACCATTTGGACATACAGTTAAAGGAGACAAATTCACCTTGCAGCTAACAGATGCCAAGATACAAACTTAGAAAAGCTAATTAAAATTAACCGATGGCATTTATATTTCATCTTTTCCTAAGGAGTTCAAGGCAGTGCACTTGATCGGTGTATGGAGTCTCCCCTACCTCCATTTTTCTACTCACAACAAACCTGCGAGGTCTGTTGAGGCTGAGCGGTAGTGAGTGACTGACTCCCTCAGTGAACTTCATAGCTTGGTGAGAATGTGAATCTGAGTCTTCCCAGTCCTAGACTTGAACTCCTTTAGGAGACAGACAAACCCTTGTCCTCACTGATAAACACACGGAGCAGGTGAAAGACCACGTCTTCAGTACCAAGCTACACATTTGTCTACACTCAGGCCAGGCAGGTGAAGGCCTTTTCAGTGATTGCCCCCTCTTGCCTCCAGAGTCCCTTTTCTAAGGATCTCGTTCAGCTCTGCGACTCCTTAAGTGTCCACGTGTTATGAAGATATGGCTGTCCCAGGAGACATTTGAGGATATGGTACCCTGAATGAGGCCTTGACAATCCTGCTATCATTGCTAGTGCTTTAGAGGTTACTTGGCTTCTTACTTCTGTGGCTTTTTCATCACATGTTATTTTAGTGTTGTATCTTAAACTGTTCCACTTGTTTGAATGTGCTGTTGATCAGCCGCCTTGATTTTGTCCAAGTGATGGAAAAGCAAAGTGTATGTGCTCTAATACAAGTATTGGGAAGGGCTTACCAGGAGTAGCAGCTTTTTCATTAGGAACCTGAGTGCTGCAGCCCAAAATACATTCCCTCAATATTAAAAAAAAAAAAGCAAGCTACTGTGATTATTAAAAGTGTTGGAAAATACAAACATGTGCAAATGCATGGGCGTGCAGCCCTGGAGAAACAGATAAGTTGCAAGTGAATTTCTTCTTCTAGCGAAATCACATTATGTAATACGATTGGCATTCTTTGTGTATATGTAAAATTATGTGTTACATAGTTCACTCCAGAAAAAATCAGTGTCACTGACATCCTTTTTTTGAAATAAACAAATACAGGATGGACTGTTCTAAAATAAGCAGTGCTAGGATTACTGCGCTGGGGTTGTGAGAAATTCTGTAAGCTATTTTATGGCTTATTACTAGACAGATCTACTACAAAAGCTTCCCATAACCTTTTAATAAAAGGATTACAAGAGAAAATACACAATAATTCTTCTTCCTGGTTTGTGCTGCCCCTTCCAATAGCCTACACAAAATATGGAAGGTTTATTTCCTTTCAATGCATAATAATATAGTATTTTTTAAATTATGCCTTATGCCAAAGCAATGATTTACCCTTCACACAGCCTCTCTTCATAATTATACACACTGAAGTTTTCCATTTCCAAAAAGTGCAATTTGTAGCCTCTAAACGGACACTTTTAACACAACCTAGTTAAATAAAATATATCTAATATGGCAGAAAAACCACATTTTATTTTTTAAAATGTTTTCTGTTCCAGACCTGAGATAAAAAAAAGAAAAATAATTTGCATGGAAAACTCCAAATGATTGAAACACTGCCACAATCAATGCCCGATACTATCCTTGGAATCAAGTTCCCCCATTATGATGGAAAATTAAATATCTTGCACTTACCTACAATCAGTAAACAGTCCCAGCTGACAGAACAATTTGGAAATCTTGAAATTTATCTTTCATAAAGAATTGGGCAAATCTAAGCCGCAGAATAGCAGGCAGCGATGGCTGCTCCTGCTGTGGCAATCAAACTCTCCACCCCCCCGTCTAAACTCAGTTGGTGATTCATGGGCATCATTTCAGATTAAAAGTCCCTGCCCAGCATACACGAAAACAAGAGCCTGCATCCTCTCCCAGCAGCGAGATTCGGTTGAAATACTGGCATGGAAAGAATACGCATTCATATTGGATGTCTTAGGGATCTCTTTTAGAACTCTGCTTTTGCTCCTCATTTCAGAACTTCATATTGTTCTGTGAACTGTTTCTTGATGCAACGTGTTTATGTCTGAAGTAACCTATTTAACCTCTTTCAATAAATATTTTCGCAGAAGAAAACACATCCAGACTGAATAAACTAGAATGTTCAGAAGGGGCTAGTGTAAATAAAATACATGCTTGTAAAGAACACACGCCCATATATGTCACTAACCTTCTCCAGAAATAATATGGCACTCTGCTTCTTCCCAGAACATGTCTCCAGGGTGCATCTGCATCACTAAGCTTGCAGTCCTGTTTGGACAGAAAAAGTGCTGGGGAATGCTGGAAGCTATAGGATTTTTTTCTTTCTCAACATGCCTAGAATTGCACCCTTAGTTCAATTAAGTACCACCCTCTATAGAAATAATTGCAAATTCAGTTTAGAATTACACATTAAATACATAATACTACACCACGGTGGAAACCACCATGGAATGGCTTGTCATGTTGTATGAACTCAGTCAGGCACGTACGTCATGGTACAGAGAGAAACAACTGTCTGGTCTATGGTTTCCATGCTTCACCATGTCTTCTTCAATTGTGTGAACCCAGAGACAACATTTCTGACCAGATCTGCCTAGTGACTGATGAGTCAACTCCGCCAGTGCTCTGATTCACTGCCCCACCCTCACTCCTGCCTCTGCCTTCTCCGCTGCCCCTGATGCCCACGGGTAGCTTTGGAATGTTGCTCTCCATGCCACCTCCAGCAGCAACACCACAGGTAGCCATGTTTATGTGCCTGTCTTGCATCAACACTGTTCACAAGTCGTTCTGCGATTTCATTTCTGGCACAAGCGTCAGCTCTCTCTCTGCAAAGCCGCCCATCCATAAGAGGAGTGCACAGATTTGCCGAACAGGGAAAGTGCCGTGCAAAGGTCATGTCTTCTGCTTTGTCTCCTGCCCTCGGATGTGCTCCCAGCTTGTCCCTGACATTCCTCTGGACTGTCAACAAGCCCTGCTGTTGCCTTCCCTGGTCTTCTGAACCTGCCAGCATCCACCACTGCCGGGTGCAGGGTGTGGGAGTTTCATACCATGATTTCTCAGTGGATCTGGGAGAAGTACCTAGGGAAGTTCCACTGGCGGAGCCTCCAGCCTGGCATGGCAGTAGCCACATTGGAGTGCTGCTCAGGATTTCCTGTCTGCCCTAAAAAAATAGGCGGGTGCTGTGGTTGGGGCCGTGGTGCAGCTGCTCCCCCTCAACACACGTGCTCCCGACTGTCTCTCAGAGCCACCGGGGCACTGCTGCAACCGAGCTCTGCGTACAGATCTATGGGCACATGTCCATGCAGTCACGGAGCTGGCAATGCCAGGTGCAGCCAACGGCAGAAGTAGAGCGCCTGCATCCAGTGGTTAAATGCATGCTAGCATGGTGTGGGGCAAAGTGGGGGCTGGGGACCGTGTGTGGGCACAGGCCCAGGGCAGCAGAGTCTGTGTACCAGCAGAAGTGACTCTGGATTTATTCACACCTGGCATGCTTTGCTTTCCATCACAGCCACACTTTTGCTGCCCCCGAGTCCCTGTGATGCTGCAGAGACAGGCATGTTTTGCAAGAGCGATGTGGTTCCTGCAGGAAGGGCTGGTCATGGGGCTCTGTGCAGGGGGGTGAGGGGCAGTGCCAGATGAGGCCGCTTGCAGAGCACCCTGGCATGGGGGAGGGGGGACGGGGAAGGTGCCTCTGCGTGTGGTGGTGCAAGCAGCAATGGGGAAGGGCTTCTGAGGGCGTGCTTGTGGGGTGCCAGGGGAGGCCTGCTGTGGACATGGCCTGGGATGAGGCAGGGAAGAGCATGGGCTGCTGCACTGATGCCCTCCGTGGCCTGACCGCAGGGCGAGGCGGCCCCTGGCTGAGTGTTTAAGTTCAGTGCAGAGGGGTGTATAGACAGATCTGTAGCAAAGGAGAGGCGGGAAGAGACCTGGGTGTGGATGGGTATGCTTGTACTGTGGCACAGGGTTCAGCAGCACAGGGGAGCACCACTCTCATGCTACTCTAGAGCAAGTGATACTCTTGGTAGTAAGTGGCTACCTCAGTGGAAAACAAACCAACCAGGAGCACCTGTCTGAGGACATGCCCTGGGGAGTGTGTGGATCAATGAGGAAGAGGCAGGCAATGTAGACCAGGGTGGTTCTCTTTAGGATTGAATTCCAGCTGCAGAGGCTAATGGGATACCTGCTGCCACTAGAAGCAATGATGGAGAAGGGTGGAAACCATGAGACTGTCTGAACCCAAGAACCAAGCCATGTCATGCAGCAACCACACGGCAAAGTTTCACATCATGTGTGAATGAGGCCACACACTAGCAGTAGCAAACTAGGTAATTTTAGACCCTGGACTCAATGGTTTTATAAGAGCTTCCCCTAAACAGCTGTATGCATTTCTTCAGTTGTGCATCACAGCTAACCTCTCACCCACTGCCACTCCATGCATTACATCTGTTTCTGCATTTTTTATAAATTAGGCCAATCCCCCTACTTGCCAATGATGAAAAACAAAATAATCTGAATTATTATCATACTGTGTTTCTCTCCCAATTTTCTTGCGCTTGTGGTGAATCCAGCGTGGTTTATATAATCCTCCTTTGCTCCATTTCACCCTCACAACCACCATCCCGTGAGGACAGTTGCACTGAGATTCAGCGACTGCCTCAAAGCCACCCAGTGAGCTTCATGGTCCAGTGAAGACTAGAACTCAGATCTCCCAGGACTTCAGTCCAACCCTCTGACCACCACACCACCCATGTAGGATTTAGCCTTTTTAACTCACTTAAATGAGAGCACCATCATGATTCCAGTAATAAAATGGAGTTCAGTTCTGCTGCCCCGAAACTAAACACACGTACTTGGAAATCATCCCCTTTTCTTGGAGAAGAAGATAATATATTTTAAAAGTTAAAACAGAATATTTGTACATGCATGGTTTGGGAACCCTAAATGTTATCAATAGGAAAGGAAGCTGAGGCAACAAGCTTCTGCTTCGAGGCAGGGCGAGGGGGCCTGGCACCCCCATGCTGGCCCAAATGTTGGTCTTGGCCCTGTGGACTGCTCCCCATCATCTGCTGAGAGCGATCACTTGGCCCCTCTAGTTTATTAGCTCTGGATGCCAGCCCCAAGTGCAGCACACACCAGGACCTACTGAAAGAGTAAGCAAAATACACCCCTTCTTAACAAAATTCACCAACACTGAGAGCTTTTCCAAGTGGGAAATTCCAGCAATCCTAATATGCAATTACGCATGAGCAACTGACCAACACTGCTCCGCTTCCTAGTGCGAACAGGCAGCAGGGATCCGCCACCAGTCTGGGCTTCCTCAGGTATATTCATGTGGCATGGCAACACAGTTGCCTGCATGGTTCTGGATTATCTGCATGTGGAACCCAGTCAATTTAGACGTTTTTTGGTGATGTCATCGGGACCGTTTTATTGAGGAAAAATGCAAATGATCTGCAAGAATCTGTTGGATGTGAGTGTGTGGAGGGCTGATTCAGTGGTGATGGATAGGGGTAGGGGAGAATAAGTGCCATTTCAGAGGTTACAGCCTATCTTCCTAAATGCCTGATTGCCTGAAGACTTCACTTTTAAAACAGATTATTTCATGAGCTCTTCTTGTGACCACAAGTACAACCCTACCCAGTTGTTTGCCAAAGCTTCTTAACAGCTGCTTGGTGGGACCATGAACTGCACTCATTCTTAAGTGTGAATCCCTTCTTTACAGAGGAGGGTCCTCTGTTTGAAGTGCTATCTCATCCAAGTCCTATTCAAAGCAAAGAACTCAATGAAAAGAGAACGGGAAGGACCCTTGAAGTAGCCTATGCATATTCAGCACCTGGACAGCAGTCACAGGTCATCTGGTCACGCTTTCCTAATATGATGAGATGGATATATTTCCAATTAAATTATAGTGATTACTTCTAGCGATGCATGTATGCATATAAGTTATCATAGGCAAATTTTATGGAAATCCCTACCAAGTTCCCCCTCTTTTTGGTAAGGCATAAGTATTCGCCCTAGTAAGAGTTTTATTGCTATTCTAATTGTATTTGTGTGGTTACCAGCAGAATAAATATTTAATTAATAATCCACATGTTAGCCAGTTAAAAAACTGATTGTAGGTGCCTGTCTGAACTGTGAAATATATTTCACATTTCTGAGATAATAATTGACTGACATATTGTCCCATCCCTTCATGTCAAACATTTCTGGAGCATTTCCAGCAAAATCATAAGAGAGATAGCAACAGTAAAATTAACTTAATGAATAACCAGATAGATTATGATAATGAATAAAACTCCGCACATCAGATAATTGCAGCGGGGAGGGAATCAGAAAAGAGCTTTTGACACTAAGCAAATGTGAAGGCAGATTCATGCTGGAGCTGGTGATTTTTCAAGCTTGGAGTTGTCAAGAGGCTGCATTACCTGAATATGCGCTCTGGCAAGGATCTCTTCCTGCTCATGTTACTCCATAATATCTTGACTTGGCCCATTTGCCTTTTGAGATATCTTTGTAATAAGGTTAAAAGACCCACTCTTACCCCTGGGTCATATAGAGAGCACAAACAAATCAGTTAAAATAGGCTAACTTAACAGTTTGCTCAGTTTTCCTTCTGAAGGCCTACCTCCTTTGCAGCACGGTTTTGAATGCAAATCATTCACACTCACTCAGACACACCTTTTTGCTCCAAATGTTCCTGTGAAATATGAACAATGGGCATTGACGCACTACAGGTAGCCCTTCCAGTTCTACAAGCAAAGATAAATGAGTACTCTTTGTTTCAGCTATTGAGTGGTTAGTTGATTAGCTAGCCCCTCCCCCAAAGTGGCCAGGGCGACTTATTTTATATTGTTATTTATTTTATATTGTTATTTTTATATTGTTATTTTTGTATTTTACTTTATGTTGTGAGCCGCCCCAAGGCTTCGGCGAATGGGGCGGAATAGAAATGTTTTAATAAATAAAAAAATAAATAAAGTCAGAGCTCCCTGAGCCTGGCATTATAGATGAGTTTTCATATAATTTAATCTATAGCAAAGAGACATTTCTAAGCCAGAGACTCTGGCTAGGTTGGAAGTCATACCTGGGAGTAATCGCACTGAACTGAATGGAGCTCAGTTGCCAATAGACAAGTACAGTGGTACCTCAGCTCATGAACACCTTGGTTCATGACCAAATCGGGTCGCGAACAAAAAATTCGCGAAAATTTTGACTTGGGTCATGAACTCCACATTGGGTGGTGACCAAGATCTGAGCCACCTCCCCCCTCCCCCCGAGTGAGCAGATGGCCATGATCGCAGTTGCGTTCGTGCAGGGAAGATGTGTGATCGGGGCTGTGCTGTGCCTGTCTTTCCTGCAGGAGCGCGCCCGTGATCACGCACGTCTTCCCTGCACGAACACAACTGCGATCATGGCCATCTTCCCACTCGTGGGGTGGGGAGATGGCTATGATTGTGCTGGTTGCGGGGACGGGGGAGATGGCCGAGATTGCGCCCGTCTTTCCTGCAGGAGCGCACCCGTGCCAGGATTTCTTTGAGAAGCACCACCCCAACATAACTGTAATGAACAGAGTGTTGAATCTGATGACCTATAATGTGGTCTCTCATTTCTGGAGGGTTATGCAGCACAGGAAAAAACAAGTGACTATAGACAGATCTTTCACCAAAAGTGACCCTGCAGCTAAGAGACAAAGAAGAGAGGAAACTCCTGAAAGAGATCTCCCCAGTGTCCTTATGGAGGGGGACTCTCCCTCAAAACAGTAACCTCCCCCACCCCACCTGGGTTAGTGTTCTCCACTGTACTGTACAGTACTTTGTCACTTTGTTGTTCTTTGTCACTTTGATTCAAATTTTTCTGATTAAAAAAAATAGTTACAGAACAGATTAACCTTATTTACATTGATAGCACATTGGCCTCCCTGTGGGCTGCTGGCCCTCCTTCCTCCTTGGTCCTCCTGTGAAATACCACATCTTCAGAAGCACTACGAAAAGGACTGAGTTGGCTCCCCATGCCTTGCAGCAATCACACACCATTTTGGACTACTCGTAGCTTTTATTCCCTTCACATTCTTTCCTGTAGAGATGGCAACAGGCTGAGAGTGAGGGACCGGCCCAGAGTCACCCGCTGAGCTCCATGACTGAGTGGGGAGTAGCAGCCGGATCGCCCAGGTGCCCAGCCCAGCGCTTCTCACCTTCGCGCTGCACGTGGGCCAAGGCTGATTTTTAAAAGAGCGCTTAAAACATTTATTACTTGTTACATTAATCGGTGATATGCAGCGTTAGTCTGATCGAAGCCCCGTTCATTTCACGGGTCTACAGGATTGGATTCAGTCCGGTATTTATGACCATCCCTAGCGAGTGGACTCGCTCAGGGCACATGTTGTACTTTTCGTCAATGAGATTTCCAAATCAAGCTGCTGGATCCGCCCGATCCCGCGAGCCAAGACGCCAGCGCAGCCTGCTGAGGCTGGGTCGCTCTTCGCCGGACCCAGCAGGCGCCTCCCGCTTCTCTTGCAAGGAGCCAAAGACCCTTCCCCCTCGCGAAGCAGCGCGCCCCGTCCGGACGCCGAGCCGCTGCCCTGGCGCCGGCCCTGCGCCTGATGGGCCACCTCGATCGACTTTCGGATCCGGCTTGTTTCGGTTTCGCTTCTCAGAAAGAGAAGTCCTCGGAGACCACGTTGCTCTCCGCCCTTGTTCACGGGCGGAGGGAGGTGGGTCGGGGGCAGAAACCGGAATCGCATCCAGAGGTGCCTCGCCTTCCACCTGGAATGCAGGTAAGAGCTGCTCAGAGCCCTCGCGTGAGCTCGGCACGCCAGATACGCCTCCCCCCTTTGGCAGCCTTCCCCCCCTTGGAGGACGCTCCGGGGATGTACACGCCACCCGCGTGCATCTCCACCTGCAGCCCGCGAGCTGCGGCCGTCCCCATTCGCCCCTCCGTTTGATCTGCCCCTTTCCCCGTGGACCAGCTCTCCCAACACACGCCTCAGATTCCCAGGCACGCAGTTCCCTGTCGCCCCCGGCTTTTCCTTCCCCGTTCCCCAATCCCTCGACCCCCCCGCCCACCCAGACCTCCAATCCAAATGCGTCCAGGACCAACCTTCCCCGCCGCCCCTTGCTCCTCTCCAGAGCCTTCTCCCCGAGGGCTCATTTCACGAAGGGAAAGAGAAAGGCAGCGAGGGCTGCTAATATTCTTCGGAGCAGCCCTCCTGGAGAACAACAGTAGTGCTGCGGAGGGAGAGGATAAGTAACTTTAAAAAACCAAGACGAATAGGAAGGCTTGAAACTTTATTCCCTGGATATTTTTGCTTGTTTTAGGGAAACCGTTTTTAGGAAGCTTGACACAAGTGGCACCAAAAAGCCTTTTTTTCTTTGGAAGAGGGCATGTTTGCAGATGTTGTTAACTCACGTTAGAAAGTAGAAGAGGACTGCTTAGCCTACATGGTCACCTACCCCTCATTACATTTGCTGGAAAAGTAAAGAATTGGGCATAGGTTGTGAAACCTTGCAACTTCCAACTGATATCTTGGTGCAAATGGAGAAATCCAATGGTAGCTGAATAATCTGATTCCCATGTTCTGTAGCAAAGAAAAAAGATAGCATTATTATTTTTTTCATTTGTTTAAGCCAAGGATTGTTGATGTCGGTGCAATGACAATGTGTTATTGCATATCCTCAAGGCACTTAAAATAAATTTATAATGAGATTAGAACAAGACATCTTTTACTTTCATTTTCCTTGTAGAATGAATCTGAAACACATTTTTGCATGCTAAATTTGGAGTTCCCGTAGTCTAGTAAAATTTAATTATAACAGCAAAACCAAGAAGGAGTAATGTGGCCCTTTAAAGGCACAGAGCTTCCAAAAGTCCTAGCCTTGCCTCATTCACTGAATTTTACAAAGGGTAGTAGATTTCTATTCATAACTATCCTGCTTCCTCTATTACAGTTTCTGCCTTTTTTTAACTGAAAAGTATCTGCTAAGGAGAAAAAATGGAATTGCTGCACAGTGTCTTCTAATTGGTGGCCCTCCATCTGGAAGCTTGTTTATATATACCATCACATCATCTGTAATCCGCCAAATGTCCTGTCCTTGACAGTCCTGCTTAACTTATGTAAACTCGAGCCTTCCTTTATGGAATCAAACCATCTCATGCATATTTATTATTACTTAGATTATTGCTTTTAAGCAAGTTTTATTTATAAGCCAACCCTATGTGCCATTTTCCTAGCAGAAAGGTAGGATAGAAATCAAATACATAAAAAATGGCATCAGCTTTTGGTCAGTGGGTGCTCAATTCTAGTCCATGAAAACCTAGCTCATAATAAATGTGTTGGTCTTCAAGGTGTCCAAATATTTTTTCCAACAACAGATAACTTCTGTTCTTCTAATTATAAGAGCTCTCTTAAATCTATCTGTCCCTTCCCCCTCAACAATATGTCTTTTAAAAATACGCAGTCTTCACTCCATTAATTTTGAAGTAGTCTTATTGGTTTCACTGAGAATGCACAATTATAGAGAGAGACTTTTTAAACTTCATATATGTCACATATTTCTTCACCAGTAAATTTTGTTTGACTGTTATAGTCATTAAAAGTTTTAAATTTGCTGTAGCTATTTTTTTCAGTACTAGGCTTTTCATATTAGAGTACAGCCAAGTTACTTAAATTAGCTGTTGTAGAGTATACATTAGCAATGACTGATTACTCCAGAAGGATCCTGTTTTTATTATAGGATAATCTGTTAGAGCACAACTGAGAAAAAATTAAGTACACTGACTATGTAATTTCATACAGGTGTACCTAGAAGGCAATTTTACAAAAAGTTAAAGGGATTTTTTTTGGGGACGGGAATTGGAATAGTTTTGTGACAAAAGGGGAAAGGATTTTTAAACAATTCATATATCCCACTTTTGAAAGGAAGCTGTAATTGCTCCCATAAGAGCATGTTCCTGAGATGGTAGAATCCTGGAACATGTACAAAAGTGATTGTTTGGAAATGATTCACCAATCCCCCAAAAGTTCTTGCCATGAAGGGGGTCTTTATCTGATGGCACTCCTTGTACTTTGCCCACCAGAGTTTCCCCATTCCTGATGTTGCACAAGTTAGGTAGAAAAATGGTTTTTGTCTTCAAATATTCACAAAACTATATGGAACAATTTCTTTTACAAGGAGTTGGGCAAGCATGTGCAGCTGTCCGAGGTGTTGCTGGGGTATTTTAAAGGGGCTTCCATAGCTGTCAAAAATGGGGATCACGAAAGCTTACTTGATAGCTGCTTGTTGCCATCTCTACGGGAAAGAATGTGAAGGGAATAAAAGCTACGAGTAGTCCAAAATGGCGTGTGATCGCTGCAAGGCAGTCCTTTTTGTAGTGTTTCTGAAGATGTGGTATTTCACAGGAGGACCAAGGAGGAAGGAGGGCCAGCAGCCCACAGGGAGGCCAATGTTCTATCAAGCTTACCATGGGTTATTCTCTTGACAACCAATCATTGTGGCTCATTGCCAGGGTGGAATAAATTGACATGAGTATGTACATCCGAACAAGGAGAAAGCAGAATCCATATCTTTATTTTGAGGTCATAAACACACTTAAAATTTATTTTGTAAAGGATCGAAGACTATTAATAACATCATTCACAAGTTTATTGTCTGAATTAAAGGGAATGTATCATAGGGAGGCAGAACCTGTGGCTCTCCAGATGTTTATTATTTATTTATCATTTGATGTGGAGCACAGAGCCCCGTTCTCCACAGCCGTCTCGCTGCGACGTCAATCGGAAGTCTATTTATCATTTGATTTCTGGCCCACCCCATTAGCACACAGCTCCCTGGGCAGGTTACAAGCAGGGCTCTCCAGACGTTGTTGGACTACAGCTTCCAGCATCATAGAAAGAGCCTTGCTGGATTGGACCAAGGGCCCATCTAGTCCTGCATTCTCTTCAGACTATGGCCAGCCATCTGCTTGTGGGTCAGCACCACTTGGTCATGCTGGCTACAGTTTATGGGAGCTGGAGTCCAGCAACATCTAGGGAGCCCCCACCCTTCCATTAACAATGCCAGATGATTTCATACAGGGCATCTATTTAGCTTTAGTATGTTTCTCCTTTCTTAAGGGTGAAGTCAAAAGTAGTTCTTCAAGTCCTGTGATGCCATCTGTTTTGCCTCTGAAATTGCAGCCCACAGCTGAGATACCATCACAGCCACTCCATAATCGGCAAATCTGCATGTTGCCTGGCCGGCTCAGTGAGTAGAAGCAGCAGCATCCAAAAGCAGGTTTCATCTGTACAAGTAATATTGTGGGTCAAATTGGGTCAGGTGATGTATCTAGGAAGCCCATCCATTTCATGTACCAGTGAAAGGATGGATGGATGGATGGATAGAGGTGTATATAATAACTTTAGAATCATGGGGCTCAGAATACGTTCAGTACAAAAGTAACTTTCTCCTTGCAGGATGAGTTCTGAAAAGCCTGCTCTGCTATGTGTAGGGTGTCTAAGTTTGAGATGTGAAAAAGGATGCAGGCCAATGCAGTACATTGATGAGTTCAATATGACCAGTGTTGAATGTGCTAGGATGTTCATATTTCACACTGTGGGTGAAGAACTCTCATATTTGCTTTAAATATGTCATTCATTAAACAGGGATGGGAAACTCATCACCAGATCGTTTTGGCTCTCATCTCCCATTGGCCCTAGCTAGCATAATGAATGTTGAGGGAAGGGGGGTGTTGTAAGCTAGAACATCTGGAGGGCCACAAGTTGCCCATTGCTGCCTTCAGGAAAAGCAATGCTAAGAATGCCTTGTAAGGGGAACATTTAGACAGGAAGCAAAGGAAAGCTATAGCAAGATACAAAATATATTCTAGCCAATAGAGTTTAGCGAAGCAAGAAATGAAGACCCTCTTTGAGTGTCGTGTCTGAAACCAGCCTTGGTCAAAGCTGTGTATTTTGGCACAAGCATCCTGAGCAAACACAGAATTCAGCATTCCACACTCTGGGGGTAGTTGATAAAAAGCCATGCCCAGGATGCAAAGACAGACTTCAGAATGGGAGGGCACTACCTGGGGAAAGCTCGACAGTCGGAGCTGGGCCACAGGAGTGGGTGGGTTAGCTGAGTAGGCTTTGCATTGGCTGCGGTGAGGCTTCTGTGCCTTGTGCAGTTTTTTGCAAGATTGTGGGCCAAGGTTTCACTTCTGCTTCAATGTTAATTAATGCCTTCATTCATTCAATTTGAGATATGTTGCCTGGCCTGGGTCTTCACAATGTGAAGCAAGCAAAGGAAGAGCCTGTAGTGCTCTGGGAGCGCATCCACTTCCCAGTTTCTGTCCTGGGCACCTCCAAATGGAAAGTGGCAGGTGATAAGATAGCCCTCTGCCTTGCTCCTTGAAGAGCTCCTGCCAGTCCGTGTGGACCAGCCTTCCCAGCCTGGTGTCCTCCAAATGGGTCAGAATGCAACTCCCGTAATCCCAGGTGAATCCATCATGCTGGTCCAGGGTGATGGAAAGTGCAATCCAACATACGTGGAGGGCACCAGGTTGCAGAAGTCTGGAGCATATGATACTGATCTGACAAACAATTAGTCAGGTTTGAAGTAGGATACCTTCCTATGATCGACAGAAAACAAGAGGGAGGAAAATGGCTCTTTGAAAAGATGATAATATTGCTAGGCCAAGCTGGGATATTACTGGGACTGGGATAAGAGGAGAAAGATGAAATACCACAGCAGGCATTCTCTGCTTTGTTCCTGTGATAGGCTATGATTCTCTGGGCAAAAGGGGGAGGAACTGTGTCTGCATGGGGAGTGGGGGAGGATTTATCTTTTAAAATGTCATTTAAATATCAATCTGGTTTGCTCCCAGGAATCCAGCCGTCTCTATGGAGCAAGGATGATGTCATTCACTGGTTAAGATGGGCTGAAAAAGAATATTCGCTCCGGGAATCTGATGAAAAAAAATTTGAAATGAATGGGAAAGCCCTTTGTATTCTCACAAAGGAAGATTTCAGATTCCGGGCTCCTTATTCAGGTTAGAGGAGCTGCCCCTAAGTCCTTAACAGAAAGGAAGAAGCCTTTCCAGAACTTAGAGGAAAGAGAATTAGAAATATCTTCCACACTGACCTAGTTTTAGATCTAATGCTACAAGAGAGCAGGTGGAATGAATCTGAGAAACCTGGCCAGCTGGTTACTTTGCACATCCTCTTGACATTGAACAGTATTTGCAGAACTGCCTCAAGTGAGGGCAAAACAAACCTTTCAGCTGCAATCCAGTGGATGCTTACTTGGGAGTTGGACCAAGTAGGACTTACTTCTGAGCAAACAGCTTCTGGGTGGCACAAGGCACGTTCTAAACAAGAGGATAGACCATCTAAATCTCCATACTTCCAGTTGCTCATGCCAGAATAATTCCACAGAAGTCAAGAGGAGTTCAGTGGTAAGAGTAGCTCAAAATCTGGAGCCCTGCTCTCCTTGGCCAGTGTCATTATTCATTAGGCCAACCTAGAGAAGGCTCCATCAGGCTGCCAGCAATGGCTTCCTGCAGTCTTTGCACCTTACCTTGTTCTCTATGCTACAGCTGCTCACACCCCATCTTTTCTTTAAGGGGCCACTGAAAGCAGTGACAGTGGTGGGATTGGTTTATTTATTTATGCTGAGCTCATCACTAAGAATCCAGTTCATAGCTGGGACTATGCTAAAAATGATTATACTTAGATGGCCATTCCAATATATGGGTTCCTTCTGAAAGGCCTCATGAAAACATTACAAGCCTGGTGTTTTGGTCTTTAGGTCCCAGGATTCCTGAGCAACTGAAGCATATAAGCTTGAGGGATACCACATTACACCAAGGACTGCTGTAAGGGGACATGGCGTCATTCTGAGCAGGCCAAACTTAATGGCAACCTTCGGTGCCTCATGAACTAGGTATCAAGGAATGAACTTCTGACTTGCAAAAGAAGTTGGCAATTCCTGAGACTGAGTTCAAGTCCCATTGAATCAAGCAGCAGATGAGGGTTTCTTTTCAAGGTGAAATGGCTTTGAAAAATGGTGGCCAGTTTCCAACACATTGCTTGCATGATCAGAAAAAGCTGCAGTTCATATTCATTTTAAAGATATAAATCTGGTGGGACTGGTCTTTTTCCATTTCTGTTTCCACAGGAGATGTTTTGTATGAGTTACTCCAATACATTAAGACCCAGAGAAGAGCCCTTGTTTGCAGCCCTTTCTTTAAACCTCCCTTTCAGGATGTAGAACTAACACAGTCCCAGAGCACTGCAGAAGGTGAGTACCCCAGAGCAGTGGTTGAAATTAGGGTAAATCCCTTTCAGCTTGCACCTCAGGACTTGCAGATCCAAATCTTGTGTCTTGCTCCATCCCAAGGATCAGCAGGGATCTGGTCCTTTAAGGAAGGGTCTCCAGATTAGTGGTAGAGCATGGATTAGCATGCAAAGAGTTCCAAGCAGAATCTCTGTTGTCTCATTTTTGGTTAAAAGGATTGTGGGTGGTAGGACTGGGAATAACCTCTGCATTAGGCCTTGGAGAGTTTCCTGAGCGACTCGCCACGTTTTTTTCCTTTTCTCGAGGTAATCTCACTGTATTGAAGCTGAAGGAATGCAACAAGATAGATACTAGGGAAGGAAATTACACAGTAAGGGAGCAATCTCAGTCTTTCTGCAAGGCTAGTCAAGGCATTGCCCTGATCCTTCCTCTTTGCTGGCAAAGACAGAGATCTGCTGCTGGAAGTCTTCACTGAATGGTGGTGGAGCAGAAGACAGGGTGGTCTGGGGCTGTGTAGGGGAAGGCAGCTGAGGATCTAGATCATTCTAGGCTTCCCCAATACCCCACCATAACCCAAACCCATTGGAGATAATGGGCTAGGAGAGAAAGAGAAAAAGGGTTGACCTTCTCTACCAGCATGAACCAGCAGAGCTTTGGAAATAGCAGCAGTTCCATCATGGGTTGCTGTGCCCAAGTTATTTTATGCCATCCAGGTGAAATATGACTTACTGAAAGATGCTCTGGTGTCCTCACAGGCCTGAAATACAGGTTAGAAGGTCTCCCGGCCAATAGCCATGCACTACCTGCAGAATGCTTGATCAGCGCTACTAGCCATCCAGGCCAGGCAGGCCATCTGACGTCTTCCTCCACGGCTTTCCACAGTCCCAGGGCAACCTCCCTTCCTCACTGCGGCACAGAAATCAGCCACAGGGCAAATGTTTGTTCTTTTCCTATGACATCATCAGCTCCAGTCAGTGGTAAAATTGCAGGTAAGAACTGGTTCTCTGAGACAAGTTGCTCTGCTGTCATTTGGATGTCACAGATGATCCAGCTTTGCAATCCTATGCATATTTATTATTATTATTATTATTATTATTATTATTATTATTATTACATTTCTATGCCGCCTCTTGCCGAAGCCTCGGGGCGGCTTACAACACAATAAAATACATTGAAATACAATAGAACATAATAAATTACCATCAAATACAAAAATACAAAAAATACATTGAGTTACAAACATAATAATATAAACTTAAAATTATCAGAATAAAATAAGTAAATATTTAGACAGGAAAAGTTTTACCATTCCCCGCATTCGCCAGGCAGCATGACGAACTGGGGAATGCTGCAAGTTTCAGGATGTTTTTCTGTCTGAACATGCATAGAATTATGGCCCATGGCGTTTAGCAGTCATGTGCAGCATTTTCTAAATTGAGAATCTTTTAGATATTATTTCAGTACTTTTAACAACAACGCTTTAAGGTAGGCTGTTATTGTTTCCATATTACGGACAGAGGATTGCAGCTAAGAGATAGGGGCTTATTTGAGGCTACCCAGTAAATGCCTGGTTAAGCTGAGACTCAAAGCAGGGATGAGAGTTGACCTGTTATAGAGGTTGAGAGCATGAGCTCTCATATAAAACTTTGAAGAATATAATTTTACTGCCAGTTAATATCCCTGCATTAGCATTATAGCACTGCAGGTGGCATATAGGTTGGTTGGAAATGGAGTAAGAAATTTCAAGAAACATCCAGTCTGCAGAAAGAGTGAGAATCCTAGGCACATAATCTGGTAATATTTCTGGTTGTGAAAAAGCATGCCTCTATGTGGCTGTTTGGATTATTATGGTTTGTTGCTTCTACCGCATAGTCCTGCATCAGGGTGCTGCTTTAGTTTTCAGAAGCTTACATGGCATCCTTAGTAGAAGCAAGGACTGCACCTGTAGTTTCTATCTTAATTCAGACCTGAACTACCCATGGTAAAGGAAACCGAGGCTTCCTCACTCAATCTTTTATAGCGAGTGAATCAAGGGGGTGCTTTTAAAGAAGAATAGTCTGCTGGAAAACGATGCTTCGACTTTTCTCCCAGACCACCATCTCCCATCTACAAATGCTTCCTTGAGAGCATTTAGCCTTCATCCAACATTAAAACACACAACAATTTTTGAGATCATTTTTTTACCCCAGACCCAGAATTGCCTCTGGTGCTACAAATGTCCCCTATGAAAGGCCATTTTTATACTGTTTCCCCAATAGGTTACAGCTGACATAACAATGAATTTCAGGATTTGGCTATCACAGATAACAACCAGACTGATTTTTTCTTGCATCAGTCCCAAACTAGCATAACCGTTCTTCAGCCTATCAGCTCACAGTCAGCATAACAATGCTCACCCCCAATAGATTTTAGGTTTTTGCTTGTCCTTTTTTCTGGCACTCAAACTAAAATGACCTGTAGATGACATTATTTTATGGCCCACAGAAGTTTACACTGTTTGGGGTAACAAAAGCACCCCAGTGACCTACAGTTATGCAGACTTGGGAATATAATTTTTGTCCCTGGCCTATTTGGTTTATAGAAAGAGAACTACAAAAAGCAAATGGCTAAAATTTGGGAACATATTTGACATTGTCCCAGAGAAACTAGATTATAGGTCTACTTATGTGTAAGTTACAAAACAACAAAATGCAAGCCTGGGGTGTAACAAATCACCCCAGGATGCAGGATAAAAGTGTTCTTGCCCAGCCAGACTTGTAATTCAGTCCAGCTGAGGGAAATATGGCCAGAAGACCTTTGCAGGTACAATTGGTAGGAGAAGGAAAGATTAAGTAGCCCTCTTCCCTCACCCTTTATTTCTGACAAATGCCTTTGAATTTATAAAACACTGGCTTGGGAATTTGTGATTGCTGAGGTAAGAATTAGTTCCTCTCTTAGCTGCTGCCTGCGCAAAGGCGCACACTTAATTTCTCACCCACTGAGAGCATGGGAGAGTTGCCTTTGTCTTCACAGATGCAGTGCAGTAGTATCATCATATAACTCATCCCTCCTTCCTTTCTTTGGTCATTGCTCAGCAGTAGCAGCCAGGAAATATATTTCTCTGCTTCCCCAAAGAATGAAACAGAATGAGCAGGCAATACTTGTGCGGTCATTACAACTTTCAGTGATTCCTCCTGTATTGACTTTCAGACTGCAGATTGCTCTGGGATTATGTTTACCAGCTCCTCTGTGACAGTCGATATGAACCGTTTATCAAATGGGAAGACAAAGAAGCAAAGACATTTCGGGTTGTTGATCCCAATGGACTAGCCAGACTTTGGGGAAATCACAAGGTACCTAATAAACTTCTCATCTTTTTATCATTTCAAGAGAAAACTATTCAGGCCATTCCTAATCCAGGAGAAATCCCTGAAGTTTTCTGCACTGTACTTAGGAGATATATATTTTACCCAGTCAGTAAATGTAAATATCAGTAACTTGTAAATGTCCTTTGGGGGTGCACAGAGTGAATAGATGCTGTGGTACATCCAATTCCTTCAGTGGGAGGAGTTCTTTGCCAGTAGAGTGCTCAGAAATAAGCACATTTATTTCAAGACTGGTCTCATTGTCAGTAGGACAGCTCTAAGCTGTTTCAAAACAAATTCTTTCAGGCCAGCTTGTGGCCTGAAAGAATTTATAGTCTAACTTAAGCACCATCCCTTACCATAGGTACATGTAGGATTAACATTGAATTCAACCCAATGGATGCTGATGGGAAAGGCTTCACTTTAGCTCATTGGCCAGAGCCCTTTGTTCAACTGTATCTGTGCCATTGGAAGCTCCAGCCCCAACGTTCTCGCCAAGCAGCCGTTCCTCAGTTGGCAAATGCTCCACGTTGGAGCTGGCCCCATCCACCATTCCATTCATGAACACCGTCCTCAGATCTTGTGGGGAGCGTTACAGGATGAACACCTTCATCCCAGAAAAAACACTTCCTTGATGTTGCAAAGGGAGATTTTTCTTCTGGAGAGAATTTGCCTCCTCCAAGCTTGATTCCTGCCCCATCCCACCATTCCTTTTGTGAAACAGGCTCAGACGCCACTCCTGCACATTATTAGCTGATCATTATTGGGTTTAACACAATGCTTTGCATGTAGAACAAACTTCAGGAGCTGTTACCACAAGAAAACTCGAAAACAGCCCCTACCAATATATATACTCATCAGAAGTAACAGCCCCACCACTCTTTATATGGTTCATCATGCAGGTCAAAAGACACTTGATAACCTTTGTGTTTCTCCAGTTAATGGAGCTGTTATACAATGATGCAGAAGACAAGAAAATCTTACCTTCCTAGTCTTTTTTTTTTTTTTTTTCATGGTAAAACCAGATGCCTGCCTTTCATCCAGAAAGTTAGATTTTTATGGGTGCTCTGTCCTGCCTTAGAGGTGCCATATTCCCATTGGCATTACTTATTTCCTTGAAGGAGAATCCATGGTGTTCCATTCAAACAGCAACATTTGTTAATGTGATATCATAAAGCCCCATTTGCATTTGAAACTCTTTGCTGCACCAGTTGGATGTATAAGAGGGGTCTGGATCAGTGGTAGGGCACATACTTTGTACATGTAAAATCCAAAAATTTAATCGCAAAAGTTTTTTTTTAAACCCTGTATTTTATTGAGTGAATAAAATACAAATGAAGAATAGATATAATGCAATTAAATCAGAACCAATTTTCTGTATCAGTATTATACAACAAAAATAAAAGACTATGCCAAAATATCCTTTTGCTAACTTGATTTAATAAATTGTTGAAATACCCATTTTTGCTGCAATATCTGATCTGTATTTGTTACGTTATTGTACAGATCTAGACCACTGTTCCTAAAAGATCGCCACTATGGTCATGCCTAGGCAGACCTTTAGTTCCCGCAAGTGCACAGTTCCAAATAAGGTCAACAGACCCAGTAGCTGCTCAATTTAATTTTAAGTCAGATTTAATTAAGTACTGCAGATTATAATTAAGTGCTATGAATTATAAAGTTTAAAGTTAATTTCTCAGACTGCCTTTGCTAGTCCAGCAGCCTATCTCCACTCACTTTTGGTCCTGCCACCAGATTTCCTGGCACTCTTTGACTAATTCATTTGCATGATGATCAAAATAGCTAAGCAGTCAGTTTCAAAGTTTTTCTCTCTTGAATCTGTAGAACCGACAAAACATGACATATGAGAAGATGTCAAGGGCGTTGAGACATTACTATAAACTCAACATCATCAAAAAGGAACCTGGACAGAAACTCTTATTCAGGTGAGGAAGGAAATAAAAAGCAATGTGCAGAGTGACTCCAAGGGTGAGGTATTGCTGGAGAACGGCATGACAGGGAGTCAGATGTGGGAGTTGTATGCTCTGTTGGAGCTCTGCAGCTCTCTGGCCAAGCGCTTCATAGTGGATAAGGAGGGGAGGGGAGCCTTGGTTGGGCCCCACCTGCAGCAGAAAAAAGTCCCAGGGATTGCTGTGGGCTGCAGGTCAGTTCCCATGAAAGCCAACCCCACACCCTTCAAAACCACAATAGAAACAATGCATTGGACTTTGGAAGATCTCTTCTGCTTTTGGCTAAGCTGCATGCTGCTTTACATGTGTAGCAGGTACCTGATCAGGACCTCCATGTGCATTTAGGAGGGGGATGTTAAGCCTTCCCATCCAGCTGGAAGCATCTGGAACATGTCCCAGAATGCAGTCCCTGCTTGTGACTTTTTCCAAATAAAGTGGCCTGGTTAAGCACACTGGAGAAGTCAGCATATCCAAAGGATAGAAGTCATCTGGAGATGAAAGGAATATACAAAAAATACTGACTACTTAAACAGTGTTGGACTTGCTTCTACAAACCTAAAGGGAACTGGATTACAATCCCCCATGAAACGCAAGTGATCAAGCAATATGATCTCAAAGGATGCAAATACTCTTAAAAATTTAGCATTACATGGAGCTGTTGGCTGGAAATAAATTACTTAACAAGTCTGAGTTTAAAGTCACACAACTCTCTGAGGTTCATGCCTGAAACTCAACTCTAAGTATTCACAATTTTGGTATTTATATTTTAGTATTTTTTTCGATTTATAGCCTGCCTTTTTCCTACAAAGGGCTCAAGGAAGCTTACATCATTCTCCTTCTCCATCTAATCCCCACAACAACAACCCTGTGAGGTAGGTTGGGCTGAGAGTCTGTGACTTGTCCAAAGTCACCCAGTTGGCTCCATGGCTAAGCGGGGACTAGAACCCATCTGGGTCCCAGTCCCATGCTCTTAACCACTACACCACACTGGCTCTCCAGTGAGTATTGAATTTGACTTCCACATTTGAGCAATAGGAATTAGCTCAGGAGCCTGAGTTATGTCTTCTGACAAATACAAAAACCTAGTTTTCTGTAGATTATTCTACTTCGCCCAAATCTCAACGTCTGTCGTCGGTTGCAGCGTAGCTTTTCTTTTTTCTGTGTACTGGTGGTGTTACCAATCATGAGGAAGTAGGGCAGATTATAACTTAAAATGGCAAAAATCAATACAAGATACGTTTTGTCAATGTGATTCTTCAGCGTGTAAGCAGCTAAACATCTTGATCTTCCATTTAATAGTGCCAAGCTATAAGCACCTCTTGTTTAGTACCATCTGCCTTGCAGAATTAATGAATTATTTTTTATAAATACAAGCCCTGTAGTGGTCAATAATAATAATATAATGGGCCTTGATTGCATCATCACAATGCTCAGAGCAGTTTATGCATTATTTCATTTCAGATTCCTCAAAACTCCTGGAGAGATAAAACATGACAGATCCAATAAAGGCGAACAGCTGGACAATGAAGAACAAGGAGAGGATTGGAAAGAGGATGTGCTGGAAGTCTCTCCTTAGACATTTGCCAAGCTACAGCAGTATTAAAATTGTGTGTTTTGTGATGAAAGGTTTTTAAATGAAGGTTGAAGTGAAACATCTCAGGGTCACTCTATTTTGTAGCTTACTGCAGCTCAAATGTGTGGAATTAATCCACTAGACCTGGGTCACCTTTGGATGAGATAATCTCCTTTTAAGGTTCTGTCAAACTGTAAGTGAAGTTTCTGCACCAAAGCAGTAGGCATCTTGTTGCTGGGGGACTTGCCTGCTACTCAGAGAGCAGAGCAGCTTTTACACACACACACACACGTGCCACAGAGCATTATGAAGTTTTGTAACCAGTAAGACTCAATGTATGTGCGTGCAAACACAAACAGAGGCAAACTGATCAACGTGTTGCACCAGACTAAAGCAACATGACAATAAGCAGGGAAAGACAGTACTGCTTGACAAATACACAAGCACCACAAAAATGGGAGCTGGGATTAATTTGGCTTTTGTGCCTCACATAATTTTGTCTTGGGTAAAAATTATGGCCTCCACCGAAAGCAGAAAAATTTGAAATGTGTGAACTTGGCTCCAAAATGCATGAGTGATTTCAGAGTAGAGAAAGTAGACTGCTTGATAAACCAGCTAAGGCCTGAATCTCTCTCAACTGCTAATCAAAATCAAGATAATTATTGCCTCAGCAGAACCTAATTGCACAAATTGTTTTCTTTTTCAGTGGATGAGGTTGCCATTACAGGTTTGTTTTTACAAATGGGAAATGGCAGTCTGAGTGGGGAAGAAAGATACCCTTTAACATATTCCTGCTAACATAAAAACCTCCATCCCAGATGCACAAGCACAAAATACTAACTTTTGTCCTTGAGCCGCAGAGATTTAAGGTAGCACATGAGCAATAGCAAGAATCAAGTCCATCTTGCAGGCATGAGAAGAAAGTGAGAAACATCCTGGGGTGTGTGCCTGAAATTATTTTTATGTTCATTATCAAATATTGGATGTCAACACTGAATGCTTTTCATTTCAAGATTGCTGGTGATGTTTATGGTTTGGTTCTAGTTGCATAGAACTAGTCTTAAACATTTTTAATTTAATCAAAAGATGCATCCAGCTTATTCAATGGGGCCTAGATGAGCAATGAGATGAGGAAGCAAGCAGGGGTTCATCTGAACAGGCATCACATGTGTGAAGGTTGCTTGTGAACTTCCACACAAGTAGAAAGTAGAGTGACCTTGCTGCTGGGTCCAATATGGATCTATGGAAATCCTTCGATTTATTATGGTGATTGCAATAGATCTCAAGCTATAGGACATGACCTGCTTGGGAGAGAAAGAGTACCTTTTCTGTATGTGTAGATCAGGAACATCAAAGATCTGTCCACCTGTGGACTGAATTCAGGTTTGGAGAAGTTTTCAGGAGGGACATTCCAGTGGTAGATACACCCAAAGACAAAAGGAAGCAGAATCAGAAATGCTACTGTATTTCAATTTATACATGTTTTAGTCTTTTAGAATAGGCAGAAAACTTGCAGAAGCTGGAACAGCACAATTGATCAGAGGTTGGGGCCAGCTGGAAAACCTGGGCAGGTCAGATTTAGCCTGTGGGCTTAAGGTTTGATAACCCTGATGTAGAAACTTCTAAGGTAGGGTAAAAGACTGAGCCAAAACCAGTAGATCCTGTCAAAGAAGCCTCCTTGATCCTCTAGTTTCATGGGATGGGATGTCACCTTGGAGGCCTCTATTTAGAGGAAACTGATTTGGGAAGGAACCTCGCCCCCCGCCAAAGAGTAGCCCATTTCTCCTAATGATGCTATCCTCTACATGGTTCTAGGAGAATGTCAGGAAGATTGTGTCCTACTGTTCATCCAATGGTTGCGCTGGGGCTAATATTCCAGTCTGCAGATCATCACTTGCAATATCAGGCTGTATACACAGAGCTGCATACAAGGATTTCTGCATTAAGGGGCATGTGTGGAGTGCTGGGAACAGAAGGTGGAAATAGGTCTACAAGGGAGAGCAGAGTTCAAAATGTTTGAAAAATGCTGGGTAAGGGGATGAATGCTAATTTTGTACTTGATTTGTAGTGACTCTCAATTGATTACTAATATATGCACTTGATGTTTTGCTACAGCAGGAACAAGCAAAGGTTGTTACATAGGTAGACAGTGACGGGATTTGCTGTTATTTTATGATGCTATAAAATAAATTGAAGAGGAAGCATGAATCAGAGGATTTGGTGATTTTTTTCTATGATCCCTTTTTAATGCTCAAGCTGACACATTACCTATACTGAAAGATTTATTCCAAGGGTTCAGTTTTTTCAGCATGGAAGCTGAAACAGTTGAGGACTTCCTGAAGCCAAGCCCACAGAGACTCCCTTGTCTTAATTTTAACTCAGTGACCTGGCTCACACAACACAGCAACCCTTGATGGGCAACTAGCCATGGTAGGCTATTGTGTGGTTCAAGACCAGAATAGTTTCTGCAGCTGTCTTATTTACATATACAACTCTAACCCATAAATGAAGCAAAATGCCAACTGAAATAACCTGGTACATTCCCCATTCGGAAAACAGGCATACTGACAGCATTTGTACCCTCTTGTTGATGCTCACTTGGTTTGCCCAGTCTAGGTTAGCTGCAGGTCCCTGGAGATGCACACGAACCCAGATTCTTGTGACCCTAGCCTGAAGCCTAATCCCAATGCTAACACCCACATATGCTCCCTATACCTTTGGACAACATGCAGAAAGGCAGTGCTCAGGATATTCATATTGCCTGCTTTGCTATTTTGTCTATTTCCAGGCTCTGGATGTGCACAGGGAGCCAAGTTCTCCTAATCCAAAATGTAACCCCAGTGCTGACACCCAGGTATGATCCCTGCACATTCAGAAAACACAGCCAAAGGCAGGGGCATTCTGGCAGACTACTCACTTTGCTTGAGCAATCAGGTTCTAGGTCCCTGATCATGCAAAGCAACCAGGTTTTCCTAATCTTGATTTGACATTTAACTCTAAAACTGAGGTACATTCTCTATACAGACAGTGTGCAGAAAGGCTATTCTTATGAACTGCCCAATTAAGCCTATTCTATGCCCCTTGGCATACAGGTTTTCCTAATCCTGATTTTAACCCTAACACCCAGGTACACTTTCTATACGTTTAGATGCACTAGGTCAGCAGTTGAGCTGTTCTTTTCCTTCTTAGATTTATATCCCACTTTTTTCTTTTCTAAAAAAAGAACTGGCTTACATCATTCTCCCCCTGCGGCTTCCAATCTTATCCCCTCAACAGCAACCCTGTGAGGTAGGTTGGGCTGATAGTCTGTGACTGGCCCAAAGTCACCCAGTTGGGGCCATGCTGAATGAATCTGGATCACCTGACACTACAATGGCTGTTATTGACTATCTTTTCTGCCTAAATGAGTCCATTTCCTGCTTAAATAAGGTTATTTCCCATACCCTTGAAATGAACAGGAACTCAGGTTTTCCTAACCCCCAACTGAAATTATTCTGAACTCTGACTTGCAGGTATAATTCTTACCTATGCAGACAGCATGCACAAGGCAGTACAGGGGCAAATCTATGTGGCAGTCACCAATCCAGCTGTCTTTCTGGCTTGGCAGGGCCTTCTCAACAGGAGCCACATCAGGTTCCAGGACCCAGGTTTCTTGAAACATGGAGACTGAGCAGTGACTTTATCTCCGCTCTCCTGGCTTCCAGGACAGGTCTCACAAACAGAATATACATTTGCACATGGTCAACATTCTGTTCCCAGACCTCAGGTAGAAAAACCCTAGCTACAACCCAGACATTTTAGTTTTTATCACAACGGTCTAGCAGCCAGTATTAAGGTCAATGCCCCAGGAGATAGTTCTGAGCTTTAGGTTCCATCCTGGGAGGTACCTGGTACACCCATCCACATGTCAAGAGGTTCCTTAGAGTAGTCGTGTTGATTTGTTGTCCCTAGTCTTGAGGCTCCTCACCAGGTGGCAACCATTCTCAAGGTCTTATCCTTAGTAGCCCTTACCTCTGCTAGAAGAATTTCAGCCTTAGTGGTCATCTTTTCTGACAGGACCTTTCATAAAGACAAGATACTCTTTTCAGATCCAGCAAAAAAAATCGTTTCCCTCCGCTTGTAGCTCTCCACACCCCACAGAACGTCACACCCTGGATTCCAGGAACATGGTTAAATTCTATCTAGGCGGGACCAGACCACACAGGAAATACAACTCTCTATTTCCTTCAGGACCTTTTCCCAAGGGAAGAAACTGTCCATGGCCTTATTGGCTGAGTAGGTGCATGCATGCATCATGCTGACCTACACATCCAGGAACATGGCAGTACCTACTGGTATCCTGGCCCACTCCATGAGGTGCTTGGTCACCTCTGCAGCTTTTCATGGGAGGGCCAAAGAAAAGATACACAAGCAGTCACTTAGTCTATCAGTGCAGACTTTCATCATGCACCATGAGTGCGTCTGTATATCCTCTGCGGAGGGTGCCCTTCTAATCCTGTCAGGATTGGCTAGAGGGATCTGTTGATCTGCTGCAGATGCACTGCTGTTTCATATCTTCTGGCCTTCTGTGCTTAGGAGATAAACAGAAATTCTTGTGCAGGTGCAATCGAGATATGCTAAAGACTGTAAAGCATGGGGGTTCTACAAAGACCTAACAGTTTGATCAAGTGATGCTTAAAACAAATGAGAAAATTATCAAGAGACTGTAGGATTTTTTACTTGACAGGAAAATGGAAGGGGAACAGGTTAAGGAAACTATAATAACATGGGCACAAAACTTTGGATTTAATGTTGAACTAGAAAAGTGACAAAAACTATGGGAAAGAAACATTAAGGTAACATTAGCAACTTTGTATAAAGAAAATTTATATAAAATGATGTATAGATGGTATTTGTCACCAAGTCGATTAGCTAAGATGTTTCCAAATGTCAAACAGATGTTGGAAATGTAAACATAAAGTGGGTACTTTTTATCCTATGTGGTGGACTTGTGATAAGGCAAAAAATATTGGATTAAAATACATAGATGAATGGAGGAAATATTACAAAAACCCTTTGCTTTTAAACCCGAAGTTTTCTTGTTAGGCATCATACCAGAAGACATTAACAGACAGGAAATGTATCTGATGCTGCCCCTAATTACAGCGGCGAGGATTGCATTTGCTCAATATTGGAAAAGTGAGGAGCTGCCCACTGATGGATTGATTGTAAGAAAGATCTTGGACTGCACAGAAATGGATAGATTGACTTTATCACTGAAGGAGAAAGAGGATACTAACTTCTATCGAACTTGGGATTTTTTCTATAATTGGCTGGAGAAACGGGACTTGGCGTAAACTTAGAGATGTTTTTAAATTATTATAAATTGATTTGAATTTGACTTTAGAATGTTAAAAATATGTAGTAGGAGGTTGACCCAGTAAATCTGATGTATGTGATGTTTGATGTTTTTAGTGTTGGTTTAAAATTTTAATAAAAAAATTATAAAAAAAATAATTCTTCACTTACTGGTGAATTTCTGCTCTACGGCTAGGCCCACCATCAGGGTGATTAGTCAGACCAGGCAGTGTGTTTCTCCTCCTCCAAATACGAACTGCCTCACAAGGAACTGGATGATCATTGGTTAGAGACCTAACAGATTCGGCTGCTGGAAGAATCAGCTGGAGCTTTTAGGAGAGCCCCACCTCCTCTGGGAAGTTCGGATCAAAGCCTGCTGTGCCAGTCCTGGGGGTGGGGCCTTTTCCCTAGGAGCAGGCTTTCACTCATGAAGCACATTCACTGGTAAGTAAACAATTTCCATTTCTTACACATTCGGACAACATGCATTCAAAGCTGCACTCAAGTTGTTGTTCACTGTTCATCTTTCTGCCCAACTGAGTGTATTTCCAGGCACCCAGCCATGCAAAGAAACCTCGTTTGTCCTAGCTTTAACCTGGAGCTGACCCAAACCCTACTATCTCTGCTGTCCCCAACTTTGATACGACTTGAGCCAGCTCATGGACTTCTGCCCTATTTTTAAGCTGTATTTTATGGTATGTGAGATGAAAAACCACCTGAACAAGATCTTGTCATGCTTGTATAAAACCAACACATACCCATATATCAGGCAACAGTTGTGAGTTTTCAGTAGTAAAGAACATGATTAAAGATAAGTGCATTTATTAGGTCCCTATAAAATACAATATATAAAACAAGCATGGGCAACAAGAAGTTTTGATATGTATGTTTTAAAAGCATTGAGAGGGAAAGATTAATTGCACTTTCTCTCTAGTATCAAAACAGATGCTACCAGTTCAGAAAATGAACAATAAAGCTACAGGGTCTGAATCACTCCTGTATCACAAGTTGACACTTAATGTCTTGAGAACCATGCAACACATCTTCCTGGAATGTACCACACCAGACTGCAAGGATTCTGTGCCTGAATGATGTTCTCTCTATATCCCAAATCTCCATGCTCACAGAAAACTAGAATTACCCCCTAACATGCTAATTTTCTATGTGCAAGAGATTTATTCTTTGAACTCTGAGAACAATCAGGCATGCATCACATCACATTCATGTCATTTCTATTCTGCTCAATAGCTGAAGCTCTCTGGGTGATTTACAACAGCTCATAAGATACCATAAATATTTCAAAAATACAAAAATGTAAAAAGAGTGCAACCTGTAGTAGCTCAGCCTAGAAAGAGCTTCACCATGCAATCAACTGCTCATGCAACTTGGCTGAAACCCAGCTTGGCTAAAAACAACATTTTCATCACACCTGGTAGAAATTAAGGACACCTACATTCTAGAGAACATGCTTAATACAGAATTCAAATTCAGATTTTTATTAGTTACTGCCCCAAGCCTATAATAGAAAAATCAACACTGCTCAAACTGACTGATATTTACAACCAAAGTAGTTGCTTATTTGGAACATTATTTTAAAAACCAACAGAGCGTGTGTAATCTTGTAAAATGCAGAGGTAATTCACCCCTACAGGTAAAGTAGGCAGCACCATTCAAGGGACACTCAGGTTAACACAAGTCTCATATGCATCACCCTTCATTACATGGTTTTGAGCATGTTTGTCAGCAAGTGTAGTATTAGCCCCTTTCCACACTTATTTGGAACTGCTGAACATCCTTGCAGTTTCAAATGAAGCATGAGTGTGATCAGCCTAGAGGTCAACAACATATTTTATAAACGTTTTATTGGCTGGATAGTGTACACAGTACTTACAGTTGTATCTATTAAAGACAAAATACACTTCAAAATGCAGCATAAAAAATTATAAACTTTTGAACTATATACAAACTTTGCCTTACAATACACAAATATCAATGCCCCTCATTCCCATTCACAACCCAAGAAATTGATATTTTACATGCAAAAGATCTGAAAAAGTTGAGCGCTACTTGGGAATTGCTACTTCACCCCGTAAGTATCAAACTGCTTTAAATGGGCTCAATGTTCCAGTGCCTTATAGGTAAACAGAAGAATTTACACTTTCCTTAAACTCAGTACATCCTTATCCTTAAGTCTATGCCTAATTAACATTTAATGGTCTGACTTTTTACTTCTAATCAAGAATTTGCATTTTGGCATTACTTCTGCTTTAATTTTTTACCCAAGAACAGAACATTTTGCAACATGTTGCAGTTTGAGACTCCCAGTATTAACAAATATTTTGAAGTAAGTTTGACCTATACACATGAAGACTAAGCCATGGTATAATAGATGCTATCAAGGCATTTTACACCATTATGGAGGGGGGACACAAAAAACTAACTATAGGAATTCTTTAAAGACCAAAAAAGAAACAGGTGTCTCCATCATCTACATATAGTTATCACAAAGACCAATTTTGGTTTTGTTTTTTAGATGTGGGAAAATGTATCAATGGCTAGATCTTTTAAAGTTGCAAGCGACTTGTTAGGGTTTTTACACACACAAAGAAAAAAGAGAAACTTAGATCCCTTAGCATCCCAGTTTGCAATGATCAAGCTGACAAGTGAACTGGGGGAACTCATGGAGAAACTTCTTTAACCTGGTCTATACAATATTTACCCTCACCATACCTATTAATATCTTGGGACGTACCAATGCCTTTTATATTTACAACAATGCTGAGAAACAACTATCTCCGCAAAGCATTCATTGTTCCATCACTAATACATCACCTAAGCCCTACCTTGGATATTTATTGTCAAAAGTCAGAGGAGAGAAATGCAAGATAACGCTGAAGCAGCCAGCTGACAAATACCACAGTGGTAATCAAAGGCACCCAGGATGCTGAAAATACAGAGGTATGAACACAAAAGGCTATCAGAGTTTTTAAAAACAAACCCAAAACATCTAGAAACATACAACCTACATGCAGGCTTAAAAATGACACAAGTAGTCAATACAGAATTAAACAATATATAACCCTTATTTGCTTCCAATAGCTTAAATTGGAACACTGGAATTTTAGGTAACCACACTGTGCATTACAGTCTCATGTTATGTTTTTCTCCAACTTATTTCAGGATTGACATCATTGTTCAATCAGTTGTTCTCAGAACTTTTCATTTCCTAAGACAAATCAATCACACACACTCTAATTTCTCACATTTTATGAAATAGAAGTTGTGCGAAGGTTATCTTCTCTAAATCACTGCAAGATCAAGTGAAGCATACTGCTTTTTCCCCCACTAAAGAGAGCTTCTGCTAACAATGGCACCTCTTCCAAAGCCAAAAGACTCCTGTAAAAAATGCATGGATAACATCCCAATGTTTTCCCTATACAACACTGCTGAATTGCTACTTCTTTCATTGGGTAGTTCACCTCTCATCATGCAGTAATGTGCCTGCTCCAGTCTTCCACGACTCTCAATCTTGGTTAAGCAATGAAGGCTTAAACATAAGCCTGTGAACATACAAAAGCAGAGCATAACACTAGCTGGGCCTTGTGGCAGTACCTAAATGAGCAGTCATGAGATGAAAGTGGCAACAAGGCAGTGCTTGCCAGAATAAAATCAGATCTAATGCTAATTTCTGAATTGTCAAATAAGGCTGCAAAAAGCAAGCTTTGGTCTGCCCCTTTTCATAAAGATTTATCACTAAGCAGCCAAAACACATCTGGGGCAGTCATGAGAGGAGAAAACAACAGTTGTCTGCAACAGAAAATGACAGCTACAGAAGTGTCAAGTGCCAAATTCACAAAGATCATTATATATAAAAGCTTCAAAGAGCTGCCTGTATCAATTTTCATAAGCAAAACAGTCTGAGTTACAGCAGGATACAATGATTCCAGCAAGTACATGGGTGTCCCATCCTGACAATGCTCACAGCACCATGGCTAATCCTCTGATCTTGGAGAAACAACTCTATCAATGCTTATCTGGAATAATCCCAGATATTTACCAGCCTGCAGGAAGATCAAGTTAGTGAGCCAGAGCAGGGCTTCAGTGATAATGTTTTCTTGTACTAACATCCACCTATTATCCCCTCTCTTGAGCTTCTCAAGGTCATTATGCTATCTCCCTTCTACTGCTTGGAACGCAAATTCACCACTCTTGGGTAAAATAACTTTTCCGATACTTTTGCAAAAACTGGTTAATTTTGTCTTGAAAACTAGGTGATGATTTATACAGAGCAGAGACCTGAAGAAAAACCACCAACATCTTTTCACAGTTTTAATTAGAGAAGATGCTTTTGCAGTGGAAAGTTGTGCTGTCGGGAGTACACACATTCTGAGGCTGTGAGGTTCAGCAGAAACCAAGAAGGCTTCACTGAGCAAACAAACCCACATCAGCAGTGGCTGCTCCAACGAAGTAGCACTCCTGGGTGGTTCAGGAGCCATGGCTTCCAAGGGATGTTTCAATATGCCAGTTATTGCTGAGGCAGTGCCAGTTTTAAGCTGGGCCACTGTTATTGTCACAGATGTTAAAGGCCTGCTGGTCAGGCTTTCCGGCTCCCTGGTCAGAACTAGGTGAGTAGATAACCAAAGTCCATATGAATTTCCATTTGCTGAGTCCACTGCAGTTAAAATCCTAAAACAAACCACTCCGTGAGAGTGTAGTATTTGTTCTGGAAAAGAGAACAGGCTGTGCATATGGCAAATTTCCAATTTAGAAGTTTGTTTGATAGGTAGGATAGGGAACAGTTGCAGAGACAGACAAGGTATTTGTCCAGTTGCTTTGTTCTTTGGCTGGTTGTTAGGATACTCTAATCATCTGTGTCATTGCTTCTTCATTTGCCTGGCCGGGATCCTGCACAGAGGGGGGGAAAATATTGTAAACTGCAGTCTCTTCATCATGGCAACAAACAGCAGCAGTCTGCTCTTTCAGAGAGACATCTGACTGTTTTTGCTGCTGTAGCATTAAAGCAAATGTGGAAGAAAATGTACATCAAAGAAAGGATACCCTAGTGAGGTTTTTATGCTGCACTTCCCATTTTGGAATGTATCAATCATACCAATCCTGCTAGTGACTAGCCTACTTTTCAGCTGGAACCAGTGCATTTCTAAACATTTGTAAATAACTGTAGGATACAGTGATTTTAACTTCAGTGTAGGCCAGAGGTGATCAGCTGCTGGAAGACAGGTGGTTCCCTGCCCAAAGTAGTTTAGCAGTTCGATGCCACCAAATCCTCTTTGGGGCATTGCCCGCAAGCGAAGGCTTACTGCAGTTCTCTCGCTCAACTGCCTGCAATGCACTTACCCCTCTCATCACGACTGAACAAGACAGGGAATGGTTCATTGTTTAGAGCCCAGCACATAGGGCAGCTACTGAATTGTGAAACAGGGGCAGAGCTAAAGTGAGTGCTTTGCCAGTGGACCCAGCTGAAAAGCAAGGCTATAGTGAAGGGAGGCATTTGACTCTGTTCTGTCAATTACAAAAAGGTTATTGTGTGTGGAGCATTGGTTGGCATAAAAGAGATAAAAAACAGAAAGAATATAAGCTGAAATGACAAAACATGCGTGGGCAGCATGGAGGCCACATGAATGTTTTTGCAGTCCCAGTCACAAAATGCACAGAAGTATGTGTTTTTGTGCAATATGTAATTAAAGGAAGGCAGGGATTTCCTTTTCTCTGGTTTTAAGTAGAAAGTGTGGCTTTTTGCTGGCACATCCCCAAATCTGGCAAACATTTGGAAGCATGCCAATTCAGGTGGCAAGGAGAGGGGATATGGCCCTGCCATGGGTGGAAACTGGGCCCAAAACCCCTGGAAATTGCCCATCACTATGCTAACACATCAGGCATACAAGGAAAGTGTTTTGGAGATATTACTGATAGTACTGAAATGTTTTAGTACAACTCACTCCATAAAGGACTGCAAGGCCTAAAGGAAATAATTACTCTGCTTAGGAATGTAATGATCAATACTGGTTTATTTCAGGGGTAAGTAACTTCTTGGGGTTGTGGGTGAATGTGGAAATCTGAGAAACTGTGCTGGACACTGCCACCAAACGACTACCATAAGCAGTGTGACAAAGGAGAAATAACTTGCCCAGAAGTCTTGAGGTACAAGCCAGAGGTGGAATCTGAGCCCCAGGCACACTAAACAGCTCCGAACACCTAAGGCTCAGCACAAACAGAAAACTATTTCACAACAATTTCAGCTGCTGGTAAGAAAATTAAGAAAATATATACTTTTTTTTTTAAGGGGAGTAGAAGAGCGCATTGAGATGTGCCAAATAAAGTGCCTGAGGGCACCATTGCCTAAGCTCAAAGTTATTCTGCATAGCAATAATGTCTTGCAGCCTAAATCATTACTAAAAATGCAAATCTCATCAGCTCATCATCCTTATACCTGGGACTGTTATCAGCACAGCTGGACAAAGTGAGAAAGGGGGTTGTAATTACTTTCAGCTGATTTTAAATAAAGAACTGAGAGTATATGCATCTAAACATCAGCTAAAACCAAAACAAAATATTAAGGTATATTTTACTTACCTGCATATCAGGGCTATCCTTTTCCTTTGGTGAAAAAAACCGCCCACCTTCTCCTCGCTTTCTTGCCATAGCATGTCGATGCCGGGATTCGTGCAGATATTTCTGCATACCAGATCACAGAGTTGTAAGAAAGATAGGGATCCCTCAATGCTAGAAAACCCCATCACAACCAGAGAGAAGGTGCAAAATGCTCCATACCAGAGGCAGGGCAAGCAATAATTGCAAAAAGCCTGACAAGAGCATAGGATAGGAGCATAGGATACACAGGAATGGAAAAAAAATCTTGGAATTGCTCAACCCACCCGATCTGAATAAGAAGCCCTTTCCAATATACCATGCAGAAAACAGCCAGGCTCAAAGGGTTCAATCCACATAAAATTTCCTTGACAGCAGCAGTGCTATAGTTGTGATTAAAATGTTCCATTGATTTCACCAGCCCTTGTCACAACTATGTTTTGCTGGCTCAGGATTAAAGACTGAAAACAAGAATGCACCTGGTCTTTGTCCATCCCAGTGACATTGGACATTCCTTATCCAGTTGTGGATACCTCAGGTGACCACACCCCCTCTAAAAACTAACATTTTTACAGGAGAGAATGTTGTAGACTTCAACACTGCTATTATGGGGCATATTACAACTCATCCTTGGTTAGTTCTGAAATAAAACTGTCCAGTTCTATTTTGAGGCAGGGCTTTCCATGGCAGGCTGCACCATTCTTTTATGGTTGCCACCCTCTTCTCCCAGGCTTCAAGATGAGGGGAACATGGATATTCAAAAACCATGATCTCCAGCAGTTTTGCAGAGTTCCCCACACTGACCAGGGGAGAAGAGGGACGTAGCCTCTGCCTAATATTGTATTCATACTGCCTTCAACATTTGCAACTGATGTAGTTGTATTATTCTGCCTAAAGCTGGGCCAGCCCTGCACAGACCTCCTCCCCTGCTGCATCATCTTCATGCAGAGAAGATAGAGGAGATTAAGGTTGAGGTGTGAAGAAACATTTCTTTCCTGGTCTTATTGAGTGAAAATGGGAGGGTAGGAGAGGGGATTCTGCAAAGAGTTGGGAAGGGAGATGTAAGATATTTTTGGGAGATTATTTATTAAGCTAAGAGGGCTGTGATGAGAGGAATGGGAGTACGAGGGAGAAAAGACAAATAGATAAGATATTTCTTCCTAGCTTCCTCCCATTCACCAAGAACAAATGATTCATGAATAAGACAAATACACCATTGGGACTGCTACTGAGTCTCATGATTCAAATGTCCAGAAATGTCAGGATTCTTGTTTATATTTATATGTGGGTTTCCTATCGAATGTATGTAGAATACTGATATAACTGTCTCATCCTCTACATTACAACAGTGGCTAGTAGGATTAACTGCAGGTTTATTTAACCTTTTCTCTTAACATAACTGTTGGGTGGGTTCACAGGGCACAGCACACCAGACTGCTGCTTATGAGCCACTCTTCCTGCAAGGCACTTCACAGACAACTGGGCACCTTGCAGGTAAAGTGCACCATGCCTCCCGCTCCCCCCCTCTTAATTCTCCTGCAAGTATCTTATGTGTTGAGACAGGGTGCAGCAGGGAAAAAGCTTCTGAGAGCCACCCCCAAGTGCTGCATGGGCCTTTCAGCAGGGGTCTTTCAGCAGGAGATGCCAGCTAAAGCAGGAAGAATTTCTTGCAAAACAGCCCTGTAGTTGTTTGGGCTACCCCTGGGCTTGTCAAGTCATATGTGTTCAGAGGACATGGCAAGCTTAGGGGTGGCTACTGATCCATACAACAAGCCATGTCCTGTATTGCAGTTAAGCCATACAAGCTCCCTGGCTTGCGGGGAGGGGGGCTGTGGAGGCACTTGTGCCACATGAATCCAGTCAATGTCAGTTATGCTAAGATCATCCTTTACTATCTCCAGTTGAACCCGTTGCTACTCAAAGTGTACATCACATGTTTAAGGTTATATTGCTTCTGCTACTAAAAATTTCAGGCCACCTGCTTGTTCACTTTCCAGATCAATAATTTATTTCTACATCTAACTGAAGCTTAGGACTCCATCTTTTAGTATGATAAGGAAGAAGCCTTCTGATACAGTGTACAGTGGCTGCACATGGAACTGTAATATTCTTTGAGTCTAGAATGAGGGGTTTTAGATCTAAGTGGAAGAAAACTAGATGGCTAACTGAAAGGAACTTCGATTAAAGCCTTCTCTACAATAGTGTCCCCGAGATCTTTTGGACTATAGTTCTCATCAAAAGTGATCACTGACCATACTAGTTGTGACTGATGGGATTTGTAGCCCAAACACATTGAGAGCCAGTGTGGTGTAATGGTTAGGAGTGTGGGGCTGAGACTCAGGAGAACTGGGTTCTAGTCCCCGCTCAGCCATGCAGTCAAACTGGGTGACTCTGGGCCACTTGCAGACACTCAGCCCAACCTATCTCACAGGGTTGTGAGAATAAGAGTGAGAGGAGGAGGAGGATTATGAAATTGCTTTGGATTCATTGTAAGAAAAGAGTGGGATATAAATCAAATAAATAATAACATAATATTGAAGAGGGCCATGCTGAGGAGGGATGTTCCATTGTAAAATATATTGCAATTTTTTGCATTTCTATCACAAACATGAATCACTTCCTGCCTCTCATGAACATTAAAGTTATAATCTCACCCTTCTTTCTTTAGGAATTTTCCCTTCTGCTTCCAGTTTAGCTCTTGCTTGTCTCCTCTTCAGAATTCTGTGGTACTGTTTAGCATTCACATATAAGGGTTCCTCTTCAAGCATCTCAGCCCCAGGCAAAGGTATCCTCTGGATAGCTGGCACGGATCCAGCACCTGGGACCATCTATATTTAAGCAGGGAAACACTTTGATTAAATGAATGCATCTCTCAGTGGAAGCAATATAAATGCCAGGCATGAAAGTGGAATGACAGAGAATCAGATCCCTGAAATCAGAATCAAAGCATTTCTGGTTAACCCCCACCTCCAATATTGTAGTTTTATATTTCTTTAATCTCATAACTAGATTTAGCATAAAAACAGCAGTTCAAACATTTAACACATTAGATTTAATGAGATTCTAAAACTGAAGCTGAAAAGCAAATTAACTTCCTAAATCAGGTGACACCCCCACCCCCGGATCCATTATTTATGAAAAAGCAAAAGGCTGCCAAGCTGAATAAGTAAAAGATTATTTGACAGATTAATCTCAGGAGTAGAATGGAGCATTAGAAAAATGCAGTACATTACCATGACCATCCCACCAGAATTAACTACATTTCCAGCAACAGGCAGCGTCACAGTTACTGTCCCTTGTCCACTGCTGGTTGTGTTGGTGTTGGCACCAGTCTGGACTATCTGTGCTCCAGCCAAACTGGCTGCTGGGATGGTGATCATCCCTGTAACAGGGACTGTAACTTTAAGAAAGACAGACAGACAGAGATACATAAAAATGAAGGGAACACAATAAATGATTTCATATGTATGTTATTGTAGTTTTTTAACACTTGTTTTAAATTTAGTTTATAAATTTTGAATGGCAATTTTTATGGTGCTTTTACTGTTGTCTATATTTTATAGCTTGTTAAACACCTCCCACAGAGCTTTGGCCATTGGGTAGTACTGAAATAAAATCAATACCACCACCACCACCAAAGAGGCCCATTTCAAATTTTATTCACTCTGTCCTAAAACATGCCTAGGGTTGTTCTGGGATTTTAAATGAGATTTTTGAAGGGATATGAGCAAATCAATGTGCAGTCAAGTTAAAGAAATGTTCTTCCAAAAGGCTAAATGAGCACAAAATTCTGGACTTTTGTCAGGTGGTCTGCTGGTAAGGCAGTGTATAGGCATTATAAAAGATGGTCTTTTAGGTACCTAAATTGCTGGGTCAGTTTCTCTAACAGAGTCAAATTCTACACTTTCCCATACTAGTCACTCAGATTAGGGATGCTATTACCTATCCAGTTTTGGACAGAAACTTACATAGTAGCCAACCATGGAAAAGAAATCAGATCTTTTTGCAAATACTCAATGTTGATTGAATTCAGTAGTTAAATTAAGTAAAGCATAACATGGATCTAGAGATTCAGTGATTTTATTAATTTCATTTTCAATCACTTCCCTATTGCATGTCTACCAGTGGTAAAAGTATGTACCTAAGGCTCTGCACCCCTCCCCCCAACATAAGGAAGAGTTACTTTTAGGGATTCTTGCAAGCTTCACTGGAGTTAAATACCATCTATAGCTCACTTTGACTGAAATTTCTCTAGTACTGATTTTGAGATTGATTTGAATGGATGAGCAGACCAATTTTTTTTTTTGCTAATTTTAATTCTTGATTTCATACCCTAGATCATGCTCCTAGGCTATCTTTAAATATCTTAGGTTATAATTAGCAATATCAAGGGTACATTTATAGATTTTTGAGACAATTCCTTTAGAGCCCAGGGAATCCTATTGATTTTTGACTTTCTCTGATTGAACTGTTGGCTACTTGAATATATACTACATATTCATAGACACAACTGCATAAGGGTCTATGTCTCCTGCTAGAATCCTATAACATTCAGCTACTATTCAGGAAAAGAAGCATCAACATAGTATCACTGCACCATTAATCTACAATTCTAATAAAACATGATGCAAAATATTGACCATCAGTTTTAACAGCAACAACTTGATGCCTAAAGCCTAAAAAAAAGCAATAAAGAGGGCACATTCTTCAAGAAATTATCGTTATTTCAGAAAATTCCGCATGTAAATGTCATACCTTGCTGAAGAATTGTTCCATCAGCATTAACAGGCTGATAAACAATTGTCTGGCCTTCTGCTGTCTGGGCTACCTGCTGCCCTTGGACTGCAATTTGTGGTTGGGTCTGCAAATAAAAGCATCCTGTTAGAGCAAACATCAGGGCTGGAACACTGCAGTCTTAGAAGGACATCCTGGAAGCCATTTTTTGTTTCAGATCCTCAATCTCTAAGACCCAGTCTCACAAGCCTCCATCATGAAACTACTGAAAGTTTGCAACTGATACTCTCCTGATGCCAGAACGTTCAAGGGACCACATAAAAGGAGGTGCTCTGTGGATGTGCAGGGTAAGCTGTAGATCCTTACGATCCAAAGCACTTCTAGGCCTCCCCTGTCCCTACCAAAAAAGAGGAATAACTATACCAGCCTTGGAGCTAGCACAGTTACTTTCCCTCCTTTTAGAATCCAGAGGGGAAAGTAGAAGAGAAAGGAAGAAACAGAGCAAACATGGGGATAGTCAGATAAGGAGAGAAGCCTTTGCACTGCACCTCCCCCTTCCACCCTGATGCAGCCCAAAGGGAACTGCAAAAGATGTTTCTTCTGCCTTGGCTGCTCCCTACCGCTTCCACAAAAGGACTGATCTTCCTGTAATATCAAATTGTAATGCCACTGGATCTTCTAACTGTGTGCTGTAATTTGGCTGTGCCAAGATCAGCCTGCTTGTGTATTTTGTCCCATTTTAGTTCCTTGGTGCCCCATGCAAATTCCCTCCTGCAATTCATGCATTACCTGAGTCTGGCCAGCAGTAACTGCAGTCTGTGGCTGCTGGATGATTATTTGCTGTGTCTGGCCCTGCTGACCCTGAACTTGCACAGCTTGCCCACCTTGGATCTGAATCTGACCAGGCTGGACCAACTGAATCTGTGAAAAGATGAAATCAAAGAGTGGGGAAAAATAAATCCTAACTCTTTAAATTTAATCTTGGTGTTATTAGTTATGCCCAGAAAATCTGCCAATAAGGCAAGATCTTTTTATTCCTGTTTAAAACAGAGACAAAATGTATTTCTAGACAATGATAAGGGCAAAGACAAGTCAATGCTAAAGGGAAAGTTGTCTGTGTTACTCTATTCCACGAGTTAATGCACTGTTATTAAGGTTCAGCAGGGAGTGCAATGAAGTTTCCTATTTCCTTTCCAAAAGTCAGGACAGCTTCTTATAACCATACCAAAGAGAAACATCCTTCAGCTTGTTAGGAGGAGCATTATTGATAGCTGTCTTCCCCAAGCATTCTGTAGACAAGGGTTGTTTTTGCTGTAAGAATGAGACTGTTTGCCTTAATAAAATAGCTTTGCCCCATCCTGTCACCCAAGAAAGTGAGGTTAGAGCCTCTGAAACAGTGAAAGAAAGAGGAATTTCTTAAAATCAATGAAAAGAGGCATTGTCTTTGGTTCTCAGCCTGGGGAAAGAAACAGTCATGTCTCTCACCCAGACCACTTTAGGAGTCCACAGAGCATCCCCCAGCCTAATCTGAGAACAGCTACAGAGAAGGGGAATGTTAGCTTTCTTTCCAGTTGTTTATATTCTGCATCCATTTCATCACAGTAGTCAATAAACAAAGTAGGTATCATCTTCTCTGTTTCTTCCCAGGTACCCTCAAATCTAAAGTGAGGTGCCTTGGCTGAACCAGGGCCCTGCAGTTAAAGCACAGGGACAGAACCCTCTTTTAAAAATCCTAAAGAGCCAGATATTATAAGAGTTCTCTCCTTGCCAGTGAGAAGTAAGAAAACCTGTACATAGAACAGTATTACTGAGTGAGAGTCTAATAGAAAAACTATTCTCTAGAGGCAATTATCTCCCTCCATGTTGCACAACTGAGAGTATGAGACAATACACAATGTATCTCTGCCCCACAGGTGATCTCCCACATGCCTGACTTTAATGAAGGACCCCTTAGAACCAGGAATTGGAGAACGGCTGACTCTTTGAATAGCTGTGCCAGCCACTCTCCCATCCAATGCCACAATGAATACTGAGTTCAGCTCCCTCACTGCTCACTCTCAGAGAATCAGCGGAGTAGGTAATGGCAACAGGATGAGAAGGGAGAGAGACATGGTAGTGGGGCTGACAGCATCCAAGTAAAGGTGCTCCTGGGGGGAACCACATAATTTTCTCCTCCCATTCTCCCTGTGCTTTTGCAAACTGCCACTGGCACATGGCCCTTGCAGTGAAAAACAGGGCTCTGCTATGATACTTCTATGTATTTATCCTTTGATTTAAAAAAAAGCAAGTTTATTGAATTGTCTGATTCACAAAAACAATTCTACTCCACAGCATATTTATGTAGGAAGCAATTTTTTCAACATGTCGTTGTCTCACGAAATCCACTGACAATAGCACAGCTAGTTCTTAAAAGGGATTAAACCAAACCACCAAAAATAGATTGATCTACCAACAGCTATTAGCAAAAAAAAAAATAATAATTTTAATTTAATTAAACATTTCTATGCTGCCCTGTGCAAAGAGCCACAGGACGGCTTACAAGACTGAAAACAGAACTTGTGCATTCAGTTACAGTATATTTCTGATTATCAGATGATGGGGACAACAGGTGACTGCTTTTCCTATTATGCCCTGGTTTGAGAGCTTTCCTGGGGCATTGGGTTGGCCACTGCTGATGTATACATCATAATCAAAAGAACTGGGCATACTGACCTGCTGAAGTCCTTGTGATCCGGAAACTGGAACTTGCATAATGGTCTGACCTTGACCTCCAGGCACAGCTTGTACCATGATTGGCTGACCAGTTGATGTGATCAGCTGGCCTCCACTTACTTGTACCATCAGTGGCTGACCCTGGACCTAAAGAACAGGAAAAAAGAGAAATACCATGAAACAGACGTTTAACAAGCCATCTGCATCAGACATCAAGAATTACTTGTTCAGACACTGCACAGAAGGGCTAAAATGCAGCAGTAATGAAATTGTTTCATGCATTGCCAGACTCAAACTTCCAGAACACTTAAAATTTGCTTTTCACGGTATCTCAATTGCGCTTTTGCATTAGAAGTTATCCTAAAATGCCAAGTCTAAGAGAAAGAAATAACCCATCATCAATGGTTAGATCATTAACAAGCACATACATCCAGAGGCCTGAAATCTTGCAAGGAAGTCAAAGGTCACATCTAGTTTTATATCTTACAAATTTGTTAAACTACAGTGAGTTCCATGGTACTTTTAAAATTTAACAAATGTATTGCAAGGAAATTTTAAGGTGAGAGTTCACTGTTGCTTTTGGCCCTACAATCTTCATCATTTTTAATTTTTCTCAGCAGAAGGAAAGGGAAAGCTTTATTAGACAAAGCAGAAAAAATGTTTTGGCATGTCGCTTGCCTTTGGGAAGGGGAAGCCTGTATTGGAAGAAAGCACCCGACAATCTCCATCAAGTGGCTGATGCACTGGTGCCAGGTAGAAGATAAAAAAGTCATCACCTTGCTTTCACTACTTCTCAGAACATCAGTGCCAGCACAAGGCAGACTTGGGAGGTGATGCAGGAAAGCAGTAAAAACCAGGTACCACCTTTAAACTTCTCCATATGTACCTTCCAACCAAAGATTCTCTACTACTGGAATGATGGAATCTATTTAAACTGGATGAGACAGGTGGGTAATATGCTTTTGGCCCTGACTTGCATAGCTATTTGTAACATGGCACACAGCAGGGCACTAATGCAAAACAAAACAAAAACCACTAACAAACCACTGAGTTTTCCAGGAAACTTTCATGGTAGTCAAGACTCTTTATTTTGATAGTTCTAAACAGACCCTTCAAAGTATAAACCTGACTATGGCACATAAAATACTCTCCTCTTTCTTCCAGATACAAAATGGTGTAATTTCCTTGTTCTAAATAAAGTTTGTGTTTTATATTTCTCTAGTGCTATAAGGCACCCAGAAATGCTCTTGAAGTGCACACACCACTGAACTTTATGGACCCAACACAAGAAATATTCTAATGAATATTTAGACACTTTTCATTTGGAGTTAAATTTCATTTAGGAAATGAATGAGCACTCAAAGGCCGGACAGAATGAGATCTGTCAAAATACATCCACTGAAGAACTCAACAAAAGCCAGCTCTTCCTTCCTGAAGACTTTTTTACAGTGCTTAGAGAATATGCTGAAGAGAAGCACAATGTAAGCACCAAAGTTAGCCTAGGGAAAGCAAGCCATTTGATCAGTTTGCAACTCAGAACCACAAATTATTTTCTATTAATTCAAATAATTTTGCAAGCAAAATGGCCCAACTCAAACTAAGAAAATCACAATAAAGCCTTTGGTGATATGAAGGGATGGAGGTTAACTCTGGTTTTTATAACACTCCCCCACCCACACACAGATAAATGCCTCTGGTCCTCCTCAGATATCTTATCGAATGGGATGATGTTCATAATAACGTTAAAAATTTCACAAGAACAGAAATCGGGGTTTGAAATATTTCTTCCTCGATGGATTTCCTTTTTTAAAAAGATCTAATTCTCCTTACCACAATAAAGATTTTTTTTATAATTCTTTAAGATTCTTTTACAAATAACTAATTTGAGGAGAGCACCCCCTTCAAATATGTATCTTTTAAAAATAGATACTTCTTATTAACAAAGATTAATAAGAAGATTAATCTTAATCTTAAGATTCTTCTTAACAAAGAGAAACGGTAAGAAAGCGTTGCAAGTCTAGAGCTCGTCCTCCCCGTTCCCTTGTCTTATGCATTCTTCGTATTTTTAAAAGTGGAGGCTTTGCGGAACTGGGTGTGCTGCATGCATTAACTGGAGTGCCAACATTTTTGTTAATGTCACTTTTTTCCATCTACAATTAGCATAAGCCATAGCTGTTACAGTGCGTAAAACTGCTACTATTTTTCTGTTCCTATTTCAAGCCCCAGTGCAAACACAGCATCAGACATGAGGTGATGGGGTGATTCATGCAGTGCTTACACAAATACGACAGATAGATCACCACTACCTGGAGGGTCTGGACTTGCTGGCCTGAGGCAGATGCCACCTGAGCCTCAGTCTGCAACTGGACAGCAGTGACACCGCCCTGCTGCTGGGAACAGGAACAGGAAGAGCTTGAAATTTTGCAGGAGGAAAGGAAGAGCTCAAGACAAGAAACATCCTTACTGCTGAGAAGGATGGCAGACCCTACAAGGGGAGCTATCTGGGTCAGTTCCAATGTGATGAGCTTCTAGTGTTTTGGTCTGCATAAAACTCATAGGCTAAAGAAAGAACATGGTGCTGCCGCCACTCTCATGCATCTTAAATTTTTGAGAAACACAAAATAAGTAGGTAAGAGATTGGAGGTCTCAGAATCCTGAAGGACTGATCTGAATCTGCTTTTACATTGTGATGTTATGCCTCTGTACCAATAAAAACCATGTAAATATAGGAAAAAGGGGCCAAGTAAGATGCCACCTATTACCTTAATTATATTAATCCATACTGTCAATCTGAGCTTCAGGTTCACTCTAACAATGTCTTTACTACAATGCCAAAAGCATTATAACAATCCATACTAATACAGCATAAGAATTTTATTTGGATTAAGGGTGAAAACAACTATCTACTACCAAGATTATTGTGAGATGATATGTCACTTAGCCTATGTAAGTCAGCTAAACACAGAATTTGTTATAAATATTTGAAAGACTTCTTTTTCCAAAGATTTACAACTACATGTCAACTTAACATTGCTGAAGGCTAGCACCATTTACTAAAAATGGGTGAAAACTATCTACAGAAGTACACATTTGAAAGACAAAATGTTGTGTCTAACATCAGTTTAACTGAAGTCCCATTCATTTCACTATGTCTACTCTAAGTAGTACTAATACTGGATACAACCCAGAATATTCTGCAAATATGTCTTGTGATATGTGGTCTTCATACATGTAAGCAGATCTGAAGTTTCTGAAAATATTTCAATGTAAGCAAGGTCTTGATCAAATCAAAATTAACAAGGAAGTATTTATTCTTGCTACCTTTTAAAGCAGAAAAACTAAAGGCTCTTGCATTTGCTATCTCAAGTTTTAATCTCTTCTAAACTGCCCAGAGCCTGTGGGAATGGGGGGTATATAAAAATCAAAGTTAATGAATAAATACATTTCCACACCTGTTGCTGAATTTGTCCAGCCTGCACAACTATCTGTTCTGTTGAACTATTGCTGTTTGCTGTATACTGTTCCATAGTTTTTCTAGTGCCAATCCTTTATCGAATCCTTAGCTGGAAACCTAATGAGAAAAAGAGACAATATTATTTTCAACAATTATTGAGAACAGATTTGAATTTGCAGAACTGAAAATGCAAAGTTCTGCTTTCCTTCGTAAAATTCCACTGTTATGGAATTTTCAATAAAGGGACTATCCTGTGGCCCCTAAAGATTGTCAGAGGGACCCTAGAATAGTTTGGATTCCCAGCACTGAGGCTGAAGACTATAATCTGAGCCAGAGCTAGGAATTAGAGCTCTGCTCCCCTTACAATTGTAGCTGGAGTGAAAAGAACCACATCAACTGCTCTCTGAGGACAAGAGACCAACTGGGTATGAGTTGTCCTCGAGGTGCTCCATCTCTTTCCTTACCTCTTCAAAGAGAGCCAAGAACAGATCTCTAGCAATAAGTCTCTGTTCCACATGGTGTCCTACTTTGGAGGCTTATGCTCATCTCCATAGGAGTGTACCCTAACCTTAGACATAAATACACTTTGGAAACGTGGAATAATACAAATAATTGATCAACTGTTAAAGAAACATTATCTTTTTAACAAAAAAGTGCATTGATTTGTTCTCTTTACATGTGTAAGGTTCAGTCTGTTGTGAGTATTCACACTTAAAAGACTTGAGGAATACAAAAACTTCCCATAACCCCTCTTTCAGAGCAATCACAGGTATCAAGAAAAAAAATACAGATCCTCTCTGCTTGTTTTCTCTTATTCATTGCCAACCACACATATTTATGTAAGCCGTCCCGAGGTGTTAAGTGATGGGATGGCATATAAAAACTTCAAACAAGCAAACAAACAGCAATGCAATATGGCATACGGGAGCCTCTGCTAGTTGGAATGTCTGTAATCCACTTTTCTTATAAGTCAGCTTCATAAAAGCTCCATGACACTTTGCACCTCCTCCTCCTATGACTCCCTACAACTTGTTTTGGAGAATCATGACCGTTCTGAAACAGACACAAGAAAACCCAAGAGCCTGCAAATTGAAATAAAGTCACCAGGAATACAGTGGACTATGCTGGGATAAATCTCATTGGTAAGCTCTAGTTTTACATGCATGTTAAGATTCGGATATGGTCAAACACCAAGTACCAGACTGTACTCTGAAGTATTTCAAATTAACACATCAACACCAGGAGTTCACAAAATAGTTAGCACAAAGGGTTTTTTGCGGGGAGAAGGGGTAAAATATGGTTTGCAAGAATTGCATAGATGTGTCTATCAATGAAATTATGACTTCCACCACAGTGAGATAATGAGCTACAGTTTCAAAGCATACCACACAGGATAATATGCAAGACTAAAGAAATAAATTAGTACACAAATTAGTTTATTCCATTTTTATGCAACCTAGCAAATTTCCCTCAGGGCTGCCTTCTACCAAAAGGATCATATATGGCCAGTTAGTTGCCAGCCTGTTCCTCTTGCTCTTGTAGGACACACAGTTTCAGATGGCTTCTGATGATGCAGTAATAGCATGTGGAGTCACACTTCAGTGAATTCCATGTTTTGCATGGAATAGCAAGATGGGCTTATTGCTTGTATGGTAACAAGTGATTTGGGGCAGATATTTTCCAATTTACATTTCATATGTTCATTATTAAAACTGAATGTATGCCAAATACAAATGCAATATCAGGCAAGGCTGACATTCTCAAAGTTGTAATTGAGTGTCAGGTGAATATTCCTAGAAAATCATATGAAAGAATTCACATGTTACCGAATGCATATATTTATCTCAGTGTGAAACAGAACTACTAAGTTGTGATAGCAAAACTGACTGTACCTTGGTGGAAGAGTACTGAACTTGGTGGTAGAGTAGTGAATTCTGTTGTAATAAATGAATGGCTGTTGATCTATCATACACATTTCTTTGACTTGCCAACATAATTTAATTTTGATACAGCTCAATAGCCAAAGCTCTCTGGGTGGTGAAAAACAATTAATGATTAACATTAGTGCGTCATTATGTTTATTGTAACGCCACAGGTACATAAGTATACCAGTTCTGTATCCTTCCTTCCAACTTTTTCCAACTTCCTCCTAGAAGAAATATTCTGTTAAGTACTGTGGTCCTAAGCCATGCAATAATGAGCATTATGTTCCGAAAGCAACTCAGTTCCCCTCCACCCCGCCAAGTTTTACAGGCTATATTAATGTAACTGCCTTTCAACACTGAAGGAAACAAACATAAAGGTCACTAAATATGTTGAGGACCATAATATTTTCATACCGCTTAAGTTGCACCATTGAAAAGTTATTCTGGACTCATGTATATGTTTTAAGTCTGTTAGAATTGCCATAATCTCATTAATAGGAAAATCCTACATTTCTGTAAATTTCATCTCCGTCCAATGAAAATCCAGTAATTTTGCTATTATTGCTTAGTGAAATTGACAGAGGCTGCACAAATATGGGCAACAGAGGGCACTCTTCTCTTGTTCCTCTCAGCAGAGTAATAGGAAATGAATCTAATTCATTTGTGCCGATCACTGTGCTTAACTCTTTGTAAAAAAACTGTATGCAGAAATTTATGTCTAGATGACAATGATATAATAGAGGACCACTTAAGGCTTTTCAAGTTTCTAAAGAATGAATGAATACTGGTATCTGTTTAGTTTTGCAAAATTATATGGTATTCAGCACTGTTCTAAATTTTTCTCAGATATATTGAGTATGAAACCTGTCTGATCTTTTCTGGACTCATGTCCCCACAAGATTATTCAATTGCTGAGCTATAACCAAATAAACAATTTGACATATTGTTTAGCAATGTTATCAATCTGTAAGACTGTATTTGTATCCTTGTTCAGTTTTGGTGGTAGTATTATCCTACCAATTTTGGAAGTGAGCCCTTCTGCAGAACAGAGCTGAACAGTATAGCTAAGCCTGGCACAAGCAAATTCCTAGAACTGTTTATAAACCTACCCTGGTAGGTCATCCAGCCCAGTGATCTTATCACTTCTTAGAGTGGCAACAATATTTTTACCATACTTCACAAGTTTAAATATTTTTCTCAAAGTCTATATAGTTCAGATAAACTCAAACAAAATTGGTACCTGAATTTTGCTAACATCCCTGTACTTTCACAGGAACATCAAGTTTTGCTTGACTGCTCAATATCAGAGAGAAATTAAATTTATGATCAATTAAGTATCTGAAATATTTGGCCAGTCATGCGCACGCACACATACTTATAAGCAAGTAATCTTAAATATGCATTCTAAGGTTGTACTAATTTTACAATTTTAAAATTATATTAATAATTTAACATTTAATTCATCAGATCTTTTACCACTGAGAAGATAAATCATCAAAACTATTTAGAAACCACAGTCTGACAGAATGAGACAACAGGCAGCCAAAATGATCAGAATTAATGAAGAACTGAAGTTATGCGTCCCATTGTCAATAGGGCAAACTGTACAAGTAGTTGATAGAAATCTGCCTACACCACTGTTTTCCTCAGGCCATGATCTCCAAGTGTGGACTGACCTAATGAGTGTATTATGTACACATCATTTATATATCTGCTTTCTCCAGTGAGATGCTTCTGTGCATCACTGTTATACTCATGACCTCTTTCAAATTAAAAATCTTTCAGGTTTGAGTGGCGAGGCAGCAGAGACAAAGTGCTAGCTACCCATTACCTGGGGCCCAGAGGCAGAATATGGGAAGCTGGTAGGTGGCTAGAACCTTGCACTGAAGTATGGCAAACTGTATTCTAGTATCACCTAAAAAAAGGAGAAAGGACCATTGCTGCTTGATAACTTTGGAAGAGGATACTAAGGGAAAAAGAGAGAGGAATGCAGAACAAGCAAGATGTGAGCATCAAGGGCTCACATTAACAGTAGAGGGCACCACTGGGAATGGATCCCAGATCTTTTGAGCAACGCTAGATCTAGGGAAAGAAGCCTGCTCCTTTCCTATGACCTTAGTATGCTTGCAGTTACTTGGAAACCTCAGGACTCACTCCCTTAACAGATTAATAAGTACCGCATGAAGGCACCCATGTTTTATACCATAGGGGAGACTGCCACCTTTCCTTTCAAGTCTGCTAATTATTTTCATTAAGTCCAGAGTCCAATATTGCCTAACAGCACCATCAGCCAACTTTCTTAGAATTTACCTGACTCTGCAAAGACTAGTGCAATTGATATTGGGTGAATGTACTTGAACTCTGGCCCACTGGAGGCAGCAAGGTCCCAACAATAAAAACAAAAAGGCCCTGGCTACTCACATATCAGCTTCCTGTAAGCTTACCCAAGTCTTTTACCTTGAGGGAAAATAATAATGTGCTTGCTTGCAAAAAAGATTTGAATAAGCAGCAATATCTGAATCTGGTGCAAGGTAATGTATGAGTGTCCAGCTTGCTCAGGCTGGAGAGTGTCTGGAGCATCATGGTTCTGACATCATTGTTCTGAAATGCACCTGCCTTTTGCAGATTCTGGTGGGTGTGTGGTCCTCGTTGGTATATGTTTCCACTGTGCTACAGAAAGGTGAATAAATATGAGAGCAGGATAGCAGCAGCCTCATTTTGCGTGTGTTGAAAATCACATGTCTTTTGGCACCTTAAAGATTCAAACATTTAGTGCAGCATTATCAGCATCCAAGGACAAGAGTCCTCTATATATAAAGCTATTTTGAAATGTTCCTTTTCCTGTAAATGGAGAAAAATTGGACTTTGTGAAATAAAGGTACAGAACCCAGTTGCATTTGATCCCTCTGAACTAGCTATCTCTTTGCCCACATGTGCTTCCAACTCCTGCTGCCTTCCTTGAATCTGCATTCCCCACCCCACACCCATCCACACACACTTTTACAACAGAGGTGTCTTTAGAATAGAGTCCTTTCAAGACACAGACACGCATGGAGAGGGAGAACCTGAGGCAGCTGGCTCAAATGGCTTTTAAGGTATCATGAAAAGCATCAAGTCATTCATTGCTTTATTAATTATTATTGTATTTTTATTGCCAGGAAAGGGGAGAGGTTTGTAGGATTTTGTGTCTCAGGGGCCAAAATAACTTGACTACCTTTGAGTACTACTATATACCTTGACTCAGGGGTGTGGGAAAGCACCAAGGTAAGATACAAATGTAAATTAATTTACATTTCCTTCCCTTTCCTTTCATCTGTGATATCAAGACTGAGGAATCTGGTGCCACAAGTATGAGACTTCATATCACTGCCTAGGCATCATTCTTATGGTTCAGTGAGCAGAAGAATATGCAAACTTATCACCTGATAGAAGCAGATGGTTGACAACAACCCCACTACCATAAGTCAGACTGGTTTATATTTAAAATTTCTCATCTTTCTCTTAGACTTCAACTGGAATTTCAAAATTATACACCAAAGAATGGACATAGGCACTTTATGTTTGATTTTAAATTTTAGAAGGTACACAATACAACCCACTCCCTATCGGAAAATTTCCAACTGGACCACAAAGACGTAATCATAGAATACATTGTATTTCTTGTATGTATAATGGAACTCTACTTATTTCAGTCAGTATTTTACGTCCAATTATTCATCAGGTGAAGGTATCTGCATCATTTAACCCAATATAAAAAATGAAACAATACTTCATGTTTTGTTCAATTAGATGATCACTCTTCACATTATAATATATTCTAAGCCACTAAAATCATATTTAATGTGTAAAACTCTACTTTTGCTTTAGGAAGGCCTCTGAGGGGCACATAGAATTACAAAATTACTGCATTTATATCCTATCATGAAAGAAGATATGCCTTTTAAAAAACCTGTAAGACCATTTTTGCAAGTTATGGCACACACTGCTGATAAACAATTTATACTAGTTTTGCAAAACTGCCTAGAACCTACTCTTACAAAGATATGCAGCAGCATCCATTCCAAAAGTGTTTATTTAGTCCATAGACCTTAGTCCACAATCAACATTAACGTCCATCTGAGGCAGATTTCAAATCAATTTGGCATACAAGATGATGCATAAGGGGAGATGGCTGTTTTTTGTATCTACAAGACGAGTGAGTGCCCAGGAACAGCCCTATTCCCTGAAGCACTAATCTCATAAAAGATTATTTTATTACAAATGCAAGAACTTGGCAGAACATTCAAGGTTCACCCAGGACGCTGAATCCTGTGCTGTTCGGCCCATGGCCTTAAGATTGTTCTAGAGCGTCTAAGTAAACCTGACCTCACTGCAGAGTGGGAGCCACAGGCAGAGTGATGAGTCCCACACTGGACACAAGCGTGCCAGCCTGGAGGATAACGGAGCTCACTGACCCTTTCCAGGAGATCCACCTACATAAAGTAACTTTCCTGCAGGCCCACGCGTTTCCCTCACTCCCCTCCTCAGTAGCCGCACCTCCTCCCAGCGGAGTTCACCAAAGGGCATCCCAGAGGCTTCTCCACCGGCCTCAGGGGCTCCATGCCAAGCGAGGAAGGGCACAAACCGAACCCACTCGCCTTTGCCCAGTGAGGGTGACCTCCCCAACTCCCCGTCCTCGCGCCACTCAGCCAGCCACCCATCCCGCCTCAACGTAGCATTTGGGCGCCCAACGGGCCACAACCAGTCGCTGCCCCACCGCTCGCCCAGCCCTAGCCCGCGCGCGGCCTCCTGACTGGCCACTCGGCCCCGCCAATCCCGGCTCTTGGGCCGGAGCTCGGGGGCTCCATATTGGCTGCTCGCACTCACCGTGCCTTGCTCCCCCGGTTCGGGTCCCGCTCTGATTGGCTCCGCCACCGGTCCCCGAAACCCAATCAGCGCCTCCACTCAGCCGCCGCGCAAAATGGCGCCCAACCCCCGACGCCCAACAAAGAGAAGGGGAGGACGCCCCTGCGCAGGCGCCGCGTAAGAGCTCCTCCCGCCGAAGATTGCGCTTGTTTGAATCTTTCAGCGCATGCGCTGGCGTCGCTGGAATTACTGTGCGCGCACGAGTCAGTCTCTCTCCATTCTCTTCTAACCCTTCTCTTTAGATAGCTTCTCTACGCATGTGCAAGCTATTTTTTTCTCTATGGTATTTTTTGTCTCCTCCTTCTTGCACCGAGAATGCTTTAGGGTGATTCCATAGAGCGCTGTGCCTAGGAAGGCCTATCTGGTGGCTGCCATTTTGTGTTTTTCGTTTGTGAAGAATTAAAGGCGGTTCCTCCCGCATTCGAAAATAGTGGGTAGTAGATAGGTGACAAGGCGGGAGGAAGGCCCTGTCCTTGTACGGTCCGTCAGCGGATACCGTCGCTGCTTCGCTATAGTTGGCTCATGGAGTCCTGGGGAGGGGGGCGGAGCCGTGTGGAAACGCTTCACAGAGAATCCGTTAGGATGAACAGTACGAATAGGGTAGCTGGCGCCTTTTTAATGGCGGTACTTCGTTATCCCAGAACGTTATAGATACACACTTGGCGCTAAAATTCTTGGAAGCATGGCTGTAATTATTAAAAAAAAAAAGCCGTAGTAACTAAAAGGCAAAATACATGCGCACGGATTTTGAAGATTACCAAAGCGTTTCCCACGGCCTGATTCGTATTTATTTGTTAAAGTCTACATCTGTTTTTTCAGTAATGATTTTAATATGTTTGGTTTTTCCTACATGAACATAAATACGTTCCTTTCTAGTCCCTGCATCTGAAGGAATTCTGAAAAGCCCTCCATCGAGCTATGGCTACCACCTGTTCTGCAAAAGAAGAAAGGGTGCGTAGCGCGGTCTTTCCTCTGTGCTAATTGAGTTCTTAAACTGATGGTAGCTGCTACTGTGTTTGCTCTCGCAGTAGAAATGAGAATCTTTTTTTCTAATTAGTTGATATCAGGTAATTCTTACGTGGAGTGGTTTAATTTGGGGATTTTATGTAGAAGAGAGTGGTGCTTCGGCGCCTTAAGCGAATTGTAGCCATAAAAAATCCATTGGATTGGCCTTTTGCTTAGTGTGCCTTTTGGATTGGTACATCACACCTAAAATTAAATTGTCGAGTTCCGCTTTCGGTTTTGGTTGTATAGAAGGATGTAGCCCGCTTCTGGACGTATTCAGAGGAATACTTGTGAAGAGAGAGGACTTTTCCTCTTAATTCATAAGTTGAACTTTTTTCAATCGTGCCACAACAGAGCCATACATTTTTCGATCCTTAAATAATAGAGTTCTGTGACCGCCATCTAATGGGCTCTTCAGGAAGTGGCTCATGCATAAATTGGCAGTGCTACCAATATTGTTAGAAAATTAGTGTACAACAGTTCTAGTTTTACCGTTTGTACAGTTCTCCCCTATTAATTATTCACCCTTCATAAATGGCAGGTAACGAGGCCTTTGCATTTTCTTGACTTTTTTTTCAACAAAATATCTTAACCTTCTTAAAAATAATTAATGCAAAATAATTGCTGTTTTGACTTCCATTGCTTGGTGTATTACCTAGTTTTATTACAAAACAATGCAACTTAAAAGTACTCAGTACATCTAAGCAAGATATATCTTTGTTCAGTGGAGTTTACGCTATTGTAAGGATGCAATCTACTACCTCTTTCAGATGATTTGGAAGCAGCCTGTGCAGGGTGATCCAAGGGCAAATCTTCAGCTCTGAGATCAGAGCTCTTTTCCAACCTTGTATCTGGGAATGTGAAGAATCCTGTGGTCTCCTAGGCACTGTTTAACAGGCCATAAGATCACTCTGCCTGTATATTTAGGCTTACAGCCAAAGCCGTTAAAATGGCCAATACTACTTGTTGGGGAGCCTTATGGCTAATGGGGCAGGATAAAAATCTAATAAATATGTTCATTTTGGCTTTAATCTGTTTCAAAACAATTAAAGATTAACACAGCTGTAGGAGTAAGTGCCAGATCTCCAGTGTGGATTTTATATTGCTCCACTTATAATATGCCTGTTTAATCCCAATATTGTGACAAGCAATGTTTTAATTAAACTAAATATGTAAATAAAACACATTGTCCACATATAAATTAATTTTAACTATAATAGCCATATTCTCAATACCCTCTGCGTTTATCTTTACACTTATTTTTTCAATATTTTAACATGCTTACTGTATTTACAGAGGCTTTTTAGGATCACTTTTAGGGCTATGAAAGCAATATACCAAATGTACAGGACCATTAACAAATATATTGGGGACTTAATGAAGCTGTTGTGAAATACAAAATTAATTACAAACTCAGTTGAAAACAGTGTTGAAGATGATCTTCAAGGTTTACGTGAAAGCATGGACAGAAGAAGTAAGGCATATCAATAGGAGGAGAATTCCAGTGTTTGAGCCACCACCAGGAGGGTCCTATTTCTGTAATTTACTGTACTGGCAATAAACTACCTAATCTTTTGGTGAAACACATCCATAAATCATGTTTACCCAATGTATCTACATTAGCCTTCTCAGTGATGCTCCCCCCATTATAGATTGATCTTTCCATTAAAACTTGCCTGGTGCCAACTCTTATTATCCTTTCAGTGCCAGGTTAAGATTGCCACCTTCTCCATGGCATTCAGTGACATTTCATGGCATATGGAGCCTTTTATGTCCATTTAGTTGTATTTAATTTTTAAAATTTGTATATTGACATTTTATGCTTTTAAAAATTGGATTGTGGTGGAGCACAGGAGGGCCTGGAGGAATGTTGTCCATGGGGTCGCGATGGGTCGGACACAACTTCACGACTAAGAACAACAACAATCTGCTCAGTGAGCTTCAGCAATTTCATTGTATGGAAATAATAATCATCATACCAAATGCTTTTAATAGTTCTTTTAAGATAAGATTTATATCCCACCCAGAGCCTTTTTGACTAATGGGGCAGGATATAAATCAAATAAATAATAATCCCATTCTAGACTGTCATATACCTTTTCTGCATTAACGAAATGTAGAACTATTGGTATTTTTATAAGTTATGTTAATTATGCTGCTAATTCTCATGATAAGTTCCATCAAGTAGTCTCCATTTTTAAAAAAAAAGTCTATATGATCACTGTATAGGTAGTTAAAATTCAATCTTGTTGTAAAAACTGTTGATATTATTTGTTTATTTACTTAGACAGCTTATATGCCGCCCCCTTCGCATAAGCCTCAGGGCGGCTTACAATCATTAAAATCCCACATATAAATACAAAAAAAAATTACATAGAATAAATAAAATACATAAAATAGTGGAAACAGCCTGGTCAGTTTATAATCAATAAATAAACCTTAACAATTAAAATAGCATTTAAATAAAAAGGTCTTGGCCTGGCGTCGAAAAACAAATAACGACGGCGCCAGGTGGATCTCTCTGGGGAGCACATTCCATAGGTTGGGCGCCACCGCAGAGAAAGCCCTCCTCCGAGTACTTACCCTCCTAATATCCTTCACAGAGGGTTCCCAGAAAAGGGCCTCTGCTGTCGATCTCAAGGGGCGGGAGCACATATATGGATTATGTAATCTGCTTTTAATAATGAGGTGGTCTTAAAAGTGTCATAGTGCAATTCCATAACTGTCTTAGAAGCAAGTCCTGTGTGGTTTAGTGGGACTGGCAGGTAAATTACAGTCTCAAACTTCTTGGGATCTTTATTTAGATCAAGGTGATCCTAGTTTTCAGCTATGTTTTGGAATTTTCCTTCGTTGCACAAAGCAATTCAAGCGTTCTGTGAGCTGAATACCAAAAGTTTAATAGTTAGAAAGCTGTCACAGTCCGTGTTATTCTCCATTAGACATTTAGCCAAAGTCAGCACTCTTACATATTGTCTGGTATTCCAAGCATTGCAAAGAAGCTCCTTGTAATCAGAGTTGCTTTTGATTAAACACTGAAAAGCTGGCTGAGATTGATCTTAACATGAACTGGTCAGGGCATCTTTCATTGTGACCTTAAAATCATTTGTGTACCTTCCCATATGCAGCAGGTCATTAGGAGGAAACTGCTTATAGTTTTTTTTAGCAGAAAAGTGTTGATTTAAGATTGGATTGAATCTGTTCTACTACAGATGTTGACTGTTGTTTGTTTATTTCTAACATTGGGCAGTTAGTGATACACTGGATGTTGGTTTGTTGTCTTGAAGTTCTTGCACTGTTTTTGTTGTAGCAGCTACAATTTCTAGACCAGATTGTAATGGAGCTTTTACAAGAAGGTTGCTTGTCATCCAATTTTATATACTGAAAAGTCTTGAACTTCAGTAGGATGAGATAAATCAGTGAATTGATTGCAATGCCTGTAGAGAAGCTTTGCAGTTTATGGCAGGGTGCGCAACCTATTACCCTCCAGACATTGTTAGACTACTTTTCATCAGCCCTAGCCAGCAAGGTAAAAGTGAGGGATGATTAGATCTGCAACTCAACAACATCTGAAGGGCCTCAAGTTGTTGATCCATTATACTTAGAAGGCTTGCATTTTATGGCATTTCTTTTTTAACATTAAGTACTATGATCTGGCAAATGATTATATGAAGGTCAGGTGAAACTTCTGGGAACTGGTTGATAGGGACACCTCGCATTTTCCATAATATTCGTAAGCACAGTATAAGCATTATATGGACCACCAATAGCTATAATGCAAGAGTAAGAGTAGTGGAACTTAGGTACCAAGATGAACTTCTAAACAAGTATGCCTGTTCTATGATTATTTCTATGTCCAGCTTGTTTTAGTGAAGGCTTCAGATAAATTATCAGATAACCCTAAATTATCACAGAAAACAGTGGGAGTTACTTCTAAATTAATGTAGTTACGGCTCTAGTGTCTAAAAGTATGTTGCTTTATGTTCTAATTCAAATGCTTTGTATCTCATTGTTTGTTTTTGTTTTCACTTTGGTTTTTTTAAATCAGATTAAGTACATAAAGGGAGATCTTTTTACATGTCCTGAAACAGACTCCTTGGCTCACTGTATTAGTGAAGATTGTCATATGAGTGCTGGGATAGCTGCCATTTTTAAGAAGAAGTTTGGTGGTGTTCAGGAACTCTTGAACAAACGTAAGTAATGAAAACAAGCAGCTGCAAAGGTGAAAAAAACAGGATGAAAGTTCTTACTTTATTGTCAAATCTGTTAGATTAATTATAGCCAAATAGAATGGGAAAAATCTAATTTTAATTGCAGTCTCAGTTTCAAAGGCATGTTTCCCAAAGTACCATAGTGGTTTGTGCCATTCTTTAATGAATATTAAAATACTGTGGCTAACACTGATACTGGACCCTTGGAAATAAGAATGATTGCCATTTATTCTGATGATAGGAGCTAGGATTCTGATCCTGCAAACAAATAATGTTGATATTTATACAGGTAGTTCTGTTAATTTTAACAAAAGGCAACACTTTTATTTCTATTCTGTGTGAGGAGATGCAAAAGTTCTATGCCTTCTAATGTTCTAGTGAATGTTATTGCAGGGGTAGGTCTGGTTGCTTCTTACCCCTTAAATCTCATGGAGCAGTATGGGCTTGTGAGCCAACAAGGCTCATTGCAAGGCACTGATTGTATGAGCTGGTGTATCCGGGGGTAGGTATGAGGTCGCTGTGACCCTTTTTGAGCTGTTGCAGCTATACATACTATCTGCTGTCCACTTTTATGTGGAGATAATGATTTCTACAAGCATACTCTCAATATGTTCCTGATTTGGACTACAAGTTATCAGCAGCCCCCCATACCAAATGTGTGATTATATGGGGGTTAAGAAGTGACTGAGCAGATACTGTTTAATCAAGAACAATGAATCTAAAAACTGATGCAAGGACAAGACAGATCTTCTGAGTTAACCAACCTTATCCTGTGCCTGTGACTTCCAAGGCTTCTTAGGCTGAGATCCATCAGTATTTCATGAGTTTCAGGTTAGATATTGAGGAATGCATGCAGTACTTAAATTTAGACCTTTAACATAAAATACTTTTTTGAAACAACCATACAGTAGTACTTTTGTCTATTCTACTGTAGTGGGAAGTGTTCTCTTGCTAGAGGAAATGTGGCATACTAACCATACTTTGCTTAGGATACAGTTTTTTAATGAATCCCTTAAACTCTTGCATGCTTTTCAAGACCATGCCAAAGAACATTTGACACTGCTTTTGTACATTCTTTTCATATTTATTTACAGCTACTTAATTTTAGATCTACCAGAGACAAGAAACTTGGGGAAGATTATGCATAATTGTACAAATATATACCTGAGTGCTGGTTAAGAGTGATTGCTCCGATTTTTGCTGTAACACTCAAAAGTAACTTAAAAGTTTTTGAAAATAATGTATATTTCTGCAGTGCTTTGGAGAGTTGGCAATGCATTGGTTAATTTTTAAAAACTGTTTCAGGAAAGAAAACTGGAGATGTGGCTGTTCTGAATAGAGGGAAGAGATATGTGTACTATCTGGTAAGAGTGGTTTATGTGTTACTCGTTTGGGCACATGAACAGTTTCTAACAGAGAAGTAGCTACACAAATGGCATTTCCACATCTTCATTTGTGAAAGGCAAATGAGCATAAATGTGCATTTGTGATTTACTCTTGCTGCAACTTCAATTTGTTCTTAAAGAGGCTGTTTCAGTGCTGCTGGGATGGCCTGTTTTTACTGTTTGGGCATTTTCAAAGTCTGTAGTATCAGGTATTTATTAACAGCTAACACATTTGCTTGAACTCTTACTAGAAAACTTGGTGACTTGAGTAGTAGTTCTTTGAGACTTGTACCTGAAGTTCAAAACCTTATTTGGAAATAGAATTAATTAAAATCAGTTGATGGAGAGCCAGTGTGGTGTAGTGGTTAAGAGCATGAGACTGAGACTGGGACTGGGACTCAGACGATCTGGGTTCTAATCCCTGCTCAGCCATGGAGCCAACTGGGTGACTTTGGGCCAGTCACAGACTCTCAACCCAGCCTACCTCACAGGGCTGTTGTTGTGGGGATAAGATGGAGGAGGAGATGTAAGCTGCCTTGAGCCCATTGTAGGAAAAAGGTAGGATATAAATCTATAAATGAATGAATGAATGAATGAATGTTCCAAGGAAAATGCATTTATATGCATGTAAAACACTCATTTGCACATAACTGTACCTGTGCAGAGCTTGGTAAAAAGAAAGAGCTGTATTAAAGAAATTTGATTTGGTTCATACTGCAATTTAACATGTCTGTTTATTTTGACTACTCCATATGTGTTGTATATTAGGAAGTTCCACTGACATGTATTCAGGAGAGTGTAAGGTGTGGTCATTTGGTTGAATCATGTTCTCCAAAACACTCTTATGATGAAAGATCTTGTTTCCTTCTTTGTGAATTGAATTTGTAATCTGATATATGTCTTCTTCTGCTTAATAAGTACTCCCAGGCTGATAGCTATAAAATGCAGTGGTAAAGTTACAGTTTTATAACAAAAAGTCTTGGTTCAACAAGACTTTTGATTTCCTTGGGAAACAAATAAAGAGACTATTAGACAAGCTACAAATTTGAGTTTCTAACTCTTTAAAGATTAGTGGTACATATAGCACAACTATATGGCCCACTGAATTTGCATAACTTGCAAGCACATTGTTTTAGATTGCAGCCTTAATGTCCAAACTATAGTATACCTTAGTTTGCTAACTTATTCCAAGTGCCTACTTAATGAGTTAGGATATTATGTTCATATGATCTACCTGTTAGTGTAATAGTGTTGGCTGAAGCAGTCTTTTATATCAGAATCTAACAATGCAGTGCTATTGTCAGAAGTAGGCTGTACTCGTAAAAATGCTCACTTTGTGAATTCAATTGGACTTATTTTTGAGACAGCGTAAATGACTTGCACTGTGAAAAAGAAAATCTATCCCAAAATAGGGCTAATCTGCATTTTATTTTACACTTACAGATTACAAAGGACAAATACTTTCATAAGCCTATATATGAAAATCTACGGAAGAGTTTAGAAGCCATGAAAATTCATTGTCTACAGCATGATGTAACTTGCATTTCTATGCCCAAGTAAGCACATTCTCTATTGGCAAAATACTACTTTATTATTAGTATGAACATTCAAAGTAGTGAGTTAGATCTTCCAATACTTTGTTACTTTGTCTGTGGAACTAGAAAGCATTATCAAAAGCACAATTTACAAAGTAAGGTTAAGAGAGGCAGAAGAGCTTCCGATCTAGTTATTTCCACTTTTTTAGATGTGTAGGAGAGTTGGTCCTGTGTAAAAATAGCATCTTGAGTCGTTTAAATACCATCGCTAGCTTTCTAGCACTTGAAGCTTGTGTTAGTGGTTCTGAGGCTGCAAGTATTTTTTTTCTCTTTTTGTATAATGTATTGACTAAAATATGCCTGGGTCAGATATCTGTTCATAATTTGTGCATCATTGAATAGGCTTGGTGTTTTAAGACTGCTGCCTTTTTTGTGGACATATTTTCTCCCTTCAGACTTTGGTTTGGAAATACTGGTTTGGAAATATGCTATAGTTACTGTGAACCATGAAAGAAGGAAGGGAATTGAAACATGTTAGAGGAAAAAATACACAAGCGCAGACCCCATTCATCAGGGCAACCATGTTTTCAGCTGGACCTCAGAGCAGGAGCATAGGCATGCTAGACATCATGTCATGTTTGGCAGATACGCTGAATTCATTTTGTTGTGACGTTTTTATGACTCCCAATGTGAGAATAAAGTCACAATTCTAAAAATTTGAGCATAGATATGCTTAGGCTAGTGCTGGAAAAGAGTTTTTATGATGATTCATTAGGATGAATCAGCAATTGTGAGTGTAGGGGTGTATAGGCATGTAGCTCTTAGTCATATCATGCTTTTATTTAATAGTTATGGGTGCACTCAAGGCAACTTGATTTATACTTTTTGGCACTGTCAATGTGTTCTATAAATCTTAAGGGAAAATGTCCAAGACTCTTGGATTCTTATTTTCCAGAATTGGGTGTGGACTTGACCGATTGGATTGGAGTAAAGTTTCAACAATGCTTGAAGAAGTATTTGAAGATACGGATGTTAAGATTACAGTTTATACCCTTTAATTCTTGGGCCAATTATCTTTGTTTCCAATTTGTGGTATTCTTTTTTTGTATTTGATTTATAAGAAGATGATAGGATAATCTTGGTCCAAGTTTCCTTCAATCTTCCAGGTATTTCTCACCATTACTAGTGTCCAATCATGGGCAATATTTTGCACAAGCTTGCAGTTAGATCTTTCAGAAATTCTCAGTCCAAACAGAACTGGCTGTTACTCGTTTAGCAAATGAAGCTACTAGTTTGAAAAGCAAACAAAAAAGTCTGGCTATGTTTCGTTGTTCTAGCACTTTTTGCTATGTAGGCTTGTATTTCAAGTAAACAACTATGGCTCTTTGGTGGTAAACCATTGAAGACGTATATGTTCAATTAAAATAAGATCTACTTATGTTTATGTAAATAAAATTCCTTTTCCAAACACAGGCAATTTTGTTTATTTTTTTGAAACAGTATGGTATATAATTGTGTGCAAGAAAGATCATGTGTGCACACCTAGTTCATCTAGTGAAACTAAGGGGGGATTCTATATATTTAAGAGCTCCATGTGCGTGTTGGCATGCATGTGGAACTCTGGATCACTTCTGTTCTGGCCATTTTCTTCACAAATTACATGTTATTAAATAGCAAAGGAACAGATCAGTACCAGATAACATAATTGAACCATACATCTTATGTAACTACTGTATTTAACCTGGAATTTTTTCAGGCCTTATCTAAATGTGCTTGCTTCTGTAGCACTTGACTTTGTGCAGAGAGCCAAGCAGAAAAGGACTCAAACTGCCACATAACCTTCTAGAGCAGGGGTCTCAAACTCAACTTACCTGGGGGCCGCTGGAAGTAGAGTCTGGATGAGGCTGGGCCGCATCAAGTATTCCACAAAAAATGGATTTCAGGTATTCCAAAAAAATGATTCAGTCTTCTCAATCTTTACTAATAATAATTCAGAACATGAATGGTTCTTCAGAACATAGGCTTCTCTTACTTCTTCCTATTCCTTGCTGCCAGAGACCTGACAGTGCTTCCTCTTGCACAGCTGAGCCACATTTGGCTTGAGGAAGGAAGCAACTGAGACCCTCAGTATGGCTTGAAGATGCTCATCAGTAAGTTTGGACCTGAATTTTGACTTATTAAAGTTCATGGTGGAGAAGAGCTTTTCACACAGATAGGTGCTCCCAAAAAGGCACGTGGTCCGCTTGAACATCCTGGAAAGCTCAGGAAAGGTAAGGGGCAATTCTCTCAAAAATTGTCCAAGCTTGTCTGCTTTTCCACTCACCTCCCTGAACTTGGCTTTGAGTTCAGAATTGCACTGCAGGTCAATTAGCTCCATTTGAAGCACAGAGGGGGCATCTTCCACATCAAAGGAGAAGGGGTCAGCAAAAATTTGAAAAGTGGCTCTGTGTGTCTTGAAATCTGCAAACCTGTGATCAAATTCTTCCTGTAGCTTTACAATGGCATCAGCATACTTCTCACCGCTGAATGGTGTGCGAGAATTCATGAGTGCCTTGCATACTGGGAAATGGCAGAGGTTTGTCTGAGAAAGCTGGGCTTTCCATAACACAGGTTTTGTGGAGAATGCTCTGACATTGTCATAGGCAGCACTGACAAGCTGCCCCTGGCCTTGTAATTTCTTGTTCAGTACATTCAGCTCCTGTGTGATGTCAACAAGAAAAGCTAAGTCCATGAGCCATTTGGGATCACTTAGTACAGGAACAGCCATCCCACCTTTCTCCATGAAGGTTTTCACCCCTGCTCTCAACTCAAAAAACCTCTTCAAGATGTTTTCCCTGCTAAGCCAATGTACCTCGGTGTAGTAGAGCACATCCTCATATGCTGACTCTATTTCCTCTAAAAAGGCGCGGAACTGCTGGTGCTTTAAGCCCCTGGATCTGATATGGTTGATGCATTTCACAACGTCAGACATCACATTGTCAAACTTCAGGCATTTGCTGCAAAGGGCCTGCTGATGGATAATGCAGTGCAGAGCAATGGCCTCTTCCACAGCCTCTTCTTCCAATTTTCTTTGAACAAGTGCCACGACTCCATTTCTTCTTCCGGTCATTGATGGCGCTCCATCGGTTATTATTCCAGCAAAACTCTTCCATAGTAAGCGGGCATCTGTAATGGCATCACACAGCTGGCAGAATATCTCCTGAGCGGTGGTCTGGCCATGCATTGGAATCACTGTAACTCCTCCATCACTTCAAAATTGTCATCAACACCACGGACATATATTGCGAGCTGCGCAGTGTCAGTGACATCTGTGCTCTCATCAAGAGCGACTGAGTATGCATGAAAATGTTTAGCTTTCTCACGCAGTTGATTGTAAATGTTACCTGACAGGTCAGAAATGCGCTCTGCCACTGTGTTGGCTGAGAGGCTGATGTTGCTAAACCGACCCTTTTCTTCTGGACAGACTATACTTGCAGCCTGTAACATGCACTTTTTGATGAACTCGCCGTCTTTAAATGGCTTTCCTGCCTTAGCAATCATCTCACTCACTACGTAGCTGGCTTCGACTGCCGCATCACTCTCTTTGCTTGCTTTCTTGAAAAAATCTTGTTGCCTCAGTAGACATGTTTTAAGTTTGGCGACACGGTCCTCTCTCTCATCTCCCTGGTATTTTGCATACTCCTCAGCATGTCTAGTTGAGTAATGATGTCTGATGTTGTACTCCTTGTGCACCACAACTTTCTCTGTGCATATAAGACACATCAGGATGCCCCTGTGCTCAACAAAAAAATATTCCGTCTCCCACTTCTCCTGAAATTGTCTGTGCTCATCGCCAACCTTTCTCTTCACGGCAGGTTTTGAGAAAGACATGACTGGGGCCGGGTGACAAAAAAAACGTATTTGCACTGGGTGACAGGATATATTTTCCCTTCACTCGGTGACACCCCCGAATCATGTTTCAAGTGACTAACGTTGTTAATTTGCATTGCTGTCACGATCCTGAGCTATGGTAGTCCACAGGTGACAAAAAATATAAAACACCCAGGCAATGTTCCCTCTAAGCTGCGTGCCGGGATGGGCCCGGGGCCCTGTGGCCTTCAAAGCGCCGGTGGCGCCCGGGCCGGCCTCCAGGAGCCACGCGGGATGAGCGGCCCACCACCACGGGTGCCTCCGGCGCTTTGAAGGCCGCAGGGTCCCTCCCCCGTGCCCCACCCATCCCGGCGCGCAGCTTAGAGGGAACATTGCGCCCAGGGTAGCAACTCACACAGGTGCGTGTGAGAGAAACACACGGGCCGCACTATCACTAAACTTTGACATCAAGTGGGGGCCACAAAATATCGTCCCACGGGCCGCAATTGACCCACGGGCCGCGAGTTTGAGACCCCTGTTCTAGAGACTCTAATTTTATATACCATTTTAGGCTGCAGTGCCATACACAGGAGCAAGTTTCACTGAATTTAATGGAATGTTCATTTGAGCAGGTATGTATAGAGATGTACTCTTTTCCTCACATCCTGACAAATATGTTTGTTTCCATCTTAGTCCTTAACTACTTTATGCGGGATTGGGCGTATCTTTTTTCCTTGTCTCCGGTTTGCTATATAACTTGCATTTATTTTGTGTTATGTTTAATCTCCCTACCCATTATTTTGTGGTATGTGGCTTTGCTATTTTTTTTTAAAGATTGCTTCGATGTACTCAGTTAAAAAAACCCATTTGGTAATAGCTTTGCTTCTGCTGCTACTTATTGAACACTTCATACTGGGTAATATAGTTTAATGTGTAGGAATGTGAGTCGTGAATGTATTTATATCTCTGGAGGCTGCTGTAGCACAATCCCCCTGCACCAATTTGTCTAAAATTTGACAGGCTTCATCTTCTCCAAAAAGGGCTACTATGTTTGCCAATTTCATTCAGCTCTGACTAAAAACACATTATAGCTGATGGCTTGTTTTCCAGTGCCCATCAAGGGTGAGGCATACCCGAAGCTTAGGATTTTCCAAGGCAAAGTTTTGATTCAGAACGAAATTGTGCAGGTTTTGAAGTAGTCCAAGCTGAATTGGGGGCTGCCTTCCAAATCGTTAAAGTGATGTTGCAGCCAAATACATTGTCAGTGTTTACCCCCAAGCAGTTACTTTCTGGCAAAGGCCAGGATTGGCCTTACTCACTTTTGAAAAAACTCTGCCAATGTTTGATCATAGATATTACAATGACCAGAGTTGTTCACATATGGCTTGTCCAAGAAGCATGAAGGGAAGGGCATGTCTTAAAACTTGAATTGGCTTAATCATCTGAAGAATAGTTTTTATCTCCACACTTTTGAGGAAAAAGTATTCACTCAGGCTAGGTTCAGTAAAAGGCATTTGTTTTATTTTCCCATTTGCTCTTTTAGACTATGTATTCTTAGAACAGATACCAAGCTTTCCCTAATGCATTTAAAACAGAGCATCTAACTAGTGTATTAAGCTATGGAGTTCAGTTATGCATTATGAAAAAGGCAACATATTTTATACTTGTTTCTGTTGCTTAAAAATGTGACATTTGCTAATTTAATTTTCAGCCTTGTTTCATAAAAGAGATTTGATGTAGTTTGACTTGTTTTTCTAATTTTTTTTAGTGATGAAACTGCTTCGCACCACAAACTTTAAATCCATTCCATATCATGATGGTTTTTTATTTCCACTGAACAGCAGTAGTGCAAGATTATGAGTGTCAAACGACCAAATGCTTACATGTAGCATATATATGTATTTTTAGTCATGTCAGTCTGATGGGATATCAACAAGAGACTTGTGATGTTTTTCTGTTTCAAAGTGCCTCTGGAGGACCGAAGGGGGACTCCCAGATGTCAAAGTATATCAGGCCCATTTCTCCATAGCGTTGACAGATTTCTCCTGGAGAGAAAAATGGAGACTTGAATTGTTTTTCTCAAAATATGTAGGCTTTACTGCGCAAAATAAGCAATGCCTTATTAATTGGTACATCTTGCAAAACTGATACAATTACACAAAATTGCTTCTTTAATTCTGTATGGGGAATATTTTTCTTTCCCTTTTTCAGGTTTCTTCAAGGTTTATAGTGAACCCATGTGTCTGCTTTATTATATTAAAAATACAGTGGAAAAATAAAAAGTTGTCCTCTCAATGTTTCACTGCCTAATGTGAATCAATGGGATTAATAGTTCTGAATTTGTACTAGAAAATGGGAGGTAGCATTTCAAATATGTGTCTAGAACTTGTTAGTTATAATCTGTAATACCTGTAATATATTAAGTTTAGCTTGGTGGTACAGCACACACTTTGCATACCAAAGGCCTCAGTTTCAATCGCTGGTTTCCCTTGACAGAGTTGGAAAAGATGTCTGTCTGTAGAGTTAGGAAAGCTACTGTCAATCATGCTGGTGGATATAGCATAACTCAGGGTTGAAACAGGCTAGTTGGTTGGGAACTCTGGTATGCAATGCCTTTTCCTGATTTTTGTCCCTCTTGCTTTCTTCCATGCATGAATCCCTCCCTCTTTCTCTCTCTCCCCCCTTCCCTCCCCCAATGAATGAGCATAGCTTCATGTGGTAAATGAGGCAATTTACAAAGATGCTGTCACAACAGAACAATGAAATTGACTCCTTTGAAACTAAGATCAGCATACATATGTTTCTACAGAAGTGTGCTGCAATTTGTTAATAAGCTTTCTTTTTGTGATTTAATTTAAGATGAAGTAAGACTGTTTTCCTTTTGGGTTTTAACCAGCTTACCTGGGTGCTAGTTGTTGTTATATTGTGCTTGCAGTTAATTCTGCTTATATCTACATCAGAATTTACCCAAAGGGCTAAATTTTAAGTTATGTGTTAGGGTGGTGGGAAAAAAATTAATCTATCAGCACATGCAGAATGGCTGAATAAAACAAATGAAAGCTGATGGGTACTGCTCTGAGCTATGGATGCCAGCTGAATTGTAAGACAGCATGTTGCCTTGGAAGTGAAGACATTTTAAATTCTGATAAGCCTCCAGATCGGAGGTAAGCAAGAGAAGGGCATGAAGGAATGCTATTGCAAAGGCCAATTTCATTGGCTTGCTATAAGACAGCTTTGCCATCTTGGTAGAGCTGAAAGTTACAGAGAGGTTAAAATGCTTGAAAGAGAATTTTGGTTTTGGTAGTCCCAAATCATAGTCCGTTTAATTTCTGAAGTGTGCAGATTGAGACTGGGAAGCAAGAGTAATTGTGAAAAGCATGTGGCTGGATTAACCACTGCATTTGAGAATGCTCAAATCACTGGCTTTGAAGTAACTGAACAAAAACCAAGTTTTCTGCTTGATAGTCTAGGAGAAAGATGTTCTGCTTTCATATCTATATTAGACCAAGACAGTTAAATTAATTGTAATGAATCTGTTCACTGTTTAAGAGAAGATTGTGTAGATGTATTTGAGAAGGCTATTGCAAATGGATTGAATTACAGAGCCAAAAGGAGCAGAAGAGATAGATAGAAGCCAGCCTATATAGATAGAAAGAAAAGAAATACTGCTTTAACTGCCAGTGGATGAAAGGAGGCACTTTGCTAAAGATTAGTCCATTCCCAACAAGGCTTCTCAGTCATTCACCAATAGGAACTCACCAAATTTCAAACGAAACAAAGAAAGCATGAGATCGTATATGCAAACCATATGCATTATTTTCAAAGGCCAATAACAGGCCAAGCAGCTTGTTAAAACTGAACAAGGAATTCTCATGGCAAATAAACTTGGATCAGAATCAAGGGAAACTAACTACCTTTTTCATAGTGGAACCACTTCACATTCCACATTTTCTTAATCTTATCTTTGCTAGACTTACTCCCAGTGCTTAAGGTGATTTGAAAATAATAAATGGCTCAGACACAAAGATCCAAGATAAAAGTTGGTTTTGCCTAATGAAAATGTAAATGAACGTATTTGAGTTAAAACTGAAACCGCCCAAATGTTGTCTGCATTGGATAAGAAAGGTTTTGAAGTAAGTTTCAAAAGAAAATGCAGTTGCTAAATATCTTGAATGTACTTATGAAAAACAAGGTGTTTATTAGTCACAGATAATCAAAGGTAGATGGCAGAGATGTGAACAGTCTTAGATTGCAGTGGCAAAGACTCTTAGGCCATTGTGATCCAAGAGTTATTCTTACTAGATTGTTGCTTGAGGCTGTAAGGTAAAGCCATATGACCACAACAATATTAACAGGTGCATGTATTGTATTAAGGCAAACAGGGTCAGACACTCACTTCCACCACAAACTGGGAATTGTAGTCATAAAACATTGACATTAGTTCACTCTGGTCTCTGCAAATCAATCCATCTGCCTTTGGATGGAGGTAATACATACTGTATATTTAAATATTTGTAAACAATTTCTTTGCCATTTACCTGATGACACAGAGTGAGATAATGAGCTGGTCAAGAAGTGTGCCGTTATGGTTGCCAACAGATTTGGCAAGAGGTCTCAAGTGCTGTAATCTGACAGTAGTGCTGAGTACCTATCACACCACACAAAATTTCCTGGAAAAGCAGGGTGTTTTGCACAGGGGAGCCATGAGCTGCACTCTTGATCAGAGTTGCACAGTTGAAAGGGAGACAAGCTCTCTACTGGAAATGACTGCATACAAGTTAATGGACATAAGTTTGTCCAGCAAATGGTGAAATGAGGTGCTTGTGACTGTAAATTGTTTCCCAAATAGATTGTCTGCAAAAGGAACCACATAGTCATATCAATGATGGCACAGAAAGCCAAATGTGAAAGATGTCAAGGTGTTGAAATTGTTGGGTGCATGCATGGAAAAGGAAAAAGACACAAATAAGACTGAAGTGCAGAAGAGAACATTTTGCTTGGTTTCGGCTATAAGAAATGTATAGCGTACTGCAAGAAAGTAAAGTCAGATTAAACATGGTCTATTTTGTTGAAGAAAATGATGCTGACAAAAGCTGATTGTGTTCAATGAGCCATGGAACCAGTACCAACTCTTCATGTTGATTCTACCTACAGTGATAAGGTACCTGAACCATCACGTGCCAATATGTAGTCTGAACTAGAAGAACCAGGCAAATGCTGTATTGACTGAGTTAGAGGCTGAAAGCAATGCAGCAGGAGGGGATACAGATGGGGAGATTGAGACAGATGAGCTGCAAAATGCCAAGGCAGGAGACCTGATTCTAGAGCCAGTTGTCAGATGCTTATGATGAATCAACAAAGACATGCAACCTCAAATTCTGTCCTGCCTGACACTGACTCTCAAACTTTCAACTTGGGAAGAAGTTGAAAAGATGCCAGCAGCTGATTGAAGAAGGCAGCACAAGAAGAAATAGATGTTTTAAACTAAAACAAAAATGGACCCTGACTAGGCTACCACCAGGCAAGAAAGCCATAAAGTACAAATGGATTTTCAAGATGAAACAAGGTGCAGATAGGAATTTATATTGTTGTAAGGCAAGATTAGTTGCCAAAGGTTTCCTGCAAAATTATGCAGAAGACTTAGCACCTGTTCTGAAACAACACCCATTAGAATGTTCCAGAGAGTAGCAGTGTCCAGGAAAACCTGGATGTGAAAAATGCTTTTCTCCATGGAGAGATAATAGAAGAACTCTACATAGAACCACGCCCAGGTTTCATCAGCTGTAAGCAGGCATATCTCATTTGCAAGCTTGAGTTAATGGACTCAAACATGCCACAAGAACCTGGAATGAGCAGCTAGACAAAATCCTCATGAAGCAAGATTTTGAGCAAAGTGAGGCAGACCCATGCTAGTTACAAAAATGGAACTCAAACTTGTAGCCAGTTAATTTGATCTTTCCAGGAATTGGACTTGCAGGGTATCTAGCACAGCAAAACAACCATGGAAAAACTTCTGTACTTGAGCATTACTTCCAGACTGGCATTGCAGCTGCTGTAGGGATCATAAAATCACACAGGGATGAATGGCTCACACAACAAGATTGACTACAAACTTCAAGCTAAAGTTACCAGCCGGTAGTAATCCAAAAGAGCTGGACTACACTGGACACCTCTCTGACCACAAATCCACAAGCGAGACTAATCTCCTAGGCCTGCAGGAAAAAAGTCTGCAGTAGTTGTCTTCCACAGAATTGGAGTACATAGCATCTGCAGAAGCATGCAGATTATTGATATGGCTTCATCAGTCACTAATAACCCTTTGGATAGATATGAAAAAGCCAATCTAGATTAGGGAGGATAATCAGAGCTGTTCTAGACATTTTCAGTCTGGAAAAGTAGCACTTAACACAGAGTGAAGTTCCACTTGGTTTGTGACCTAACCAGCATAGGCAAGATTGAGCAACGCCAAGCCATCCTGCTAATAAGCCACCACTGGTTGGTTGTCCACTGAACAATTTGTGGTACTTCCAACAGACTGTCAGCTTGTTGTGGCTTGTTCTCTCCTTCATTTCCCCACAGTTCTGTTGTCTTTTGCATGAATTTCAGATGCCTTTGCAGTAAAATTTCTTGTTGCTGTGGTCCGTATGTCAGCACTGTTTCTCCAGTGAGTCTGCTGAAACTGCCCTCCCCTTCAACCCCGATGAACATGGGAATGCATTTGCCAGCATTTCTTTTCTAGGGATTTCTGCTGTTGATATCAAGTCTGCCTCTTGATATTTAGCCAAGCATCTCTGTATTGACACCCACGTCTTACTTAAACATCTTTTTTGAAAGGTTGCTTCATATTACTCTAAAGTAAGCCTCTGCAGCCTCAAAGAAAGAACAGCCTTTGGCAAAGGGTTTCCTCTGCAGTCACTTTTGGCTTCCTACCTAACCCCCCTCACTTCCCCCTTGTTGCCAGCTGTCACATTTCAATATGGGATACAGAGCTGTGAGCAGAAGCATACACAAATGTCATGACAAAGCAGTAACTTGGAGAGGGAAATGGCACAATTGTAAAAACAGCTGTCAGCTGAGAAGGGATAAAGGAGGATGGTAGCAGCACACATGGGACTGTGAAGGACATGGATTTTTGCCACTCTGGCAAGGTGGCTTACTAGGTATTTCAAGAAACCCACAATAAAATTATTAAAATTTGAACCTGCTGGGTCCAATGATACAATAAACCACCTTGGGTATAAACAATCCTGAAACAAACCATATTTCCTCAGGTTGGATTGTTTGTAGAAAAAGCCACAGAACCTGCAGCACATTCACACAACCTGACAATCCACCATGGCTGATCACCCATGATGGGTTGTTGTGACATGCAAACAAGGTAAATGTAGACAATACTGAGCTGTATGGAGCAATGGCATTGACTTAGGTGGCCTCTTATGTTCAGGGGCTGCCCTTATTGAAAATAACTGAGAAAACTAGTTCCATGTAGGCTGGTAACACTTTCCATGTGCTAACAGGAGCTGTGTGGAATTACTGCTATGTAGATGTTTTTCTGAAGCACCTGTCCTGCCTGAGTGACTTACAAAGCAAGACTCAATATGGCTGTTTTGAATTCAGGAGGGAAGAAAATTCTGTCCTCTGCTGTTCTGCCCAGCGTTGTCTTTCCTTGCTGAATTTCTGGATGACCGATAATGTCTTGCTTTTTAAATTGGATGAGATGACATCTGAAAAACTGGAACGTTGAAGAGTTTTTAAAAGCTATGTACTTACATAAACCTCAGTGCAAAACTTCGGCAAGCTTTTCTTCATAGTACAGGAAGTTCTCTTGAATGTCTTCCCAGGGTGTAAATGGCTTTGCTTCCTCGCCCTCCTCCTGCTCCACAAAATTCTTCCAGACATATTCAAAATCTTGAGGCTTCATGATTCTCATTTTACAGCCAGCTGCTTTCAATTTCTTCAGTGCAGCTTGGATCTCTGGCTCCTCCCACATGAAGAGACGGCCCACTACGATGGAGAGTCGCAGGTTCTTATTCTTCTGCAATGCTTTAATTATTCTATCAGCACAGCTCACACAGGGACTAGAAGAAACATACCAGGTGACATTGTAGCGCACACCACCCTCACATGAGGGCAGGATGGTGTTGAAAAAGGCATCTTCGGCATGGGCTGCTGCATGTTCATCTTCCAGATAACCCCGTTTGGTTTTTGTCTCCTTGCCCTGGATCTCTATGATATAACATAGGAATGTCTTGTTCCTGCCTGAACTGTATTCTACATTCTTGAACTGGAATTTGAAAAAGAAGGCCGGAAGCCGATCCCTGTACAGAAAAGTGAAAGGCTTAGTGTTGATACAGTTGATACACAGTTCATAATACATCTCCTTTGTTCAATAATTTTAAGATGCTAATATTATTGTTAAGATAAAATATAACAAAACCATCTTCCTCTGAGGTACACAAAATGTAGAAGAAAAATTGAACAATAGTGACATTTTTCTTAGTATCTTTAGAAGCCACCACACAAATTCAGTTAAAGATTTGGTATTTGGTAACAACCAAAGGAAACCAAATCTAAGCTATTAGGGTAGTTGTGTTCACACCAGTTGCTTTTCAAGTCACCTGTTGCCAATATGCACAATGAAGGATGTAATCTGCATTACATCCCATGACTGTGTTACTCTTTGTGCTTTACTTCCTTTATTCTGCAATACCAACTGCCTCACTAAAGCCAAATGAAGGTTTGCCTACATTTTATCTGGATGACAATGCCTTCTGTTCTTGATTCTTTCTTTTCTGTCAGAACATTTTCACCTAAGTAAATTTGCACCAGTGCACTGGTTTACCTTCACCTCATCCATTCAACATCATTTCAAGGACTGTGACAGAGAATAATGCAACTGTGAAGAGCATCAGTTACACTACAGATAAGCCATCATGTATTGTCTGGTCATATGCCTAGTAAAAATGAGATGGAGCTCACATGTTTGAAGCCCACCAAAGATATTTTTGAGTCTTCATAGACACATCCTTCTGCTGATCCTGCTGATCAAATAATTTTGAAAAGTGGTCCCCTAGTCTTGTGCTTGAATGTTATATACCTAGGGCACAATCCTATGCCTTTTTAGGCAGGAAAAGTCTTACCAATTCCCAGTATTCTTCAGAGTGGCTATGGAATGTGAGGAGCTAGAGGGTTTTTTCTTTTGGTCTAAAGAGGCATAGAGTTGCACCTTTAGATACCAAAACCAGTTTGTGGGCATGACAATAGACTACAGTCCAAGAAGCTAATTTTCCCTTGTGATCTTAAGAGGGTTTGACACTAAGTGGAGAAAAGAATGCTGATAGGAAAGTGCCTACCTACTTTGAGGGAATCTAGGTTGATTCCCTCTCCTTTGTTGTCTTTCTGCCAGGAAACAAATACGTTTTTGTTCAAGCAGGCCTTTGGCATATAAGCTGGTTTGCTGCTGAAGACTGTTATAAATTGGCTTGCGCTGCTTAATTCTTTGAATATTGTGTTTTAATTGTGTTTTGATGCTGTTTTAATAGAAGTTTTATTTAATTTAATTCCTGTTAGTTGCCTTGTGTACTGTTTTTTTGTCAAAAAGGGGATGTAAATTAAATAATTGTGTAGTCATATTGGCTTCCTGAATATTAACACATTATCTCCTTTCCTTTTCCAGCTCCTTTTTTATAGCCAGGATTCCTTTCACTGAGGGCCATTCAATCCTTGGTGCGACACACTTAAGCAAGAACTTAATCCTAATATATATTTTCCTTCCGCTCAGAGAGATTTCCTGCACTAGGAATCTTCTGACATTTTTGCAGCTTGGATACAGATTCTCCTTGACTCATAAATGATTAAAATTTGAAACCTACATTGAGAATCTTCATTAACATGAAAAAGCTATTCATTCTGCATATTTATTACACAACTAGCTTCCCCACTGGAAATATGACATAGGGGTGTGTGTCATCCAGGTGTATTATTGCAGTTATGTTTACTTTTCTCCATTATCTTACCTAATTGCCACACTGTATGCATTCCTTTATAGTTCTCTTGGACCTATGTCATCAATTATGTTTGTTCATAGCAGGTTGTTCTTTCATTTGTGAACGTCTTCAGTCAACTCATATGTTCTGCATAGTTTTCATTCTCAGAATTGTAGCCCTGAGCTATTTTGGTTTTCAGCTGAAAACAAAAGTTCATTCTAGCATCCTTTTGTTTAGTATATGTAACATGAAGTAAGATGAGACAGCTATCTCTGGTAGGTCTTGGGTCCCATCACCATGGGGTGTGGAGCATGATCCATTGGGAAGGTCTCCAGCACAAGCCACACTGAAATGAAGACAGTTATGAAAAAATATGGCAGCATCACATAGCTCAGTGGGTAGAGCACAGTCTTTCAGTCTTTGCCATTGCTATATAAAGAAGCAGGTGCTGGTAGATGAAGTGGAAGACCTCTGTCTGAGACCCTGGTGAGTGGCTTCCAGTCAGAGTCAACAATAATAGGTCAGAATCGCTTGTGTTCATTTCAGTGAAGCTTGTACAAGGGAACAATTTGCACCTGAGCTATGTAGTTAGTGGGAGGGCTGCCTTTTGGACTTTGCTGCCTGTAGCACTAACATCTTTAACTTGGCATGTTAACTTAAGAATCACTTTTCTATTACAAAGACAGCTTTCTAGAGCTGAAAGACATTGTAAAATGTATATATTAAAATGTCACAGATAATTCATAGACATTATTTCTTGGCATGTAGTAGCCTCAGGAAAATGAGAGGCGATTGAATCTACAGTTCCTCAGTACATTTTCTCTGTCCTTACACAGGGACTATGGATGATTATCTCTTCTATTCAGTGCTGTGTTTATATGTGTCAATCTATCTTAATAGGCCCTGGGCATAATCAACCTTCAAATGCTATACTTCGGAATTTAATGTTGTTATTATTGCATTACATTTCTATACCATCCATACCAAAGCTCTCTGGGTACTTCACAACATTTTAAGCCATCCATCCAGATTTCAACCAGACCTGACCCTGCTTAGTTTCCAAGATTAGGCAGGATCAGGCACTTCAGTCTATAGTGTCATAGGATCCAATGAGGATATTCTGTTTGGACTTTATCAAGGTTCTACCTTGTAAAATCAGCTTTTCCTCCACTGCATTCTCTTCCCAGGTGAATTTCTTTCTGCTTTATGCATGGGAAGTGCCTCTGAGAAGCTGCTACTGTAATAATCAGTCACATCTGAATGTGTGGTATCTTGGTTTGCTCTCTTTCCTGCTGTAAACTTACACAGCATCTTCTCTGGAATCAGTAGAATTTAGGATAAACTTGACCAGGAAAATAGATAGCAAATTTTCAGGTTACTTTTGCGTATGTTTTAACAAAACCAGGATAATCTAGGATTTAAGTGTCTGGCTTGATTCATGAAAACATATTGTTCATTGTGGATACTAATATTAGCAACATGTGGTGTAGGTAACGTAACCATTTGTGTTCTGCTTTGTTACAAATGAATGCGATGTACAATTCCAGTGTGTATTCTGTGAGACCTGAAACAGAACTTGCTCCAAGGCTTTGAAGTCCCTATTCTTAGCAATCACAAATTATACCAGATGGCCTGTACACCCTGCAGCTCTTGAAGTGCTTTGCTATTTATTACTGAAAGGACAAGGAAACAGAAAATATGTATACTATAAATCAGCACATTTGCATGCATCTCTGACACAGCTGACTTTCAGCTTACTCTTAACAATAGCTGTTCCTTTCTATGGTGGCAATTCTTTAAAATTCTCAAAAATTACAGCCTTGGTAGGGATAGGGTAAGATTTGAAGGGGAGGATTGGGTGGGGATGCTTAACCCTATTTCTAGCTGTTTTTCTCCTCTTTCCCCCAGGGGAATTGTATGAATTTCTTTGGGTTGTAACCACTAAGAATCTCACCCAACAGCACCCAAGGTCTTCAAATAAAAAGCTACTATGGAAGCAAAGTATTTTTCATAGCACAGAGAACTAAGCCAAGTGCTATGCAGGTTTTATAATAATAGGTAGACTTCTGCTCACACAACAGAAGTTCTTCCCTTGCTCTGGAATAATTTGCAGGATGCTAATTCAGACCTACAGTGGTGCACTTAATGGAAGGGCACTACTGAATATAGGCCATAGATTTTAGATGCAGTCATGCCTTCCCTGAAATAAACATATTCTGGAAACTAAGCTGTCAACACTGCCTTGACAGTCACCTGTTCTCAGCAAATTAGGCAGTTGGCGTTGCATCTCATATGTGCAGTATGAGACATGCAGAAATTGTCATCTGGCTATGTCATCACTGTCACTTTACAATGCTTGTCTGTTCTTGTGAAGAGCTCTTGGAGATTGTTTAAAGGTTTTGGTCCGTATAAATTGCATAATTTTGCAAAATGAACATGACTCATTAAGAACATAGTGTTTTATAATTTTACTTTATTGTTATTGGGAGTTGCTGCTGCTTTTAGCTTGCTGTAAATGTGTTTTAATACTGTTTTATGATTTTTATATTTTGTCAGTTGGTTTGAGGAGCTCATCTTTTGGAACAGAAAAGCAGAGAATGCTTTTCTTCAATAATACGAGAAATTTCTGCATCGCGCACAAAGGTGCACATATTTGTTACATAGAGATTGTTTCTTCCTATTTACGTTCCACACAACTGTATGTTATGTGGGAGGTCTTGCTTACTGTACCACAGGTTGCTGCTGATCACTTAGCTATGGCATGAAGGAGGGCCACCTTTGTTGAGGCACAAGCCAATGGAATCAGGCACCAGATAAGCCATAATCCTCGCTTCCCAATGTTCACTTGAAAAAAGAAATGAACTTTCTATCCTGTGTAGTACCCAGTATATGAGTCAAACTAAGCAAGCACCATTCCGTCCAATTGTTTAATGAGAGGATAGTCTGTTCCCACCCTTCCATGTTTTTATCCTGAGTGAAGTTAGAGCAATGATTGACACAGCCCATTGGCCTGAAAAGGACTTACTGCTTCACTTTTCAACTTTTTTATTTTTTTAATTTGGTATTTCCTGGTAGAGTGGTTGCTAATTCATAGAAAGCAATTAGAAATCTAGGATTTTAGTGTAGCTGTTATTTGATTTTAGTTGTAACTGTTGCAGTACTCTAGGTGCTTCAAGCAACATTAGAAGTATTTGGAAGTGAACAAGGCAACTTTTTCTTTAGCTTATACCTTAACATCCCAAGCTTTCTAAACCAGGTACCTCTGTGCTTGAGTGCAAGCTAAGCAGGACCACTTCCATGGGCGGAACAATCCTGTGGCTCTGGGCTATATG